TTTCAAATGACCCATACGTACACCATTTATTTTATCACGCAAATACGCTTGCTTTTATCTACAGAGGCAATTGGATCAACTTCATAATGATTTATAAGACTATAGCATTTACAAATAAATGACATTTATGGACCCTTACAAAACTCCCAATACGAATTCCTATTAAAATTTCCTATAGGATCCTATTGGAAGTTGGCCCATGAGCCTATTGGAACAACCTACAGGATTCCGTAGGAAGATATAGGAATTCCTATAAGAATTCTTACAAAGAATTCCTTTTAGAAATTCTACAAGCATTCCTATAGGAATTCTTACAAGATGAAATCCTACAAGAATTCATACAAGAATTCCTACAACAATTGCTATAAGACATAGAGCAAGAATTTCTCGAAGAATTTCTACTCGAACTCCTATAAAAATTCTAGAAAACTCGCATAAGAATTTCTACAAAGGCTAAAGGAGTTCTTACAAAATACAGCAAAACATAATAGGATTTTTAATAAGATCCCACACAGTACATTTCGGTGGACAACAATTACCCTACTAGTAAGGATAAACAAAGTTTTACAAAACAACCCATTTTTCGAAGTAAATTCTAATATGGGGTGAAAATTATCTGAGTTGCGTACATATTTTATATTTTACGAATCTGAACCTACTACTTAAATTATAGTTTCATTTATCATAACTTTGAAAATGACAGTGTATTTTCTAAAACAGTTTGTGAATATCTCTTGTCATGCTCGAAATATTGAAGTTTTTGTAATGTCCGATCTATACAACTTTCTACGTCATTTTGCATAATGAGTCTCTGGAAAGTTTTCAACATCTTTATATTCAAGTCAACTTTTGGTTGAAATGATCATGCAAGTTTTTTACTATCAACTCTACACAATTAAGGGAACTCTGTTCTGTTGAGGTAATATATTGGCAAGTATACACGCTATTTCAAATTCTATTATGCAAAATGGCGTCTCGACATGTGCAACCCTCGTCTTGCACTGATCTGCTCTAGAGTTCTCCCAAAGGTCTGTTCGGTTTGCATAAGCCCGTGCAAACACAGTAAACATCTTTTATTTCTTATAATTACAAACAAACACAATGAAACGCGTGCGCTCATTGGTCTAGAGCTCTGTTTGCATAAGCTTGTGCAACTGATTGCACTGTTGCACTGATCTGCTCTCGAGTTTTCCCAAAGGTATCCTCGGTTTGCATAAGCCCATGCAAACACAATAAACATCTTTTATTTCTTAAATCACAGCACGGTTTTTCGTGCATTCGACCAATCAGCGCCCATGTTTTTAAAAGGCTATTTTATAATTTAGCATATAACACAAATCAAGAACACAACACAAACTACTTATTTTTAGCAAAACATAGTAATGAGAGGGAAAATTCACAAAGCTCAAACATTTTTTAAAAAAACCTGTTAATATTTATTGCTGGGTTGCACTTCTTTTAAGGTGACTGAAAACAACGTACGTGGCTCGCCACGTCAGCATACAGGGAAAATTCACAAGGCTCATACATTTTTAAAAAAACCTTTTATTATTTATTGCTGGGTTGCACTCATCTTAAGGTGACTGAAAACAACGTACGTGGCTCGCCCACGTCAGCATACAGGAGATGCAAATAGCATAGATAAAATATTCTTTTGTATCAGACCACCAACATGGCTAACATAAAAATTAAGAATGACCGAGACGATTTCGGTTTGCTTTCGTTATCAGTTTGCAAAACCGTTCCTTCTTAATACACGACGAAATGTTGTTAGGATCAATACAATATTGGGGTGAAATTGGTGGACGATGAAGGAGGGCTAGTAGTAGATATTGTTGTTTTTAGATTTGACATAATTCATTGGGCTCACAGGTTTTGAATTTATTGTCGAAAACTATATACTCGTGCAAAGGAAAGTTAATTGAAATTGCTAGACTTGCTGTCAAGGACCATATATACTCGTGCAAAAATAGTTTAGTTGACTTGTCTTGAAGAACGATACTGGTGCAAAATTAATTTACTTTAAAGTATATGCTGAGTTATTGTATCTTCAAGTGAAATACATGAATAAGCTTCTTCAACAATATACGTCCATATGACCATTCCAATATTGTATACCTTTTTTATGTGAAAAGGTTTTAGTTTGAAATTTAAGTTACCATTTGATGATATTTGTCTTTTCTATTTACTAAATGAGCTACGCGAACGAGCAAGCTCGGTAAAACTGTCATCTAAATCAGGCTCAATTATTGACATTTTACTGACCAAATTAGTAAACATTCTAGGTGTTGTTCCATTATTTCGCACATTTTGTTGCGATGAAACTTGCTGTCGAAGGTTAGGCAATCGACCATCGACTGATACAGAATGACGTTTGATGTTTGCGTTGTCCGTGTGAGTTGATCTTGTGGTCTTTAAAATATTTTCTTTCCCAGTCTCTCGACGTTTTTTCTCTTCAGCAGATAATCCAAACAACTTTTCAAATGTTTCATACAGCAGTTTTGCTTTTTGCTTATCTTCACAAAGCAATATATGAGCCTTGACATTCAGTTCGTTTTGCTCGCGAGCAATCATGATGAAGTACCGAGCGAACTCCTCTCTTGTTGTAGAATATACGATATCACGGATATTTGAGATCCGGAAACTTTTTAAAACTTGACCTTCTTTGTTATACAGCACTGCACCACATAAATCGATCACCATTCTAAGCTTACTGCCGTTCTCGCTGGAGAAAAGCAGCATTAAGTCGGAATATATCTTAGTGAAATTCCTGTCTGTAATGGAAGAGGCGTTATCAGACTCTTTATCAATACTTGTGGAACCGATAACTTTTACAACAAATTGAGAACCTGCCGCAACCGAATCACTTTCGTAGTTTTCTTGCAAACTCATGAATCGGCGTCGTCGCCAAGATGCCATTTGTCAAAAAGGATTCTACAAGTGTAAATAATCGAGTTCCGTTAGTAGAATGTAAAGCAATTAAATAAGTAATCGTACAAAAATAAACCCTCTTTGTACGTCAAGGAAGTAGTAGAAGCAGGTTGTTCGAACTTTGATGCACAATAATTTGTAGACTTAGTACTATAACTACCTTCTATATACACATTGAACAATATGTCAAGTACAGAACTTCTTAATTGTATTACCACTTGAAATTTGACTACAGCAAGGACTGGCTTGTTCCTACCAGGAAAATGACAAAGCTTCTTTATAATGCAAGAAAATTTGGATTATTTTGACGCTATGTTGCTACACGCAGAGCAAAATCACTAAGCGTTCAGCAACAGCTAAATTACATACATGACACCTCCACTTTGTCCATGCATTTTTTGTTTTGACTATTATCTATTTATGTATGCAAATTTTGGTGTCAGAGTAATATAACAGATGTTTACTCGAAAATGACAAAAAGTTTTCATCGGTGAAAATTTTAAGAATACTTTTACGATGCACATACAATATACGTTTGACACCTTAGTAGAGGCACAGTATAGACAAAAACAGTAGCCCCGCTCTATAGCATTTTTTTGTTTTATTACGCATGTGATTAGCATATTGTAGCCAGTCAATTGCTTTTCGTGGCTAGTAGGAAGGCAGAGATGGCTAGCTGCAGCCAGTAATCTAATCAAATAAACAGCACCAAGTTGCACAGTGGAGTACCACTGCTGTATGTTTCTATACTGTGGTAGCGGCGTAAGAAATTTGAAAATTGAGGGAGAGGGGAAATCATTTATGATTTCAAAGAACTTGTACAACGGAACATGCATGTATTAATGAGCTCCCCACCTCAAGTTACTGAGTTTGGTATGCTACAGTACTATAGTATCTATTTAATCAACTTTTACATATACAATGGTAGACGTAGTAAAATTCTTATATTTTAATTATATTTATTGTTTTCTTTTACAATCTTTCTGTCATCAAATCATTCGAACGTTCAATCAATCGATTATTGCTTTGCTTTTTCTACAATTTTTCATTCCACCCACGCAAAGCAGATGTTAATTTCTCCCCGGTCAAATTTGTTAGCTTGACAGCGATCCCCCTCTCCAGCTGCATTACTCTGGTGCTGTTATTGATTGCAGTAATATATGAAATAGTAGAAGAAATTCTAGAAGCATCTGTTCATTTTAGGTATCACACTTATCAGTCCAGGGATACTCAGTGAGTAAATTGTATTTCGTTGAAAGGAAATTAGCGATTTGTGTATGTAATACTGTGTATATAAATCAACATTTGATATGGAACGTTGCTATGGCGATGACTTATAAAAACAAATCACATGAAACGAAGGATGGAGCACAATGACAATAATGAAGGTCTCAAAATTTGCGAGTGAAGGGATTTTGCCAACGTGTGTTGACTGTATTTAATGACACATTAACGTAGTGCGGGCGGTTTGAAATCACTATATCAAGTTGATAACAGGGAATAAATTCTCTTCGTCTTTAACCGTTTGGGAGAAATTAGAAAAGCTGGGCTATTTGTCATAGAAAGTACTTTTGTTGAATTCAAATTCAAAGCGCGAAAATAAAATCACGTGCAGTTTATTGAATGCTACGATTCTCGTCAGTTTTTTCCGTTTTTTAAAATTTCAATCCAGGATGAATTACTGCATGAGCTATGCCTTTCATCCAAAACGCGTATTCAATGACACTGAAAGTTGACTATAGTCAATTGTCCATTCTCGGCGATAATCAGCGCCTCTTTGTTAGCGGAGAAAAGAACCACGAATATAGGTCTTTGTTAGCGGAGAAAAGAACCACGAATATAGGACAAAAAAACCGCCAAAGATATGCTTGTGTCTCGTAATCAAAATTTCTATTTTGTTTATTGGAGAAAAAAAATCACCTGTACTATAAACAAGCTGATTTAAGTCATTTAAATGCAGTTGCACTGAACGCTGATAATTAAAATGTCGACAGCTTTTATGCAAAACAGTCAATATGAAGTCATTAGCTTGGCGTAAGAAAGATTTTCAAAACATGATAAGAAAATGATTAGTCAAAACAAAGGAGAAATAAATTGCATCCATGTTTGTTCATCTGTTGTCTTTCAGGATTTTTTGTGTCGAGCGTATAATGTTTCAAAACAGTTAGTGGAACACCGACAAAATATTGTCATTGAAATTCTCGTTCTATACTTTAGACGTTGTCACATGTCGGCTGAAAGTTAAAAAGAAGAAGGTCAACATTCTGTATTGCGTTAGTTTGGTTGTAAACTATCGCCGAGCTTCTCTCTGATATACCACTCAAATCCAATTACTGTGTTTAGAAACCATGGTATGTAAGTTTATATTATCATGAGTAAACTTTTTCTTTCGTATTGGAATCAACATATTTGAAGTTGGGCCTAAACTCGAGAAATTATTGTCAGTTGAATAAAGTCGATATTATACATGCTTTAATTTAAACATCATTTGCATTCTTTGTTCAAAGACAGTATGTACATGCTACCTTTGTTCCAAGACAATATATACATGCTATATTATAAAAATGGATTCGACGTTAACGAAAAACAGAACGACTGCTTTGCTTATTGATTTCATCAAAGCATTTCTTTCGTCATTCTTTTGCATTTTGACTTTCAAGAGAAAAAAGTGCATCAAATAATATTTTTGTGTTTAAAATTAACTCATAACATTGAAATCATCCAATAAAATTGCAAAAGCCATTCAAATGGACCTAATGTTTAGAAAAGGTCTTGATTTCAATAAAACAATTCACTATTATTGTGAAATAATTGCTTTCGAAGGACCTAAATTGCCAAGGTAATCTGGGTGCATGATCTAAGCAACAGCTACGTTTTTCCAGCTGATTCGATTTTTGCTATCAGAAACTAATTCAATAAATGATGACTATTTCACTCTTTGTCGCATGAGCTACCATTTCACATGAGTTGACTTGGCTTCTGCTGCGGCTATTAGCTTCTAATGTGCACAACGAGCAACGAAACATTAAGACTTCTTCCGTTCTATCACAATTTACCATCTTTCACAAGACGATAGGAGTAAAAGCTGTTGATCTAGTTGTTTTAGATATACATATTTTGATGAAAATTCTGGACGTATTTAATACTAATACGCAAAATTGATCTCTAACCATTATCAAGGCAGAGCCTAGTCCCAGAAGATGAAAATTTGAGATGAATTTTGCGTCATTTGTGGAACACAAAAGACAGAAATATTTCCAAAGTTCTAACTTAGTCTCCACAAAAAAAAAAATACCTTAATGTAATTATTGATAAGCGAATGAGTCTCCATAATCATCAGCGTATAATAAAGGATGTTACGAATCAAAAATGATATTCGTTAACAATTACAAAACCGCTGACCTAACAAACGTGGGCTTTAGAGCGTTACAAAACCGCTGACCTAACGAACGTGGGCTTTAGAGCGTTACAAAACCGCTGACCTAACGAACGTGGGCTTTAGAGCATCACAAAAGTTGATGTGAGTCATGTGACAAGGGCTCATGGGCAATTAATCTATTATTATGTGTGAAATCATATCTATCGTTGTATAGATAGACGTTGGTAAAAGGCACGCTTTGGTAACATTACATTTGACATGTTGGCTCAACAGTTTACGTAAAGTGTACGAAACAAAACCAACGTTCAAAGAGCGCATGCGCAATTATCCCCCTCCTTTTGAAGAAATTGTTTTTTTACTCAGATTATATCTTAACTATTTAATGCAAACAAATTGTCCATTATCCCACATTACATTTGACATAAGTACACAACAATGCTACAAAATCCAAAACTAAAAGAGAGTATATTATATCCGAGAAATTGCTGTCAGTTTGGTTACGTAAATTATTGCCAGATTTTTATTTTGGGTCATTTTTATCGGCAGCTGACTGCGCTCTTGAAGCAAAAGTTCCCTTTTCTATTCGCCCATCGTTTGTTTTGGCCTGAGCGGCCATGATTCTTGCCTTTGCAGGTTGATCCATAGGTGTTTTCTTGCCGTCCATTTTATGCTCCTAAAATAACATGATAAAAATGTGACATTGTAATACAATCAGGTTGTGTTGGAAAGAGAACCTATTGCCCAAAGAAATTTTTTTGATTCATGTGATTAAGCGAAATTATCGAGGTGTTTTCATTTGAATGTTTAGTACGACAGTTAAGTTTGCACTATAATCAAGCCCTGCGAATGACTTTCAAAACTCAAGTTAATCCATATTTGTCAAATGTAAAGATACTGTGAGTTTACCTTAATGGGATCTCCAAGCAATTAAGCTGACGAAAGACTTTTATTTTTTCTTTAAATTTAATAGTTCACGTTATTTCTTACTCGACGAGCTTCTCCACTTCTTATACTTCAAAATAGAGATAAGGCTGTTTTATGTATGATGTTTGCTGTTTATGGGAATACCCTTTCGTAACTACCAGGGAAATACCCTTTCGTAACTACCAGGGACCTTTCGTTACCTCTAGGGTAATTCCCTTTATTAAGCTCTTCGCCAGTTCCTGGAAGAAAAGGAAGAAAGATTTCACAAAATCCAGCATTTCAAGAAATGAAATCACTCATCTATAAGAATTTGTTCCAAAAGTCATTTCCACATGAAGACAATTTCATCTTCATTCGCAATGATTGAAGTCAAAACATTAAAATGCACAATGATTACTCATAGATCTATTACCATAGTCTGCTTTACTTTCATTTCTATTTATAGTTTGGCCAACCAAGGGCGCAAGTCTGTTTTGAAGAGAGGGTGGGGTGGACTGGATTTCTGTGTACGTAATAATAGCTATCCTAATACGAACTCACTTGATTTTCAAAAAAGTGTGAGGGAATATGATAGTCATTTTACTCCTATGAAAAGTGAAGCTGATTAGAAAATGAACATTGAATGCATTACTTGAGATTGTTTGCACGGCTACACGTATTATTCTAATCAGTCTTTAAAAACAGCATGTGTGCGAAATACAATATATTTGAGTGTTGATACTTTTAATTGTGTTGTTTTATTGTAAAGCTTTCCCTATCAAAATTGAACATTGTTAACCGTTGTCAAATTTGATATGAAAAGTTTTTGTCTTTTCTTCTATACTTTTGTCTCGCACGATCTTGTTTTGCTCGTCCATTTCATTTGATGGACATGATACAAAGTGTTCTATTATTCCAAAACCATGTACAAAGAGTTAGGTTTTAATATTCTCCGCTTGCATGCATGAGAAAAATGATCCTGTGAGGGATGGTAGCGATAAGTTCTTCAGATTCGCAATTTATGTTGGGTGTAAACTCTTTAACATCACATGACTGAACACATGTAGCCAATGGAGAAGTTGCTAGAACTTTAATTTGGAAAGGTATTTATTCATATATTCAGATGTGCCCCATTGCTTTCTTTTGAAAATGAATTGGCTTTGTGTGTGAAGCAGAAGCGGAGCTATATTGAAAAATTTGCCGATAATCGTAGTCTGTTTATAGCACTCACTCTGACACAATACATGCACAATCTGATGAAAAGCGTAAAAATGGACTAGATGCAGTGCTGTAGAAGTTGGGGGGAGGTGCTTGGGGGAGGAGCCCCCCTTTTACCTTTGAAATGGGTAAATCTAAAAGGGCACTATTAACAAAAACGTCAAGAGAGCCCCCCCATCTGATAAATTTAGTTCTACAGCACTGACTAGATGCGAATGAACATCTAAGCTAAAAATTCAAGTAAATTTGTTAGAAACCTTTAGAAATACTTTTTCTTTTGTTGTAATTGTAAGCTTTTGTAGAGCAAATGATAATAGAAAGTAGAATCAGTTATTTTGTTACGTTTTGTAAAATAGAAGCAATAAAACGCGTGCATGAATTGATCTATAGCCATGTTTGCATCATTGTAAACCGATGTGAGCTAAACCAACTAAACCAATCAATCAAAGAGAATTTACAAATCAATCGTAAATACATTTTAAAAGAAAAGTTTTGTTTAAATTTTTCTGCTTCGCGCTATTTTTACTTCATAAAAGAAATAAAGATGTTTTTTGTGTTTTCACTAGTTTATGTAAATTTCAGAGATGTTTGTGAAAACTCTCGAGTCTCGAGCAGGTGCAACCTTCGACCTTTGGTCTCTGGCTTCATTGATCAACTCTCGAGCTCTCTCAAAGGTCTTCTCGGTTTGCATCAGCCTGTGCAAACACAGTAAACATCTTTTATTTCTTAATTCTGTTTCGTTTCAGGAGAATCTAACAAAATACGGCTTGAAAGAATTAATGGATTATAAAGTTAATGTTGAAGGATGTGTAAACTGTCATACCTTCACCATCGAAGGATTGGGAAAAGGGAATGTCCTATCGTACGTACGCTAATCAATCAGTAGTAAATCATTCAGACACCATATACTTCAATTTAATTCTATACTGTCTTTCTCATGTATTGCTAAAGAATGTTTTGCCTCACTCTAGATCATTCTCCATTATGAGAACATTTTACCTTTTGCCACGTGTTGGAACATCACCATTAGGAGGACATTTTTTACGTCTTTCACCATTTTCGTCACGACAACATTTTGTTTCATCGACAACCATCCCCATCCTAAGAAAACTTTGACACACTCTACCGATTACCATTTTGAGAACACTCATGTATTAAAATCATGACATTCGGACAGTCAGTATTACATGAGAAGCAAAATTGTGTAATAGAATCCTAAAAATCACGAATTGTACGTAGGACATTCGACAATCAATTAATAATGAGTACAGGTAAAAGAATTTAAATAATATTGTGTAATAAAAATTAATGCCCCACATAAAGTTTTAATTAGAGCCATAGAAATAGACCAAAAATTGTAAAATTGAATTTATTTATTGAATTTATTTATTGAATAATAAATTCAGTTTTACAATTTCTTGTCTATTTCTATGGCTCTAATTAAAACTTTATGTTGGGCATTAATTTTGTATTGCACGAATTCGATTTCCGTTCTGCAAGTCTCTCGCTACTATATTAAATAATATTGAAAACGTAGGAACCCATTCATGTTTAAACAAAATTTGAACAAGATTAATAACACTTTGTAACACATTTAAAAAGATATTTTTCTGCTTTTTATTGTTATGTATAACTAATTTACCTCTATATGTAATTATGCGTTTGAATTAAAGAAAAATCTTAGAGTACTATTGACTACAATTACTAGCACTGACATAAACAAAGAGAAAGAAGTCATTATGTTGTGAAATTTAATTGTATTTTAATTTTCCTCCATCCATATTTTAAGTGGAAATCAGATGGTCCAAATCCGTATTACGAAAGGTGGCCCTCTCCCCTTCTCTTTCGACATTCTATCAGTGTGCTTCCAGTATGGCAATCGAATATTCACAAAGTATCCAAAAGAAATACCCAGCTACTTTAGGCAATGCTTTCCAGCAGGTTTTACAATGGAAAGATCGCTTCGTTTTGAAGATGGTGGATGCTTGGATATCCGGTCGGATGTAAGGTAAGAGAATCATGGAAACTCAGTCAAATCTTCAACTTCAATAAAAATAGATACGAAAAGCGTTAGATATCAAGTCTCCATGTTTGATTGATTTCAAAGTTCTAATTAGGAATTGAAAAATACCATTTATAAAGTCTCCAAAACTTCACTTTCTCGTAGATACTCGATCAGAGCAACATTTTGGATAATTTTCTTTAGTTTACTAGTGCAATTATATTATTCAAATCGTTTTACTCAAGCTAGTACTAGTTTACTCTCAGAAAATTTTCAACTCATGTTTATGTGATATGTAGAAGGTCTCAGAAACGGATGACATGATACAAGTTTTTGAATTTTTTTCTCTTTTCAAAAGTATTTCTTCAAAACTTTTCCTATATTTTTGATACAGACAATATATTGGTTCATTGTTTATATCGCAACCTTTGAAACTTTAAGCAATTCTATAAAATTTGCGGTCGATACTCCGAATATGAAAAATTTGTTAAAAAACTTTACGCTAACTCTTTGGTCGATCAATAAAGTACACCAGACAAATTTTTAGAGTTGTTCGGCGACTGTGACAGGTGTAAACTCTTCCTACTTGCCTAACGTCATGCATTTTAAACTCTTTTCAGTCTTTTTCAGGGGAAGTTTGTTTACAAGATAGAATGCAGAGGAGAAAACTTTCCCAGTGATGGTCCAATAATGAGCAAGTCATTGTTAGGTTTGCAACCATCATTTGAAACAGTTTTCGCAAGAAATAGTTCGGTTGTTGGTGAAGTCATTCTTTCCTTTAAACTAAAACAAGGCAAACACCATACTTGTCACATGAAGACACTATACAGGTAAACGAAATTTTACATGTATCATGTACACAAAGCATATAAGAGGTAAAGAAAATTTCACATATGTCATTAGCACAAAACATTAGAAAGGTAAATGAAATTTTACAATTATCATATACACAAGTCATATAAGAAGTAAAGAATATTTCACATATGTCATTTGCACAAAACAATAGAAGAGTAAAGGAAATTTTACATATATAAGTCAAGTGTCTAGTTTCAGAGTTGATAATCTAAAATTGCCTAGTTGATTGTTGATAGAATTAGTTTTTTTAGCTAACTTTCTTTTTGATTGAATACTTTGCTTTCTGCTACATTTCAAGATGGCGCCCTTACCTCACCTTGACAACTATTGGATTGGGTTCTAACTCATTGAAGCGGGATTTATGGCCCCTAACGACCCTGGTCCCCAGTCCCTGCTGAAATTTACAAGTTCATACGTGTTATTGAATTCTAGGTCGAAGCAGCCTGTGTCCAATATGCCAAATTATCATTTTATTCAACATCGTTTGGAGAAAACTAATGTTTCGGCTGAAGGAAATTACATCGAGCAACATGAAACAGCGATCGCTCAAAATTCGTCAATACGTAAACCAATTGGATCTCTTTATTATTGGTCTTCTTAACCTACGTATACCTTTACGACCAATCATACAAGGCTTTCATTCGACGTCATAGCTGAAGGATTGCAAAAAGCTATAGGAGTGCTTTTTGAGCTTTCTCTTTTGAAGTTTTGCTTGTTTTCCTTTGTTAGGATCGAGCAGTAATCGGGAACGTTTGAACTTTTCTTTCGTAATTACCAACGATTATCTGTTTTTCCATACAAAATTCTTTTATAAAGAAAAATGTAAGTTTTAATTAGTTGGTTGACGCAGACAAACTTTGTTTTTCGAACTGCAGTTACAATAAATACTAGATATAAATCGTTGTTTTCAATGAAAATATGTGTAAATATGTGAAATTCTCTACTCAAATATGCCTATTGGAGCATGAAATGCAATTATTCTCATCTGTTTCATGATAATGGTCTTTAATTTACATAGCACGACCAAATTTGCGGGCTGGCTACGCCACTGTGTACGATCGATCCGTATAATCAACAATATACATATCAATGGTTGATTTAAGGCTGTTATCGACGTATGATTCTTAATGTGTAGTTTTGCTGAAACACTAATGATAAACAGGTTTCTTAAGCAAAGTTGTGAGACCAAAGATCGTCTTTTGAGGCAAACTACAGTGCCAATGAGGGAAGGGGACGTGAAATTACAATTGCTATCTGGCGAACACAGTTGTGAAAAGCTGAATATTTTTTTAGTTTAGCCCTGCTCGCAATTACCTAAATGATGTTGAACACCATTTGTGTGAAAATAAATGGAATTTATGTAAATCAATTGAAATGGAATAAATAAATGGAATAAATGGAAAAAAATGATTTGACCATCAAACTATACAGGGTGCCCCCCAAAAAATCCCGAACCCGCATAAATTAATTATTAATTCACTGAAATGATTATGCACAATACTATCTCAAGCATTCAAAACAGTTTTAATGAACTTGACTGTTCTGGGATTTCACAGGATTTGTGCAGTATTTAAAGCAAAAAACAAGTCAAAAGCACTTTATACACTGATTTTTATCTTTGACAAACTAGCGTTTAGCTAAAATAACCAGGCGAAACAATTATCTATAGCAGACGAAACTATCTTTGAAGACTTCATTTGTGGCACACATAATTAATTGTGTGGGTTCCGTTTCTTAGGGGCTCCCAGTAGATGTCCATATTGGTGGGTTGAAACCATCCCCTGGGAGTAAGAGAACAGAGGAATGCTCGCCATGTTGGATGAAATTTGCATTGTAAACAAAGAAAATCCTTTGTTTAAATCATCCAACATGGCGACTATGACGTAACTTGGACCCAAGAATAGTTCAGTGGCTCCAGCTAAGTGGGTTTTTTTGGTAAAATTCAAAAATAACCTTTAAATATCAAAAAATGATACAAAACAAATATTCTTGATAGTGTGTACAAATTAATTTCTATTTATGATAATAATTTAGTCCACCAGAAAGGCAGAAAATATAGATACATTTCTACCTTTGATTTCTACTTTGTAATATTGTCGCCCAATGGCGAAACAAACTAAACGATTGGGGGACATATTCATATATGCATGTTCTGCAATATTAAGTTCCTTTGAAATCATTTGTTGTGTACGAATTAAGACATTATACGAGTTTCAGCCCCCTCCCCAATTAACGCGTTTGCCACGGCACTGTCGTTGCAATGCTTGTTCATCAAATTTAATTATTTTTCATTCATTGTTTTCAAGCGAATGAAGACGACAGCAATTTGCAACGCACAGCGAAATCGGCGCTTTCTTACGTAATCGACTGTTTAAAATCATTATAAAGAAGACCAGATGCAGATATTGCATCACCTAGACCAACCGTTTTCAATGGTCGTTTACATACTAATACAGGAGAGATATACAAATTTATGTCCTCGCTACCGGCAACTACAGTTAAAGGCGAATCAAATTTAAATTCAACTGACGACCCTGATTGTAATGAAATACTAAATTCACGAGGCATCTTCAATTCAGCGACATTATCATTGACTTCTTCAGAGTCACAGGCCTGTGAATACGCTGTCCAACTACCCCGGCTAACGCTTGCCTCGTTCGAGCTCCAATACGTGGGAACTACAGCTAAGATATGGACGTATAAACAATGAAAATGTATTCGAGTTAAACGTGAGTTTGGGTTTAATTGATCATTCTTTCCATATTTCATCATTATCCACGAGATTACGTCACTAAAGAAACCTGAAAAAAATGAATAAAAGAATGATTAATACAGTCTTAAATTGCTGAGGCCGATTGCATAGCTTTGCCCATTAAATGGTAATTTTTCTAAACTTTTGAAACAAGTGGTTATATTGTCTTTAGGATAATGAAATTCTGTTATTCTAAAACTAGTATTGTATTGCATTGATTTACAGTTCATATCGTAGGTTTTTCCTATTTAAGAGATTTTTAAGCGTTCTAAAATATTGCTACGTATATTATCCGGTGGACAGCGCTGTTCGGCCTTCGTGCAGCCGGCCATTGGCTTCAAATTTTGGCGGGAGGCACCGAGGTAGCCTTCCAGCTTTATATCTAGTTCAATGTGAAGAACTTCATTAAAATTCTTTTCAATTGGTACATAAACATGGTGGCTACGACGTCAGGAAACTCTCTATATTAGTTTTACATTTATTTTAGAGATAACGTGGTAAAACATCGCAGGCGCAGAAACATGTAAAATACGTATGAATCAATATTTTCACCAATTATAAATGCCTTTAATTTTTAAGACCATGATAACAATAGTATTAATTACACCTGACTTAGTCAACAACAACAAAAACAGTCCTTCTCAGGACTATACCAACCTGGACGATCTACATTTACAAACATGTAACAACAGTTAAATGTTATTTATTTGTTAAATATTTCATAAATCAAGTTTATTCATAATTACCTATTTCATCTTTTTTCGCCACTTCAGTCCTGTCAGCATGGACACCATGTAAGCATCGAGTGATAAAGGCCAACTCTTGTTCATTTAAGCCAATTGAATTAACAAACGGAATTAATTGTTCTACGAGTGCTATAATAACTGGACAGTGGCTCATACTTGCTAATTCAAGATGAACAGGAACATCAAGAGGAAGACGGGAAAATCCGGCTGCTGCAGATTGAAGCCGCTGTTGCCAAAATTGCTCATTCTGATTATCAAGAAGGTGAAAACCGGACACAATGATTAGATCGGGCTTGAACATTAAAGTCTCCTCTAAAAGTAGGAATTCATGAAAGTAGACAAACAAATATATTTCAAATGTTGATATGAAAATGTACTTAAATAGAGGCATAAGAGGTTGACATCTGACAGACTAACCAATGAAAGACTCCAAGGTAGATAATGCTGAATTTGCCACATCGTGTGACATGATAAATCTATTAGCAATAGGTGCCTTAACAGCCCCCCATCTTTCATTGCGTTGATATTCCAAGATTAAATGATTCTCGTCTTCTGGCACTTCACAACTTTTAGGAACAAAGACTTCATTTGGTAGCAGCAACTTTAGATTAGGACCAACTGGTCCACAAAGCATCACCTATTAAAGTTTCAAAGAGGAAGTCCAGTTAAAAGACCTTTGTAGCAACAAGTTTGCTTACTAGCTTTTAATGATGTTTAATTGGATGTGAAGAATTCAAATTTGTAACTCATGATACGGACATGTGACGAAAAATTTAAATACACTTTTATGTACCCTGTATGGAACATGAAAACAATGCTGGATATGTACAATGTATACATATCAAATGATTCACAACATACAATATCTGAAAAGTTGGAAGATTACTGAGACCAAGTTCATTCTGAATAAAGAAGTTTTTCGCTTACCAGATGTGTCAACATTACCAGATGTGTCAATATTATCAGTTGTGTCAACTTTGACATGTCAACATTGAAATTGACGCGTGACTGTGCGACACGTGTGAACATTGACATGTCAACATTAAAATTGCCATGTGACTGTGCAACATGTGTCAACATTGACATGTCAACATTGAAATTGACACGTAACTGTGCGACACGTGTCAACATTGACATGTCAACATTGAAATTGACATGTGACTGTGCGACACGTGTCAACATTGACATGTCAACATTAAAATTGACATGTGACTGTGCGACACGTATCAACATTGACATGTCAACATTGAAATTGCCATGTGACTGTGCAACATGTATCAACATTGACATGTCAACACTGAAATTGGCACGTAACTGTGCAACACATGTCAACTTTGAGATGTGTCAACATTACCAGATGTGTCAATATTAACAGTTGTGTCAACATTGACACGTCAACATTGAAATTGACATGTGACTGTGCAACATATGTCAACATTGACATGTCAACATTGAAATTGACACGTAATTGTGCGACACGTGTCAACATTGGGATGTGTCAACATGAACAAATTACAGGATGTATCAACATAGAAGTTGAACATACATTTCACAATACGTAAGTAAGTTTAATTACAATTACTACAGTCTCAAATAATACACAACTCAATGACAAGACTTTAGTTTTAGCACAAAAGCACTTCAACTAAAAATAAATGCATAGTATATAGTCAATCCATAATTTTACTCATGCAATACAACAGTCTGCATTTGATTTACACTTCACCTTCACACGAGGTCATGTTCTAATAATGTGGATTTGTGATATTTTGTGAATATCTAAAGGTAGTTTGGGCTAGCTTTTTAAAAAAATCACTACTACAAAAATGCCATTTAGATATTGCACACATTAACTGAATAAAGATTCAACAAACCTTTGCATTTGGTATTAGTTTAGAGAACTTTAACCCAACTAAAGCGGCATTTCCACCAATAAAATTCTAAAAAAATATGAACGATATTTTCAGATAGTGTGTGCCAACGTCAACACCACCATGGGTAACTTAAGATTGATAACTGAGGAGGAGGCTCATGTTCATTTAGTTACCTTTTACAACACGCAGAGGTTAGGTTGGGTCTATTCTAAAATGTCACAACCCACACAGCAACACTTACATAAAGAACAAGATTCCCAGAATCGACTAAAGCGGCAAAAATGATTATGACTAAGAACCATGTAAATGGTTTGCACCTTGCCTAAATTCTCTATCATCCCCCAAAAATTCTTAAATGGTACTATGTACTGTAGACTGTTGCTATAATAGATATTAGAGGGTAGGAAGTGATATAGTAAGATTGAGTAAAATGTGGAACTTACCATTTCAAAGGCAATTATTTTACACTACCATCGTTTACAATTGAGTTACTAACATGCATGTTTTCATTGAAACATTAAAATTGAAATAAATTACTAAATGCAAAGTAACCTGTAACTTTCTCATATCAACCCTTTATTTTCTGTTTTCATTGAAACATTAAAATTGAAATAAATTACTAAATGCAAAGTAACCTGTAACTTTCTCATATCAACCCTTTATTTTCTGTTTTCATTGAAACATTAAAATTGAAATAAATTACTAAATACAAAGTAACCTGTAACTATCTCATATCAACCCTTTATTTTCTAATCCCTTGTTTGTCATGTGCTGGCAATATTAGGATACATAATTTATGAGTTTGTTGATTATTTAAGGAAGTAATGTACAGCTGTACAACAAGGATTTATAATTTACTTAACACCATAAAATAACAGCCTGAGGCCCAAGCACCTTTAACTAGGACAATGATGCACCCCCTGGAAAATCTTCACCCCTCCTGTCAAATAAGGATTTATCAGCCTCAGATATGCTCCCCCCTATTATAAATCTTCTGATGCCCCTGAACATAACAGAACGGAAATTCGTCCATGTTACCTGTGAATTTTCAATTAAAGATGCCGCATGAACAATTTCAGCATTTAACTGCTGTGTTGCTATTGGTCGTTCTCCAGCAGCACCTTTGCTCATGAAGTACATAAAGCATTCTCCCAAGACATCCAAGGAATCAACTTCACTACACTGTTTTCCATACTTTGGTGCTAAAATACCCAGCTTGTTCAGTAAGGCAACACCAGAGACAATCAAATCAATATTGGCATTAGTTCTATAAGAATTAGAAGGCGAGATCCTTGCTAGTAATACAATGTCTTTACTAGACAATTCATTAATAAATGAAAAACAAAGACTAGTCGCATACCCAACTGAGATCTTCTTGTAGTGGCTTATCTGCTTTTCGAAGTTTTTTGTTAATAAACTAGCAATTTGCTCCACTTCTCCTTTTTTAGAGTAAATGGAATAGCGATATGTAGCTAATGCTACAATAGCACCAATAAAAGCAAAGCAGTATGCTTTATTGTTGATCATTTTTGGTCACCAGTTCAGCGTACGTAGTTCATCGATAAAAAACAATTACAGGACAATTGCAAAAAAAGCACAGAGAGAAATATAAACCAGAGCAAGTTGGGTCTCAAGTCTCAAGTGGTTGAAAATTCCTACTGCATTTTCGATCCCTTGTTTCATCGTCATTCATTGTAGAGGTAAATCCCCGCAAGAATTCACGTGAAGAAATTAGAATGTCGATTGATTGCACTATGCAAAATCCCATCATCCACACTCACAGTCCCGGTTACACACTCGTTAACGCCCGTCGTTATCCGTAAATTTAAGGTCACGCATGCGCTTTTTCCATTCTTTTCGTACGAATAAACTCTGATGTGACAAGATTTATCAAAACTTTCATTTAGAAAAAGGTATTTTGATCGTGTTGCTTTTTGCCAATAACGATAAATATATTTTCAGAGTGTATGTAACTGCTCATTTTGTTTGTATATTAGGAGAATGGCGAAATCGGTCCAAGTATTTGGTCGTAAGGTTTGTTGTCGTAAAAGCATTATTTTACTTCTAGTAAAAAACACGTGTTTATTTACGTATGTATAATGAATTATGTGTCATTGAATTTGATGAAATCTGGCGCTTTACCGTAGCCGAGAAATAAACGAATGCGTAGGAAATGAAAAGCATTTGCCTTTGAATTTTTACAGTATCATCAGATCTAAAGGCATTCTAACATATGCTCCCTCTGTATACCAGTGTATTGGTGTAGTCATTGTAGACTACAGGAGATATTGCTTAAATGTAGACATAATAATATAAATAGAATAAACGTGAATAATCAGTAAAAAATCTAAAAGCAGAGAGCATTTGTATTCTATTTATATTATTATGTATAGACTGGCATTTCCAACCCCTCTGAACTTGTCTGCTGTTGATATATCGTGCATAATAATGCCTTGGTCAAAAAATTTCAACATCTCAACCCGACGTTTTTCAGCTTTTTCCTTACAGGAGTTGACAAATACTAGTCCTGATATAGGATGTGTATTATGTGTTAAAGAACCCTATCTGAAAATATGTGATTTTATAGTTTTTTCACTGTCATTCTTAAGGTTTCAAAGGCAAATGTATTGTGTCACTTGGTGACTCATAAGAAATAAAAAGCAAATAAAACTCAAATTCTACATCCAATAATCCCAACTTAAACTTAAACATATTAACATGTTATAATCAGTGTGCGAATTAGTTGAGAAAAAACGATGTGCAATTTTTTTGACAAAAGTGTTTCTTTAGAGGCATAATCAAATTGATATTACGTTAATTATTATATAGTGCTAATTGCTAAATTAATATTTTTAAACGTGAACAAATTCATATGATTTACAATAGTGTTTTTTGTTAGAACCGCTTATTTTTGCACATCGTTTGAAAAAGTGATGTGCAATTATTTTCATTTTAGCTAAAACGATGTGCAAATTGCACATTGCACACCGTTAATTTGCACACTGTTATAATACATCATACAAGTTGTTGTTTGTTGTTTGTTGTTGTTGTTGTCATACTTGTCCATAAAGTTAAACCTACAAATAATTTAATGAAATATTGCATGTGAAATATATGATTATTCTCATATTTATGAGTTATACTTCCTTACTGACCAAAAACATAGCACAATTTTATTCTCAGCACAGTCTCCTCTTGTTTTGCATGAAAATATAAAAATATAGCACAATGTTTATTCTCAGCCCAGTCTCCTCTTGTTTTGCATGAAAATATAAAAATATAGCACAATGTTTATTCTTAGCACAGTCTCCTCTTTTTTTTCGTGAAAATATAAAAATATACTGTTTTATTATGAAGTTTTTGTATGTCTTTAACAGTATTACATACAAAGCAAGTTTTCAGATTCTTTGTCTAATCGCATGTTAAAATATCACACTGTCACCATCTATAAACAAAAGTCACTCAAAAGGGCTGTGCTAACTCCGGTTTTTCAGCTCTGGCTCTGGCCTATTGTCAATTCTGAACTCCTGTTTCAAACTTGTGGCTGTTAATTTTGTAAGTCACTGTTCAACAGCTTAAGGTGTATTAGTAAATTTTTTATATGTAAAGTTAAATTTCCGCACTCCGACTTTCAATCATAAATTAGCGTGTGTGATGGCAATCTAGCATCATGTTGTGTCAAGCATAAATGGTTTCATTCTCATGCAAGTTATCAGTCGTTGATACAAAAATGTTTTGATCAGACACATTTACCAAGGTTTGACAATATTTTACAACACAAACAACTGCTGCCGGAGTTTTGCCTGGCAAAAATAGAGGGAGCCCCGGCCTTACTCCGGCCTCCAGTACTCTTGTGCATGGCACTAGACATTAACCTTTCAGTATTTTCAGTGCTGGCATATTGTTGTGAATTATTTACTGATGTGTAGTTTTGTTTTCAGAAAACAGCGACAGCTGTGGCATATTGCAAGGAAGGAAATGGTATGATCCGTGTAAATGGCCAACCTCTTCATCTTGTTCAGCCTGAAACACTGAAATTTAAGGTAAGAATAAAGTTTTCGTGTTTTAAATCCATCATGTTGCTGTTTTTTTTGCCCTAAATTACATTATTATAGTTGGCAATGCCCATATTTCTGTTCTTTATACTAGATCAATTTTATTTTAAACATGAATGTATCAGCATTTACATAACTTTTTAGTTGACATTGGTAACAGGATTTGGAATAATGCTGCAAAAATATGTCAAATTTTGTAAGCCATTTTTGTCAAGAAGAATTTTTGTTGGCTATTCTCAGATTATAAGCCTTCTGAAAAATAATATTCCTGTAGATACGTACAGAAAACATGGACACTATTTGAACTTGAAAAGAATCATGGCGTAAATATTAATGATGACATAGTCGTTGTCACAATGATAATAGGGAGCTTTAGAAAGAGTACAACTACGGCAACGAGTACGAAGTTTGACCGTGTAGGAGAATGGCACGAGGAAGTTTGTTGTCTTTATCGCTTCGTCAAAATTTTGTTTTAGTTATAAACAACAGAACGAGCCTTTTTATTGTGTAAAACACAGAAGTTTGCGAAGCAGCTACGGCTCCATTTGTTAATAATGATATCAACAAATCGGTAATACTGATTTTGCAAGAATATAGGACTCTTTAGACTGAAAAATCTTCACTATTTTAAGTTTTATGTACGATATATTTGTACTATTTTATTGTTTGTTTACCTTTCACTTTGCGTACGAAATACATGAAAGTTTTGCAGGTCATATTTTCCTTTTTAATGTACATCTGCGCTCAAAAAAGGTTCTAAAGTAAAGCCTGGATGCTCGAAAATAGTGCTGTAAACTAATTTCTTACAGAATGAAGAAATACCTACTTTCTTTGCTTAAAAAGACATCGTAGTCGCGACTACGATTTTTTTACAAAACGTACTCAGATTGATGACGGCTACGTGCTACACAATAAAAAGGCTCGTTCTGTTGTTCACAACTAAAACAAAATTTTGACGAAGCGACAACGACAACAAACTTCCTCGTGCCATTCTCCTACACGGTCAAACTTCGTACTCGTTGTCGTAGTCGTACTCTTGCTAAAGCTCCCTAATGTTTTCCCTACAAAATGACGTAAATCGTACTCGTAGTAGTACTCGTAGTCTTTGCTAAAGCTCCCTATTTAGGTATATCGCCGGCAGACAGCAGCTATTTTGAAGCATTGCTCATTCAATTTGACTGCCACATTGTATTAACTTACTAATTTTCATTTGAACATTGAACATGCAAATCTTAACCGTTTCAACAATGACTGTGTTCCCCTAATAGTGTATTGAAAACTCACGTTGTGGTAGTTTTAATGCTTTTTTTTTTATTTCATACTTTGAGATTCCTGTTTTTATTTTTTGTCATCTTCATTTGAAGTAGAGGAAATATGTCCCAATTCATCCATTCTACTGTGCTTTTATTAGTTGGAAGAGCCAATATTGCTGTTAGGCAAGGAAAGATTTGAGGGCGTAGATATCCGTGTCCGAGTGAAGGGTGGAGGTCATGTCTCACGTGTTTATGGTAAGAAATATTATGGTATATGAATGAACATGTCCTCCTATGGTATATGTATATGAGTGTCATTATTAAAGATGTATGCAAGGGGAGAGTACTGTTCTCATAGAGTTATTATAGAATTGTTGGGTTAGTGCTCTGGTTTTAAACAGTTCTTTTAAGAACTATTACGTTATTATTTTGACCATTCATCATGGTATTTGCTCTTTTCAAATTTGTAACCATGGCAAAGCCCCTATTTTGCTCTATGAAAAATAGTTAATACTGAATCATATAAGCATATTGGTCTTTATTTTATGTTCATGTACTCATATAATACGTGTTGGTCTTTCGTGTTTACACTCAAGTTTGTGGAAGTAAAACATAAATTCAAAAATGTATAAAACATCTCCTACCTTCTTTTCCAAAATAAAAAAGCATCTACTCCCTTTCCCAAAATAAGAAAGCATCTACCCCCCTTCCAAAATAAAACATCTCCTACTTTCTTTCCCAAAATAAAAAAGCATCTACCCCCTTTCCCAAAATAAGAAAGCATCTATCCCTCTTTCCAAAATAAAACATCTCCTACCCCCTTTCCCGAAATAAAACATCTCCTACCCCCTTTCCCAAAATAAAAAAGCATAAGCATTGGTTTACTAACTCATGCAGAAAGACTGAGATGTCTGAAATTGTTTGATGTTTATTTTTAGTGAAGTTGTATAAATGAGTGTTTGATAAATAGTTTGTAAGTGTAATGAAATCTATACACAATAACCGGAAAGCTCGAAGTCTCCTGTCTATTTATTTCCTATAATATATGCTAATTATCTACATGTGACTAATTAATATTCAATAAAGACAGTAAGAGCTCTCTGTCTGTATTAATCATATGTTATACTGGTTTGTGTTTACTGTAGCAATCAGACAAGCTATTGCAAAGTCATTGGTCGCCTACTATCAAAAATGTGAGTAGTAAACAATGAATAAAACAACGTACATCTTCAACTAAGGTCACGTGTTTGCTGATGTGATATTGTTAATAATTGACTGGTTCTCGTCAACAATGATCGCAGTGTTTTACATATACTGTACTTGAAAAATACAGAGATTGTTCTGATTTCTTTTGCACTTCATTTGAAGTTTTATCATACATACATGTCACGTAAAGATTGTGAGCTTGTTTATTGAGTCAAATTCAAAATTGAAGCTTCTCATTCATGTAATCAATGCACATGATACGGCAGATGTGACGTACGTACCATTGAAGCTTCTCATTCATGTAATCAATGCACATGATACGGCGGATGTAACGTACGTACCATTTAAGCTTCTCATTCATGTAATCAATGCAAATGATACGTCAGATGTAACCTACGTACCATTGAAGCTTCTTGTACCATCCTCATCGTGAGCCGTAACCCTTAATCTTATACTACTAGGCTATGGCCTACGTACTTATAGGTTTGATATTGGATTAAAGAACTGGAGACACTGTTTTGGGTCACGTGCCCGAATCGCAAGTATTATTAAGTCACGTGCCAGAATAACAGTGCAAACTAAAAGTAGATAGGTTTTTCTGACTCGCACACCATAACGGTGTGGAAAGTTGGCAATATCGTAGTGGATGAGGTGTTTTGGTCACGTGACACAACTACAGGTACCCTGTCATTGGTTAAGTTGTTTTCTGTCGCGTGCCACAACCACACGGTGGCATTGTAGTGGCTGAGTTGTTTTCTGTCACGTGGCATCACTACTGGGTAACGTTGTAGTGGCTGAGTTGTTTTCCGTCACGTGCCAAACTACAGGGTAACCTTGTAGTAGTTGAGTTGTTTTCTGTCACGTGGCATCACCACAGAGTATTGTGGTTGAATTATGTATTTATGAAAAGATGGACACGGAACACGGGGACTGTTTAAAAGTGTGTCTGTGATGATACACTTTAGTAGAAAATATTTTACACAAACTATGTATTACTAACTCGTTCAATGTTTAGTATACTTTGTGCAATTATTAATATGAACAACAATGTAAAAACATCATTCATAATTATCTTTTTGGCTCTCATTCCTACAGTTGTCGACGAAGCCTCGAAGAAAGAGATAAAGGATATCTTGACTCAGTATGACCGATCACTCTTAGTTGCCGATCCAAGACGAAGCGAAGCAAAGAAGTTTGGTGGTCCTGGACCGAGAGCTCGCTACCAGAAATCTTACCGTTGATCTCTATTATTGTACTTACGTACTGTATAGTGAAGCTAATAAATACCGCTTGCTGACTTTTGCTATCGTTTTTATTCTTACAGCACTGACTATAGACAACGGCTTACATTAGAAAGTTGGTATACCAACTTTGAACAACCCCCCTGAACAGATCACAGCAATTACCGGCACCTTACAAACGACTTATTCACAATACAAACAAGCGATCAACTAAAACATTACACTTCACACTAATTCACAATGACAATACACAATTGACACCCACACATTACAACTAAAAACATCACACCTAAATCACACATCACAACTAAAAATAAAAATATTTCACTTCACACTAATTCACAATGACAATACACATTTCCTTTACACACAATGCAATGACGTAAGAACCAGATAACAAATACAGCTAACCTGACGTTTACTCCTCATTTGACTCTGAAGATGACTACCGCTAAGGTTGTCGAAACGTCAGTCAACAACAACAAAAACAGTCCTTCTCAGGACTATACCAACCTGGACGATTTACATTTACAAACATGTAACGATTTTATTCTCTTCGTTGATCTTCTACAATGAAAATCTCCCTTTCATTAATAGGCTGAGAGAGCTTCCCCCTGTACTCCCCTACAAGCCAGACTTATCAAAAACAGTCAAATACGTTTACAACGTACATGCAACAAAAGAGACTCCAACAACGTGATATATAATCGTCTTCGCGCGTGAGTGATAGATGAAGTGCAGTAGGAAGATGGCCAGAGTGCTTCAAAGAGTTGATGAATCATGAAAATGAGAGATAACTAAGGTTGCAAATATCAGTAAACATAATTTCAAAAGTGTTTGTAAAAAGTGATGAGCCAGTCGGTCTTGAATCCTATTGAAATCTCCGTGGACTCTTGACAGGGTTGTTAAATAAGATCCTATATAGAGGATAGTTTGCTTAGAGCAGGGGTGGGCAACTTCCCCAGTCGGCGGGCCAGATTTAGGAAAATGAAGTTATTGGTGGGCCGGATTATTACATGAATAATATTCAATATCTTAATCACAGATATAGACGGATACAGTCGGCTGGCCAGTCAAAATCCTTTCAGGGGTCGGACCCGGCCCGCGGGCCGTATGTTGCCAACCCCTGCCTTAGAGGATGCCAGCCACTTCTTGTTTGCTATTGGGATGAAAGGCTAAGTGACAAAACTGGATAGAAGTCCCTGCACTGTTTTAGACTATCCACACTTTCTGCTTGATCTTCATTATCCGGTATCCACAGGAAATTAGTCTCCCGTTCCCTCGAAAAAAATTGCTCCCCTGGAGTCAAATTTCCTAGAAATCTCCCCTCCCCCCCTAGTAAATATGGCTCCTTTGGAAATTTGGCCCCCATTAAAAACTGTAACTTTTATCTCGAAAACGATCTTTTGCAAAACAAAGATCACAGACAATCTAAGATTTACAAGTTATGTAGATCTTCAGAATTGTGACCAGCGATATACCCGGCGGGAAGCGAATTCTTAATATAAATATTAAAGCCCAGCAAAGTGCTTTTAAAAGAGCCATTTAATACAGAAATAACGTATAAAGATGTAATATACGTAAATTTAGTCACATAATATCTAACAAGTCAGAATTTTCGGACTTTAGCCTCGACTTAAGCGATGACATCATGTGTTGGCGATTATGTTAAAGCGCGAGTAATAAAACTAGTGAAAAATGTTCCTCGAATTAAAAAGCACACTTCTGTTGGTGCACGGTCGCCACCTGTAAGGTTTCTCTTGACCAAAGTCTCGAGATGAGTTATGCATATAATGCGAGCGACTTTGTTGCAAAAAATATTTATAAAACATCGCCACCTGTAAGGTTTCTCTTGACCAAAGTCTCGACATGAGTTATGCATATAATGGGAGCGACTGTGTTGCAAAAAATATTCATAAAACATCGCCACCTGTAAGGTTTTTCTTGACCAAAGTCTCGACATGAGTTATGCATATAATGTGAGCGACAGTGTTGCAAAAAATATTCATAAAACATCACCACCTGTAAGGTTTTTCTTGACCAAAGTCTCGAGATGAGTTATGCATATAATGCAAGCGACTGTGTTGCAAAAAATATTCATAAAACATCGCCACCTGTAAGGTTTTTCTTGACCAAAGTCTCGAGATGAGTTATGCATATAATGGGAGCGACTGTGTTGCAAAAAATATTCATAAAACATCGCCACCTGTAAGGTTTCTCTTGACCAAAGTCTCGACATGTGTTATGCATATAATGGGAGCGACTGTGTTGCAAAAAATATTCATAAAACATCGCCACCTGTAAGGTTTCTCTTGACCAAAGTCTCGACATGAGTTATGCATATAATGCAAGCGACTGTGTTGCAAAAAATATTTATAAAACATCGCCACCTGTAAGGTTTTTGACCAAAGTCTCGACATGAGTTATGCATATAATGTGAGCGACTGTGTTGCAAAAAAGATTTATAAAACATCGCCACCTGTAAGGTTTCTCTTGACCAAAGTCTCGACATGAGTTATGCATATAATGTGAGCGACTGTGTTGCAAAAAAGATTTATAAAACATCGCCACCTGTAAGGTTTCTCTTGACCAAAGTCTCGACATGAGTTATGCATGTAATGCAAGCGACTGTGTTGCAAAAATATTTATAAAACATCGCCACCTGTAAGGTTTCTCTTGACCAAAGTCTCGACATGAGTTATGCATATAATGCGAGCGATTGTGTTGCAAAAAACATTCATAAAACAACTTGACGATGAGAGGCTGTTGAATTTGATCTCGTTCTCAAGATTCTTACCAAGTCGATATTAAATTTCTATTCTTACTCAATCTCTTATTTCTTTCATAAGTTCCCTTCAATGTAGCAGATTATTTAAGTCTACGATAATATGTTTTTTTTAAACTAGTATTTTTGCAGTCATTTTCTGTAGCATGCTTTACACCGGCAATCCATACCATTTTACTATCTGCATATTTTATGTTATGTTACTTTGCTTATTCCGTCAGCCTTTCATACGAGAAAGTTATACCTTAGAATCTTATATCGCTGTAATAATAATAATCCTAATCAACTTCTCATCTTAGAAGCGCTTTTGATAAAATGCAATACAACTTAATAGTGGTCTCAAAGCTTGTAAGAAATTATCTCTATTTTAAATGTAAGTATACTGCCTTATATTTGAGCCTTATATTTGAGTCTTATAGTTCTCTAATTACGTAACTGTCACTTCCGCTTGTAAATAAGTATATAAAAGTTTCTCAGCCTGCATTGTAAACTATTAGTCTCAATAAAGACGAAATATTACACCAACTTTTGTTTTAAAACTCTTGTATTATCTTGAATATCAAGAAAACGAGATGTCAGTTTTCGATATTTGTTTTATTTTGTTATACGAGAAACTGCAGTGCTCTTCATATTTTTATATGTAAGTCTTAAACCAAACAATTCAATGAATTGACCACTGCGTGCTCGTAAGGGAAACTCCTGTATTACGTCATCAATCGGTAACACATACCATTTTAACATTTGCATATGGAATCATTATTAACCTTGAGGTGACAAATTTTTTCCATAGCTGTTTCCATTTCGTTTCGTGTTTGTTGCAGATGTGGTGCACTACTACCGAAGGAATTATTTGAATTCGACAAAACAGAATAAAATAGTCAATAAATGATGAATGATGAGTCTCGTTAAATTTTTCAGGCAGTTTTGGTTCTGAAGTAAGTAAGATTTTTAAATTTTCACCGAAATAAAAGAGGAAATTCGTCATTTTCTTTACTTGAACTCGTTATTTTGACAAAAATTTCTGTCGAAAATGAGCGATGAACAGCAACATACTGAGACTGGGGGAGTATTTAGATTGCTCTTACACGTACTCAACTATCCCCTTGTATGGCACATGCGCAGTTAGTGCAAGGTGAGTACTCAGACTGGGGGAGCGCTGAGAGACAACGACACTGCAATGCGATATCATATTTACTTTGACAACAAACAATATAAATACCGAACACAATGAAGGTCACAACTCACAACGGAATGCATTTAGGCTCAAATTACTTTCAATGATGATTTCCGAGGGAGGGGAATGAGATACTTGTCATTCCAGCACACACATAGCAAAACCATGAATATTTCAGCACTCCCCTCCGAACACATACACACAGTCCTGAAATATCATCTCAAAAAGTGAAGCCCATAAATCCATCTTTATGTTGGTTGTAAATGGTAAAGGAACGCGAAATAACATGTTTCGGTACCGTCCTAAATAAAAACAAATCACGTGCTGTGCTGATAATTCTCTCATACTTTCGGTGTTTCTTTGACTGAAATCACGTGACGAACTTTTTTCAGCAACTCTTAGAATTACCAGAAAACACACATAGCTGTACATTTTTGCAAAGTTAATTTTGGTTTGTAGAAATGGAAATTGTCGATTGTAATCCTTTGTCGTTCCTCGAGTTCAGTGAGCTTATGATCTGTAAAAAGGTTTGAACAGTACAACCAAATAAAACAAATCGAAACAACTTAAAGAATCGCTATTAATTATTCAATCCATGACTTAATTATTCAATCATCACCAAGTTGTTTCACATAACAGCTCTCTACTTCATTTATTTTTGCCATGACAGTCAGCTACCGGCATTTCAATGATTTCGTAATCTTAGGTATAATTTTATTTTACTCCCTTAATGAATGACTGATTGAACGATAGTATAAATTTATCACATAGTTGATAAGCTTACATTTGCCGCCATGCATGATGGGAAAGATATTGTAATTGTCCAATAAATCGTATCAGTTCCGAAAATGATGTCGCACTGATACCAGCCAAATGCCGGCAGGTCAGCGCATAGCAAAGTCAGTTAGTTTGATAATGTTTTAACTTAAAAATGTTTAGTTTAAAAGTTTAGTTTAAACGCTTTGAATCATTTCTTCTGAGGATGGTTGCGTGGAAAAATTTTGAAGTTTTCTTCGTAGCCAGTTTGGGAGAAGGATACGTGTGGATTCTTGAATTGTGCGCAGGGGGTCCGCTTTTGATCGAAAAAGACTTTCTTTATTATCGTTGAGGCCTAAATTAAATTTTATCTGTTGTTTTTCATGCGCTTCTGTTTTAACCGGAGAAGGTTTGAACTGTACAGTCACTGTATGCTGTGATGACTCATTCAAAAGTTTTTCAGATTCGGTTGTTATTTTTCCAAATTCCTCCTCCGTATTTGGATGTTCCGTATCGAAGACTGCTCCTTCAGAAAAACTTCCATCATCTCGAGGGCTTTCTTCATGGCTGCTGCAACTGCTTACGGACGCACCGCCCATCGCCTCTTCGGCAGTTGAAAACGAACTGAAGCTGCAATTCTCCATGCGTTTGAGACCAAAATGAAAGGCGCTGGTTGTAAAACAATAAATTCAGCAGCCCTCGCCGAGCTCTTGCTGAATAATACGAAAGCCCTGTATTTAAGCTTGGAATGTTCCTTTGCAACAAGCACACATGTTCTTGAGTAAGGTGCAATATCGACTCCTGTAGTAACATCTTTGATATAAACCAATGGAAAGGTGTACAATACATCATCTTCGTCATTCCCAGAAATGTTAATACATTGTGTGTTAACAGTCACGATTACTGACGGAGCCTTTCTTATATTAGCATTTTTTTCCTTGTACAATGCATGAATGTCGTGTATTAAATTTGCTAGCTCGTGATCTGTTCCGCCTAATTTCAAATCTTCGCTGCAGCCCAAGAACTGCATTTTGAATTTCCAACCGCAGATAACTTCTTCTTCTCGTAATCTGAATGCGTTCGTTTGTTTCATGATTTTCTTGTTACGAGCTGACGATGCGTCCTAAGCAAAGTTTAGAAAGACAATGAATTAATGTTGCCGGAGACAAAGTACTTACACAGGGCTCTGTTGTGACTTGTTTTTGCAAAGTATCAGATCGAAATACCTGTCGATCAGGTTTCGTATCAAGCACGCGACAGATTAAATTTAATATAAAGTATCATGCATATCTCAAATCTTGCGATTAAACCAATACGCACCAATTTAAATTTCGTGAATTTATCAATGGGTTGCTAACGTATCCAAATCAACTACTATACATGTATGACTTTATGTAATGTTTAGTAAAATATGTGCCACCTTCGTGGCTTTGTCAATGTGACCCAAGGCGACCCAGACATATAACAGTCTAGTGTTTTGTGCCAGGAATTCAAGTTATGAAAATAAATCAATTTATTTGACTGTCTTTTATTTGGCTGTCGTGCTTGCGTGAGCGGATATTGTGTTATGCTCAATAGGAAAGAATTCTGTGAGAATTAATACCGCTGTGAAAAAAACTGACAGAAGAGCGAAGAATCTTCAGACACGCTCTTGAGACACGCTTTTCTTCACATGTTTCATTAATCGCCTTCAAGCTCACACTCAAGACAACATGTATTTAGAGTAATAATGGTTCTGTTCATGGGAAAATGGAAAATATTATTTTCGGATAACATTTTGCATCGAGTTAGGTGGGTTGCATTGCTCGTGAAAATTCGCCGATAAATACACAATGCCTTTTAAGTTTGACGTTGATTTTTATTATTTGACAATTTTATCGACCAATATTTATCAAAATCTGAAAGTAGAACAATTAGAGTGCTTTCCACTTTTCTTCATCAATATAATTGGCCATCCGAAATTGAGAATTCAGAAAAATTAGATTATTCTTCACTTTATCATTGTCTGTTATGGCTTAAATATGATAGATATTGTGAGAACAAAGTACACACTGATATATATGTTGCGTACATGAATGATGTCACGAAGTTATACATCAATCACATGCACACAGCATGCCCTTCATCCATATAAGTATGCCAAAACCGCTGAAATGTAAGTTTCAACCATTGGTTATTATCGCACAAATTAAATATTCGTTCCACAACACTGTTATACAAAATGAACTGCGATATAAGCAAAATGGAGCTACAAAAATCACAAACCGCAAATGTTTTGCTCAGTTAAATTCTTCGAAACATAGCAAAGACCATGCTTTCGACTTGTTATGTCGTAACAAGATCTTCCAAAAATAGCTGGGGTTTGTCCTCGTGAAAATACGGCTTAAATTACTCAATTTAATAGCGTGATGTGGCGTGATGATTATCGGCCTGACTGTAAATGTGTCGATGAATATAATAGTTAGTTGGTACTCCACTGTCAACTCACCAATCCTTGCAATTAAATAAACCTACTGATAATAATGATAAAATAAATGTTTAGCGCTGCTTAAAAAACATCCAATCGACTGGGAATAGGAAGAAAGTCAAAAAAACAGGTCATCGAGATAGATTTATTTGAAAATGTTTGTTGGACAGACGATAATCCAAGTCACAATGCCATAAAGCTGTACATATGTAACGGCAATATACGTTGATGCAAGTTTGAAACATTAAGTTTATTTACATTAAGCAATATAATCTCTCAGTGGAAACAAACCTTTCATAATACAATATAACTTTCATAATACACTGATAAATAAGTATTAAATACAACAAAATAGTACTATTGTGCAATGATCATGCAACAATAAAATCTTAACACAAACAGTCCACAATGTTAAACAAAATAATTCATTCTATAGCTCAAACTATTTTGAAGTGTAAATGTATCAATTAACAAAATAATTCATACTATAGCTCAAACTATTTTGAAGTGAAAATGTATCAATTAACAAAATAATTCATACTATAGCTCAAACTATTTTGAAGTGTAAATGTATCAATTAACAAAATAATTCATACTATAGCTCAAACTATTTTGAAGTGTAATTGTATCAATTATACAATGAATGACCATCTTGTGGTTTTTGTAAAAGGAAAACATAAAGGTTATGTGGTTTCAGATCAATCGATAATCGCATAAAACGCAGAAATTCCAGCTTGTACGAGCCACAAACGAGTCTTCACTAATCGTATCTCAAATACCGTCTGGGATGAAAAACAATAAAAAAAAGAAATATATTTTCAAATGTAATCTCACGACTATCCCTTAAACCGCAAGCTTTTTTCTTATGCAGTCTAGGGTGTCGATGGGCGATGCGACACGATTTATTTAATTCCCATAAAGTTTTAGGTTGAAATACTGGCATGCTTTAATAAATAATTTCTTTATTTCAAAACTGCAATACATCACGGCGCGTTATGAAAGTATATTTATATCATTAGTTGTGCATTATGCAGCACAGAAGGTCAAGAGGTACGACATTCCATGCATGCTGAAATGAGCCACCATTGATAAGTAACTGCATTAGATACGAAATGTGGTCATTAAGACTGCATTAGATACGAAATGTGATCATTAGGACTTCATTAGATACGCAATGTGATCGTTAGGACTTCATTAGATACGAAATGTGATCATTAGGACTTCATTAGATACGAAATGTGATCATTAGGACTGCATTAGATACGAAATGTGATCATTAGGACTTCATTAGATACGAAATGTGATCATTAGGACTGCATTAGATACGAAATGTGATCATTAGAACAGCACAGAAACCTATCGGAAACGTTCTCAAAATTCGTTTGCGAAACTCTATTCTAGTAATATAGGTGCATAAATGACAATAAATGATAAAATTTTACACCGAGAAATATGCCTTTTTTTTCAATTTCATCCGGCTTTATCAGTTTTATTTGCTGACATAACATGACAATAACAAACAGCTGCTTGAGCAGCTGATGGGGGCGGGGGGTAATACAGTTTCAAATAATCTCGTGACATGCTTCAACTTTTATATCTTTGTAAGAAGTTTTGCCACTTTATTAAGCACCTTTTTTAGAATCATGAGCCGTGGAAATATATCGCCGAAATAAAGGTGTTCGTTTAATGGCTAGACGAATGTCGCAACCACGCTGAATGTACAAATTATTGATATGAAAGAAAATTCGTTAAATTCTCATTTTCGAAGTCTGTAGTCAATTAGTTATCTTCAATAAAACAGTGTTATGCTAATCCATATGTTAGGAGAATATGCACGTGATCATTTGCATCTACTTTTGAGTAGTTTCATTTCCATGCATGACATATAGCAAAAATCATTATATGTCAATCTGTATATTCAGCAGTCGATATTATACTTTTTGGCAAACGAGCATATAGAATTTCCTATACGGACTACAAAGCCTTGCGATGACTTCCTGGAAGGTAAACCAGACGTCCACGGACAAATTTACCAAAAGTGATACTGTAAAATACTTTCAAAAATCTGTTGACAAAAATACAAGTAAAGTGCAAAGTTTATGTTGATTATATAAAGTCCCTTTTTACAAACTTAGCCCTTATTTTCAACGGTATATAGTGAGCATGGCTTAAGAAAATGAATTTATACAGCCAAATAACGATACAATGTACAATGAGTTCATTGATTCAGTTCAATTTAACCCAACACAGCCGCTTTTCCGGAAATACCTCGATAATTTTCATGCCAAGATTCCAGATGTGTATATCTTATGATCACAAATACTCGCATAAATACTGTGAAAATATTTTTCCGCATTTTCGCTTCTTCATTTGAAAATCACGCTGATGTGATGTGATCATGCAATGACACATAATGTTCACACTTTGTAAATCTACTTGTTTGCTTAGAAGTTTCAGCTATAAAGCATTCTCTCGGTGATTGACTTGTTATATTGTCAACTATTTCAAGTTGAGATGCTGCAGTGATCAGTAATTATCTGTAATTCATCAGAATATCAGGCCCATTTGGATCGTTTTACGATTAGGAGGGCTGAAAATCAGACGAGTAAAAGCCTTACAGAGATTCGAGGAGAAAATGGGACGTGTTTAACTTTCTCTGTTATTTTAAGTTTTAACTTTTCGACAGGCGAACATATTTGTGGTTATTCATGTGTATGTTTATGCCTGTAGCAAAATACCTTCAATGACTTATTTGTTATCAGCTGATGGCTTTGACACCGTACAAATAAATAAGATTAACTTTAGTGATGTCGAATGCTGAAAGATTGGCAACCGAAAGTCTGCATTGTATTTTTGTCGCGAATAAACTCGTCATAATCTTAATGCATTGACTCTGAAAAGCGAACTTGCAAATTAAGTTCAAAAAATTCCAAGTAATTCATAAACAGATATATTTTATATTACATCACGTTGAGCATGTACGTAAATAGATTATCGGATCATATCCTCATATTCAAATCAAGAGTTGTTCTTTAAAACCGTCTTTAGAGAGCTAATTTTCAGAAAGGTATGATTGTATAATAACATATATTATCCATGCTATGATATTGGAGGGAGATTTATGAAAAAATTCGATTGACGTTTGTCCAATTATTGTTATGCATACAGACAACGTTGAACGTTTCATTCTAAGTCAACCGTCATCGCAGTGCTGTAGAAGTGGGCGGGCGCTTGGGGGAGGAGCCCCCCTTCTACCTTTGAAATGGGTAATTCTAAAAGGACACTATTGACAAAAACGTCAAGAGAGCCCCCCATCTGATAAATTTAGCTCTACAGCACTGCGTCAACGTTGATTTAAACAAATATGTAGATGCATAACAGTCAAGAAAAAACTGTAAAAATTGATTTCATAGCACGACCAACCTATATACTATAATTTTTCACAATGTTGGTAATAACTAGTCAGACTACATGTATGATTCGTCGTGATGATTGAGTGTTCATCACATTTTCTTAGCTATCTGTTGATTTGGACGATCAACTTAATGATCTTATGCATACGAGTGCAGTAAGTGCTTAGTAGCAGTAACTATTAACGATTGGGAGTAATTTGCTATAGTTTTTTTTCGTTGAAGGTAAACTATACTACTATACCCAAGTTACTTGCTTTTATTTTAAAGAGGAAGTTTTTATCAGTTAAAAGGATTCATAAAATCAGCTTATCTATTAAGCAAATACTTCGTAAATAATATTTACTGGATTTTAGATTTTACTTTAAAAATATACCACTTCAGGAAATGTCACGCTATTTGTGACACATAAAGCTTAATGAACTGTGAACGGTGAGAAAGGTATATTAGTACGGTGATTGTGCAAGGCATATTTTCTTCATGTTGGTGCTCAATGATGACAAAAACAATTAAACGTATCAATGGCATCTTTCAAAGTGACAAGGACGTTTTTTAAATGTTTTCTTGCATTAAAGGAGGAGGTTTCATTCATCATTCTAGTGACAAGCCACACATTCAATCACCTTTCTAATTGGCCTATCAATATTTGATCCGTTTGCTTTTACTATCAAATCCAAATGTATAACATGCATATCTTGCACAGAATCACCATTCTTATAGCTTTTACTATCTGGCCCAAGTATATAATCTGCATAACTTTTACAGATACACCATTTTATTTTGTAATACTGTCTGGTCCAAGTATACAATATGTATATCTTGTACAGAAACACCATTTTTATTTTGTAATACTGTCTGGTCCAAGTATACAATATGTATATCTTGCACAGAAACACCATTTTTATTTTGTAATACTGTCTGGTCCAAGTATACAATATGTATATCTTGCACAGAAACACCATTTTATTTTGTAATACTGTCTGGTCCAAGTATACAATATGTATATCTTGCACAGAAACACCATTTTTATTTTGTAATACTGTCTGGTCCAAGTATACAATATGTATATCTTGCACAGAAACACCATTTTATTTTGTAATACTGTCTGGTCCAAGTATACAATATGCATATCTTGCACAGAAACACCATTCTTGTAGCTTTTACTATCTGGCCCAAGTATAGAATATGCATGCATATCTTCTACAGAGTCCTCGTTCTTATTTGCTTTCACTACATCTGGTCCAAATTTATATAATAAACATATCTTGCACAGAATCACCATTTTTATTTTGTAATACTGTCTGGTCCAAGTATACAATATGCATATCTTGCACAGAAACACCATTCTTGTAGCTTTTACTATCTGGCCCAAGTATAGAATATGCATGCATATCTTCTACAGAGTCCTCGTTCTTATTTGCTTTCACTACATCTGGTCCAAATTTATATAATAAACATATCTTGCACAGAATCACCATTTTTATTTGCTTTAATGATCTTGTCTAATTCTAAAACATATTTCAAAACGTATTTACTTTGTTCAAATTAATACTCCATGAATCATGAATCATTTATTACAGATAACTGGAGGAGAGAAAATTTGATCTTAATTATTGCCTTTTTCTCCGCGACAGTCAAATTTTGTCTTAACTCGATATGACTTGCTTATTTGACCGACTGAGAGATTAAAAGAGCAATTTATAATCCCATCAGTGTATTTTTTGAAGTTTAGAATGCTATAGAATGGAGCGTAGTGTTCAGTTTCTCAGTTTCTTGCTCGTATACATGCCCCCCCAAAAAACAAAATGGTCAAAACGACTATTTTTTCCGGTTGCAACAATAATTGAATGTTCATGTTTGCTCTGTTATAGCTATGAGAAAGTCTTTTCATACTATTCGCTCATGATTGAGGTAGGCAAAGTGTGCTTTTATAGTGAAACAAACTATCAACGATGTTGGACCCACGTTATAAAATAAATAATTTAAACAGGAATATAGGTTGACGTTCCTACTTAAAGCGGCCTGAGCAACTTTATGCTCAACATCAATCATTACTCATTGTGATAAAGCTAGTTGCCCTGTTTTGACGTTTTTGCAAACCTTCGGGTTCTATCTCTCCCAAAACGTCCCAAATCTCGCAGAAATAGGTGAAGTGCAGATAAACGAGAGCATAAGAAATAGAGACAAGAGCTCCGTATCAGTAACAAAATCTCTAGCTTGCTAAAAATTCTCTTTCGTAGCTATAATACATGGCATTTCTTACCTGCAACACTCATCAGGTGGCAAATTTTAACCTAGTATATACATATATTTCTAATATAACCTAGTATGTAATATTTGTCCTAATATATTCAGCCCACTCAGCCTAATACAAATATCTTTATATAATAAAAACTAACACGTCCAAAGATAAAACACAAGATAAAACCAAAGATAAAGCAAAAGATACAAACCAAAGATAATACACGACTTATACCCCAAACGATTTTATTCAACTAAAAATTTGTATCGAAATTCGAAAGGCAATGTTTTTTACTTATATTATATTTCGTACGCTCTAATTTGGCAAACAGCTTTCTACCTATACAGTTTCGTTTGTGCTGGTTTGGACCTCGTTATATATATCATGGGGTGTATATGTATAAACAATTCAACGCAAAAGCTATGGCACAAACACAAGATTAATATGTAAATGAACTTGTTCAGTAAAAAGCGTCAAGTCTCTTTTCAAATTTCGTATTTTATAAAATCATTTTTAAAGTTCACATTTAAACAAAATCCAAAGAAAAAGTTTAACATTCCTTTAGTTACTTTGAACACAACCGAGCCATCTTTCAAGATTGGGACTCTTTAGATTCCGGAGTTCAACTACGTACGTTTTCAAATAATCATCACCCGCATGCTTAACTCGGCCAAAACGTTTATCATATAAAAAATCGAAATTATTCGATGACTTTACAGTTTTGCAATATACAAATGCAAAATTTAATCATGGTTATCATCGTCGCTACAAAGACCATATTCAGCGCTCATTAACATTACTTAACATGCAATAAAATAACTACATGTTATATAACACAGCTTCATGTTTATAATTGGCAAAATTCATCATGAATTGGCCCACTTACCAGCTCGCTCTCATTAAGAGTGTTTAAAGATGTTATTTCACATTCAATGGACGACATTTTGCCATAAAATGTATGGATGTAAAGCCATCAGCGTGAGAAGAGTAATAAAGATTATTTTGCGTGGGTACTATCAAAGTTAACAATATCTGCTTTGTATAACAAATGCAATCATGCAAAGTAAGACTGTTGAATATTCGAGCGTTAATTAACGACTGCTTTCCGGAAAGGTTCGTTTGTCTTTGTAATAAAGACCAGTCAAGACTATACTGTCATTGCATAGAAATAATTAGAAGTATATTGTTTATGAAAAGAATATATTGAGAGTTACATCAACACAATTGAGCAATAGCATATTATGAAGATTATAAGAAATATCAGACTTATTTTGAAAATATGGCGTTGCTTATAGTGCTTTTCCCTATACGGCTTTGATCGTTTTAAAAGTCAATTGAATGCAGAATTCAACAATATCAAAATTTTACAATTTGAAGGAAAGACAATCATTTTTGAGCACGCTCATTATCTAATGGACATCGCTATACCGGAGCCTGATACATGCGTCACCGGAGGTGGAGCCTGATTCATGCAACTTTAACCAAAAATTTCCCCAAGATAAGCTATTTTATTACTTGTCTGACAACAATTAATGAAACGTAAGCCTTACTCACCTATTTCATAAAATTTCATAGATTATGAAGTTGCAGAAATCCGATGCAGAAAAACAACTTAAAAAACCCAAGGAAAGAATTTATTGAAGTTTTGAAGAGGATGATGAGACAATCAAACATTACCCATAATCAATTGATCATAAATTCTTCAACCCTTTAATCACCGTATATACACATGGCTGCATGTCACAGTGCATTGGGCGCTCTTAAATTGCAACAAATCTTTAGTAAATGACCAACCAACGGTATTCAATAAAATATTCTTTTGTATCAGACCATCAAATGACGCATTCACATTCAAGTCTGACGGCACAAAAGAATGCTTTCGCGGCAAAAAGATAATTAGTTATCGCCTGACTTATTGTACATCAGACAATTTTAAATATTGTTTATAACTTTTTTGTATTTTTGAAAAACGGACCACGATGATGTATGGGAGCTGCATGTGCACATAATGCAACTCTACCCCACCCCACCCCCCATCCTTTGGTTACAGGTCTGTTTTGTCGCAAGATCTTTCACCGTCAGTTAGATTCATATTTTCGGATACTTTATATAGCTCGGCAAATACATGACAAACAGTGTTCAAGAAAGCAACAAACATTTGAAATAACAGAATATATAATATTTACCATTAATAAGAGAATAACAACCTTCAATTGACCAATCAGCTTTGGTATTTGCGTGCTGTACAGGGTGCCCAAAAACAACCCGGAAACAATCAAAGCGTGTGTATTGTTTTGCTTATATAACACTTTATGATGATCAAAATGCCGGAAATAAATATCTCATTTTAATGTCATCTGAAAGACTGAACACTTTTATTATGCTCTCTTTAGGGTTTCCATCTGGAAAACTTGATTCGCAAGTGAAATGCGCATTGTACCGATCAACAGGCTTATGCAAACCGAGGGAGCTTTGGGAGAACTCGAGAGCAGATCAGTGCAAGCCCGAGACTGAAGGTCGAGGGTTGCACATCTCGAGTTCTTTGCATAAGCCAGTGCAAACATGAAAAACATCTTTTGTTTCTATTATAAAATAACAATGATGCAAAACAGACAAATTTAGAGTAAACGTGTAAATTTAGAGTTTACAATATATGACATAATCAATATAATATGTAATGACGTAGTTACTGTGAGTCAGCATGACACGCATAAATTGTTACTTTGACGTTATATTAACGTCACAGACTCTCTGTATAGTGTCTGAAATTTATGCAGGATAAAACAGAACAACAACGAAACAATGACATGGAATATACAAGTCAGTCTATGGAACCATTAATTAGCAACTCGAGTCACTAACGATTCAATAGAGTCACTAATAAATTCAATAAAATAAAGATTAATTCTACCGAGAAAACAGTCGACAGTTGTAAAATTTTAAGAAAGCACTGCAACGGCAAATCTATACTGATTTGTATAAAATACCACTAACATCGCATTAAACTCAGTATAAATGACAATTTCAGCAAAAGGTCGAATCTTAAAATTCAAATGTCAGTGCACTTAACCCATGCTAAAAATTACCTCAATTATCTTTGGATTACAACTTCTTTGAATCTCATTGTTTTCTTCCTCTAAAACACGCTTTCTTTTTGAGACAATTTTGTCGTTTGCACAGTTCTACGTGCAGCTCTTTGGCAATTGTAATGAATCTGACACCTTCTTCAAAAGTATGCTGCTTGGACGTTTGTATTTCCAAACAGCCGTTGTGTCCTGTCCTTTAGTATTTGCTTGTCAACAAACCACTTTCGTACTGTTTAGTTGCACATGGTATTTTGCCCAAGTGAAATGTCCTGCTCATTTTTGATCTACTTCTTTTTCATGCACAAGCATTCTTTATAATATTTTTTATTTATAATAATTTACTAATTTTATTCTTTCAGGGTTTTCTGCACATCATCGAAAGAACTTGGTACTGTTTAAGAAATTTCTTTGTAACCAAAAGGAGTATTTTCATGGATTCTAAATTCAAAGATTATTTGACGTCATCGTTTACAGATTTCTGCATATTTTTCTATCTATTTATTCATTTATTTATTTGATTATTTATTTATTTTATATTTAGTTATTTATTTATCTATCTATTTATTTATTCATTTATTTATTTATTTATTTATTTATTTATCTATCTATTTATTTATTCATTTATTTATTTATTTATTTATTTATTTATCTATCTATTTATTTATTCATTTGTTTATTTATTTATTTATTTATCTATCTATTTATTATTCATTTATTTATCTATTTATTTATCTATCTATTTATTTATTCATTTATTTATTTATTTATTTATTTATCTATCTATTTATTTATTCATTTATTTATTTATTTATTTTATTTATCTATCTATTTATTTATTCCTTTATATATTTATTTATTTAATGGCATACTTACACTTTTCGCAATCAAAGATTCAATTATAAATTGTCAACATGAGTAATTATTTAAATTGTATAAATAAAGAAGTCACTTTGTGTGTTTCTGCGCGTGAGCAGAATTAACAAATTTCTGCAGGTCAGAAATTTTGAGTGACAGCGGTCACATCACTGAGTTGCTGTCTTTGATAACAAAAAAATATGCCTATTTTTGGCGTTCAAATCCGAAAAAATCATGAATTTTATGATGTTACAAATCCATTAAGCAATATTGCTGTCATAACAAAGGGTTGCCTTTAAGAAATGTCACCTATTTTTTTTATTGACACACCTATAGACCACTGGGGGTATAGGTATGGTGTTTATTACTTGCCAACGTTTTGTGACGCAGTGTTATTTGTACATCATACAAAAACAAAGAATTTTCGAAATTGTTCAAGGCTTCAAGAAGTAAAAATGATTTAGAAGAGAAAGCGCAGTCACCAACAAAAGGTACACATCCCCACACTCTGTACGTAACACTACCCTCTGCACTCAACTCAACCCTGTGTGCTCAACTTGAGTCTCTGGACTTAACTCTACCCTCTGTACTCAATTCCCCTTTGTACTCATATCTACCTTCTGCACTCTATTTAACACTCTATACTCAACTCAACCATCCCAACATGTTTGTAAATGTAGATTGTCCAGGTTAGTATAGTCCTGAGAAGGACTGTTTTTGTTGTTGTTGACTGACGTTTCGACAACCTTAGCGGTAGTCATCTTCTGAGTCAAATGAGGAGTAAACGTCAGGTTAGCCGTATTTGTTATCTGGTTCTTGCGTCATTGTATTTGTGTGTACAGGAAATGTGTATTGTCATTGTGAAGTAGTGTGAAGTGAAATGTTTTTAGTTGTGATGTGTGATTTAGGTGTGATGTTTTTAGTTGTAATGTGTGGGTGTCAATTGTGTATTGTCATTGTGAATTAGTGTGAAGTGTAATGTTTTTAGTTGATCGTTTGTTTGTATTGTGAATGAGTCGTTTGTAAGGTGCCGGTAATTGCTGTGATCTGTTCAGGGGGGGGGTTTGCTCCAAGTTGGTAAACCAACTTTCTAATGTAAGCCTTGCCTATAGTCAGTACTGTAAGTAATGCATTTTGCCGAGTCCCAGTCAATATTGTGCTTTGTGATTCAGTGATGTTCGGCAATGTGATTAGTTTTGTCTTGTTTCTTAGTAGCTCGTTTGTGTTCAGTAAGTCTTATGTTTAAGTTCCTGCCAGTTTCCCGATATAGGAGGCGTGGCAGTCGGAGCAGTTTATTTTGTAAACTGCACCATGTCGTTCGTTGGTTTGTTCTTTGTCCTTTATGTTCGTTAGTACTTGTCGTAACGTTGTGATTGCTTTATGTGGGACACGTATGTTGTATGGTCGTAAGATACGCGAGATAGTCTCAGACGTACCTTTGATGTAAGGTATCGTTGCTGTTGTCACTGAGTTGTTCGTTTCGTTGGGCTCGTTGGGTTTGTAAGTGTTGCGTTTGATAAAGTCAGAGTTATAGTTGTTTTTTGTCAAAAACACGTTTGAGATAGTTGTTTTCGTTGTGTAGAGCGTCCGGTGAATCACATATGATTTGTGCACGTCTTGTTAATGTTCTAATTGTGGTGGCTTTGTGTGATGTAGGGTTGTATGATGATTGGTCTAGTAGTCGGTCAGTTTGTGTTGGCTTGCGATAAACTGTTGTTCGTAGTTTTTTGACTGTCATGTTTTACCAAACAGTCGAGAAAAGGAAGAGTTCCGTTTTCTTCGATATCTTTGGTAAATTATATGTGGCTGTTGTGTTTGTTGATGTGAATGTGAAAGTCATCAATCTTGTCTGCATGTAGTGCTGTGATTGTGTCATCTACGTAGCGGAACCAAAAAAGTAGTGCATGTTTGTAAGTCGTGAGCGCCCGTTCCTCTATATATTGCATTACAATTTCAGCAACTACAAAAGAAACGGGTGAGCCCATTGCTGTTACATGTAATTGTTTGTAGTGTGTACCTTTGTACTGGAAATAAGTCGACGTAAGGCAGAGCTCCAGTAGCTCCATAATGTCTTCTGTCGGTATTGGCAGTACGTCCGTGGTGTTCGTAATGAGGGTTTTTGTACAGGTAAGTGCCAGATTAAGTGGAATACTGGTGAACAGTGATTTCACATCAAAGACACTAGTATATAGTTGTCCGGTATTTGTATAGTGCTCAGTTTTTTAATAAAAGTTTCAGTGGATGGTAGCTTGTGTTTTGATTTGTTTGTAAGTGGTTGCAGTATGTCAGTCAAGTAGTTTGAGAGTTCGTAAGAAGGCGAACCACAGAATGATACTATTGGTAGCATGGGTATTTGTGGTTTGTGAAGTTTTGGTAGTCCGTATAGTCTGGTTGGTCGTGGTACATACACTAGTCAGTCATGTTACATACACTAGTCAGTCATGTTACATACACTCGTCAGTCATGGTACATACACTTGTCAGTCATGTTACATACACTTGTCAGTCATGTTACATACACTTGTCAGACATGTTACATACACTTGTCAGTCATGTTACATACACTAGTCAGTCATGTTACATACACTTGTCAGTCATGTTACATACACTTGTCAGTCATGTCATATACACTTGTCAGTCATGTTACATACACTTGTCAATCATGTTACATACACTTGTCAATCATGTTACATACACTAGTCAGTCATGTTACATACACTTGTCAGTCATGTTACATACACTTGTTCACACTTAAATAAGTAAAACATATTGTCGATTATCTATATGATGATAAATGATTTCTCAAACAAGTTTTAAAATTAAGGACATCGATATTAGATAAATATATTAGTTCATCATATGTGATGTCCCAAGAATAAAACGATCAAATTGAACGGAAGCTACTTTGTGATTGCTTTTACTGTCTTTTTAATTTAAGACGATAAAACAATCGCACAAGTATGTTTTGGGTATTCAAACTTGACAGATGAGTTAGCTACAGCAAAAGAAGTATAGACAAGTGGTAGCTGTCCGTTCTCAATGTATTTTACTCTTCCTCTGTACTAAACTATACCTTCTGCACTTAGTTTGTGTAATACATGTAAATCGCTCCTAAGTCAAATAACGTAATCTTACCTGCGTATCCAGGGTTTTCTGTCCAAGGAAAATAAAGGAATGGGTCCATAACTCTCGTTTAGATAAAGCAGGGTGGGCAACTTCTACAGTCAGCGGGCCAGATTTGGAAAATGAAGTTATTGGGCCGGATTATTACATGAATAATATTCAATATCTTAATCACAGATATAGACGGATACAGTCGGCGGGCCAGTCAAAATCCCTTCAGGGGCCGTATGTTGCCCACCCCTGAGATAAAGTATTGTATGTGAAACATGATATTTTAGGATGGGGGCAAGAATTTTGCCAAGATGGTTACCCTCCTACAATGACACTGTATCTTACTACAGTTATAGATACAAAAGATAATTAACTGCAATTGGTTGTTTTGAAAGTCGATAGATGGCAATAACAAAACAACTTGAGCAAATGAATATAATCCACCTGTCACCTAACAACGAAAAATCGCCATGATCGATTTTACTTTTTCCTTTGCCTAGAAAATTATCATCTCATTTTCATCAGATAACGACAAGCCTTCTGCGTCAGAAATGTTAAATTTTCAACACTTTACTGCTTACAAATGTAAAATACCTCTTCCAGACGTTACAGATAATATTTTTCGTCAAATCTTGAATCAATATGTTCCAGTAATTCGATTAACTCTTGGTAATTTTCAAATCCAAAATGTCCCCATTCATCTCTTCCTTAGGCACCAGCCAAGTGTCTGGCACTGCGCCAGGATTAATTAATATAGATCACAACGACACGAACATGACATGTTGTCAGCTGTCTTTTTGTCCAGGACTCAACGTGTGACCACAATACAGTATATACTATACAAGACGGAGACTTTGTTCGTCTAATGTTGCCGAGAAAATATCATCTGGACTGTCTGGAGTAAAGGCTTCACTATCTTCAGCAAGCGGTTCGCAATCGTACATGTTAAAAATTGAAAAATCGCTCGACTTTACGACATAGCTATTTGATTTATATATAATATTATATCACCGGAAGCAGACGTGTTTAACCACTACGTCCCAAGTGTCATTAGTGACCTTAAGATTTAACGACGTGCTCATATACAACGCGAGCGGAAATGAATTTTAAACCAATGCGCATGTGCGCCGCCGAGTATTGTCGTGCTTCTTCAACGCGGCGTCTTTGCTTAATCCACGTCGTCGTACATCGAAGGTGGAATTTTCACAAAAAGTTTTAGTAAGTATTTGAGCTTTTATTTCACCTGTTACAATTGTCTTTGAGTCTGGTATGATTGATGTGATATTTATCTGTGAGTAAAATATTTTACATTTTGCTTTTAGCAAGGCAGGAAAATGGCAGAACAGTTTTCATCAGCATCAAGTGATTGCTCATCAAGTACACCACGAAATTCATCGTGAGTTAAATTAATTGTTTAGCTAAATTAACATCCAGTGGCTTTGAAATTTGTCTTACTTTGTAATAATGGTTTGTGTTCCCCTTTTATGTTTGCATAAAAATACTATGCAACTGATATATCAATTTTGGCCACTATATATTTCTAAATTGTTTTAGAATCAGTTTTGTTATGAAGTGGACAGCAAAGCATGATGTCGAACTGTGCAAAGAAGTTGTTGTGTCAAGACTTTTTGAAACAAGAAAAAAATCCCTTGAAAGAGGAAATGTGTGGGAAGCCGTTCCTAAGAAGTTAGAGCAACATGACCACCTTTGCTTTCGTGTTGACCAGCATGCAGTAAGAGACAGAGTGCGAAAATTGCTTGCAAACTATTGCAAGAAAGAAAGAGAAGAAATAAATGCAAGTGGCATTTCTCCAGAAGCAACTGAGCTGGATGATTTACTCGAAGAAATTCATGCTAGAGAAAAAGCTAGTGATGTTGTTACTGCTGAGGAAGCTAGTGATGTTGTTAGCTGCAGAAAGAAGAAAAATAATGCAGACAAAGAAGCAGCAGAGGAAGAAGAAGGGCCGAAACCCATCCGAAACCAGGAAGCGAGCGCGAGCAAGGTGGGCTAGAAAAAAGTTGAAAGGAGGAGTTTCTACTTTAGAGTTTCTAAGAGAAAAGGGGAGAAAGAAAGAAAATTAAGAGAGGAAAGCTTAAAATTGGAAAGAGAAAATAGAAATACAAAGGCTGCAATTACAGAATGAGAAAGAAAGTCAACAGCACATAACTTCATCAATCCTCCAAATCAAAAGATGAATAGTGGCCATGCGCGCCAAACTCGCGTCGTTGTAATGCGCGTCGTGACATTCGTGACGTAATGCGGGGCGCGTCGTGACCCGACTTCGGAGACAAAATTAATGAACTTATATTTGTTTGTTTAAGTCCATCGGCATATCATAGTTCTTCAAAATTTCAAATTATGCAATAAAAACAAGGGGGAGGGGTGCTAAAATTCGTAATATAATACTTTGAGGAATGCGGAAGTCAAGTGCACATCTGCGTTTTAAATTGCAAATTAAACACTGAGCAACATAAGACAAATGCTTCCAAAAATAGAGATAATAGTTGATCGAAATGATATGTTTTTCGGTACATTTAACTTACATAATCGATATTCAATCAATAAACAACCAACTTTTTGTTTATTTGACAATTTGAACCATTACATGGGAGTGAAAGAGGCGTGGATAGTGCGTGCTTCCACGTGACGTGCATACAAGTTATATGGCTGTGATCAATAACAGGATTAAAAGCCACTATAAACAAAAATGACAACTCAGCATAAAAAACATGAACTTTTAAGAATATACGTTGCTTCGTTGTCCATTTTTGCTATTTATAAGTCGGTTCAATAATTTTGGAAAATTGTCATCCAGTATATAGACAATTTAGTTACCTAAGAAGTAAGAATTTAGTCGAAGACACAAACAGGTTTATGTAAGGGAAAAGCGGACTTCCACGGGGAATTTACTGACCAATCATTGCGAACTTCACGGTGTTGAACGTATTTATAATCCTCGTTTTCCGAAATATTGCCATTATTTTATTACGTATTGCTGCGATTCAAGGAGGATTTTATCTTACACTAGTCAAATAAAAACATTAAAAATGAGTGTACATAATAACTATAAAAAACCAGGAACAGGAATGGATGTATGGGGAAAACAACGATTAGAACTAGGAAAGCTGTTGAGAGATAATATTCTTAATCAATTAGGCATTCCTTGGGTTATAGAGAATGGTATATTACTTGGTGCATATCGTACAGGAAAGTTTATTCCACATGATGATGATTTTGATATCGCTTTATTTTTTGACTCTGAACCATCCTGCGCGGAGCCTGATCTTCTACAAAATATTCAACAGCTTCTTCCAGAACCTTACCAGGCGAGATACATTTCAACATATTGTGAGAAGATCGAAGTTTATGACCCAACTTTTGGTAGTTTCATTATGCGGTCCTAACTATAAAGGAGCGAATTACCACTATGTAACCGCTGATCTGCAGTTTTATCAACGTTTTGCTGATGTTTATCGTCAACTGTACTACGCTCAAGCGAATAAAGTCAACATTCCCGAAAAAGTGTTGTTTCCATTGGGTTCGATTGAAGTCGAAGGCGAAACATTTCCAGCACCCTGCGACGTTACGTCATATCTAAAATGTAATTACGGGAGTCTGTCACCTTCCGCCAAGTTTAATCCTACGACGGGCTTCTACGAGGAATAGATAAAAACTTGCGAGAAAAAAGGTGTAAAATCATGAGCTAGTTAATGAGACTCAACCTGGTTTTATAACCTATATATTTATGAAAATCAAACCATAGCGATGATTTGCCCCACGACACTAGGATTCCATATTGATAAAATTGTACTAAACTAACTTAAGTCATTTGTACAAAGTTATGTAAACTGCCATTTTATTATTTTTGAACTTTGAACGATTTTTTAAACGTGATGCATGCACTACACGCAGCAACGCGTGTTAATTTTACTCATAACGGTTTCAATAAATTGCGCAAATATATCTAAATTAATGTCAAAATTTTCAAATTTTGTCGATTTTATAAATTATTGTTAATTGCTTGTCGCTCCACGAGTTGAACACGCTTGATACAAACATTTATCATATTTGCTTTCCGAAGCGAACTCTTTAACGCATTTGAACTGGCGATGATTTTACAATAGGTTTCTCACATCTCATATATTTCATTTTTTCTAATTTCAACTCTGATTGAAACATTAATTACAATTTAAATTTTGAAATTAATTATTCTTGAGTATTAAATCAAATCATCATTTCGTAGAGGCTTTATCAGGCTTTGATGTTGAAACGGAATGCGATACGTTTTTTAGTATTTGAAAAAAAGATTGACTGCTAAAGCAATTTCAGGCGGATAATATATTGGAACACAACAGGAATTGGAACACTGCAAAAACTTCCATATTTGAACTTTGACATTCTTTAATTTGTTATTGTTTTGTCATGACATTGACGTCACATGATAAAGATTTGTTCATGAATGTTACGTATTTGTTCTAAATTGCTCTCGTCATTCACGCACGTGTTATGTATGTTTCAAAAAACATCTATATCAAATTAGATCCATCGTTCTTTCTTTTAGATTCATTTAATACACAGATTTAACTAATTAGACTCTATAAAGTTTAAAACATTTTAGATTAGATATGGACGGATTTTCACTGGTTGATTGAGATCAAATGCACATAAAAGCTGTTTTTTTAAAATAAAAACCGGTATTTTACTCTCACCAGGGATGTCGGCGTGGGATGTTGAAATTTGATCTATTTAGACAATCGTGCCAAAATGGGATACAATTACCGCAAGATTATATATCTTAATGATAGAGAGATTTTGCAAACACGATGTCCAAAACGTCAGAAAAAGCGTTAAAATCGTTCATGACCATAGTCGTATGTGTATATCTGAAAACGGCGCGAAAAAGTAGCAGAACAAGGTTTCGTTTATACTGCGATACGACCACACTTTGAGCGAACACGATGCGCTACGCAGCGTTGTGTAAACAGCTCTAAAGATGCCAGTTTTCTTCAATTTGACCCGCGTTGGGGCGCATGATTAAAAATGGTGAACAATTTTTGTTTTGGATTCCGTTGTAATTTTTACAAATCAATGTTTTTATAACTTATGGCTAGAGATATAAACATCTAGCAACATGTAAACGAAAAATGACGTCATTCTTTCACAAGCAAAAACAAGCGTATTTTGACAGCAAAAACATTATGAGTAAACAGTAAACACCCGCTAATCTTTAGGGGAAGTCAGACGGTCTGTGTAAACGCAGTTAAATTGACTCAAATTCTGCCGTCACTTTTTAAAGTTTTTCACTCCGGAGTTGAGCAAGCAAGTCTTTATTGTTGTCGATACTGTGTTTCCTCTACATACAATATCTTTATGTTAACTAAGCCAGACAAAGAAAATGAGGCCTGCCATTGGTCAGTCATTTTTCAAGTTTTGAATTTGGATGTTCAAACGAAGATTTGAAAAATGACATATGAGTTTGTTCTCTTTTGATACGCCAGATATGTGCAAATTCCTCATTATATTTTTTCTATGATCTATCCCCAAACATTTCTTAAAAACACATGTTTTCTTGCAGATGAAATTCTCTCTCGTAGAATAAGCAAGTTATAACATAGTGGGCTATTATCTTCAATTAATTTAAATGTTATTGGTTGCTCATGCTGTCTTCAGCTGGGCATTGAGAATAAGAACTTAATATTTACCCCTATAAATTAATACATTGATTAAGAAATGGCTTATGCAAACCGAGGAAACCTTTTGGAGAACTCGAGAGCAGATCAGTGCAAGGCTGCAAGCCCGAGGGTTACACCTGCCCTGCTCGAGTGCAGGCGTTTTCTTATGTTAATTTTATAATTCCATACGAAGCACTTTTATAATTCCATGGAAGCACTCAATTTTATGTATATATTCTGTGGTATCGTGAAGGACTGGAACGAGCATTGATTTTTGAAATTCAAAATTCAAATTTACAATAACGTTTTTAGCGCCGATTCGCAATTCGTTATTTGTGAGAGAGTATTTCAGATCTGCCTTCAAAAAGGTTCGTCAAAGCATTTTATCAACATGGAAACATGCAAAAAACCTTTACAGGTAAGTAATTCTTTAAGCTTTGCAATTTATTTGACGATGAACTTGTTGGGTGCCTAAATTTTATCTTGTCTTCGTGTTGGTTTTGGATGCTTACTCTTTACACGGCCTGTAATGTTTCTACATGTATTTGAAAAAATCTGCAAGTTCAGGAGTCTTTAAAATATCATTTACTTCTGGTTTGTAGGTAGCTTTAGCAATATAATTTTAAAAATATAATTTTAAAATTAGCGCCACAAATTTATTGGATAAACATGGCGACCATCGTATATTGTTTTACAAAACTATAAAGTTTGTATATTTGTGCATGTAATAGCAAAATTGAATTTAAAACCATCGCCAAGAGATTGCTGCATGAAAGAAGCTGAGAAACTAGACTTATGAAATGAGCTTAACTTCATGATTGAGTTCCATTTATCACGTTTATAAGTATGCTCTTAGTCACGTTTATAAGGATAATCTTAGTTTACATGGTATACACTAAAATGAGGACGTTTTGAGAGCTGTTTGGATTTTGAAAGGTGACTTAGAATTCAGAATTTATTTCGGTTTTTCAAACCAAAGCATTGGCATACTAGAGGTGAGATTTAGAATCCTAAAACCTATTTGCAAAAAATGCACTTAGTGTCTCCAGCTCACCATTTTTGATAGCCAACAGTGACATTGCTTAACAAGAGTTTTGTGATTTTTGTACATTACTGTGGAATATTTTACATCACCTGTTAAACTGATAATTTTCCGTTTTAGTCCCATCATTGTCTCTTTCCAATTAATGAATCATATTTCATGCCATGAAACTCCTTTTACTATTTACTTTGTTCATATTGAATATTCCTATGCCAATTCATATTCATATTATATTTCTAGGAAAAAAGCATGAATGAAATGGCAGGCAAAAATAACACAAACAAAAGACTTTCTGTGGAAAGAATATATCAGAAGAAAACCCAATTAGAACACATTCTCTTACGTCCAGATACTTACATTGGCGCTGTTGATCAATTATCACAACCTATGTGGGTCTGGAATAATGGAAATTCTTGCATGCTGCAGAAAGAAATTTCCTTTGTCCCTGGATTATACAAAATTTTTGATGAAATACTAGGTAATGTCTGTAGAATAAAACACGTTTTGGTTGAGAAATGCATGGCTAACGATTATAATCTGTAGCATCTTTTGGATATAATAATCAATGTTAGTGAGTGTGTTTGTAATTGAGAAATTGCATAAATGAGTTTTGAAGTTTTATCAATGTTAGATGACCAATGGGTGCAATAATATTTCACTCTTGAAAATATTTTTATTCTTTGGAAATGACCAAAGGTTGAGGGTTTCCCTGGCTCGACACAGTGCAGACGAACAAACATCTTTTATTTCTTTATAAAGTAATAATAATGGAAGACAGATAAATTTGAAACAAGCATTTTAGTTTTTCTTCAAATATTCATGATTGATTTTAAGTCTCCTTGATTGATTGATTGATTTAATTTTTATCGAATCAGTTTGCGCTCTAACTCACAGATAAAGAACAACAAGCATGTTTTATTGCTTTTATTTTATAAATTATTTTATAATTTATACTTTTAGAGTTATTTCCTGGATTGATTACTCAAATCAAATCAATTTTCATTTTCCAGATGAAGTTTTTGTTTGTTCATACGCATTTCCTTTTCAATACATGGTTTTATTGTTAATGTCAATATAAATAAAATCAAGTTCTTAATGTTCTTGCTCATCAGCAGTAATGATGATACTTTAAATTTCTGCTATCAAAAATGCTCCACTTTTGTGACAATCAATTTGTTATCAAATTTACTTTGATGTGAAATAAAATTAAAATGGCTATTTAAATAACAAAATGTGCATTCATCATCCGTAATAAATTAAAAGAAAATGTAAAGAAAATAACAAATTTTCTTCAATTTGGAATAAAAAAAAGGCCATTAAAATAAAAAAAATGTGCATTTGTCATTTTGATATCATGCAATTTATGTTCTTATTTTAATAAAGCCAGATTGCTCTATTGAAGCATACGTAAATTTGAAATCATCAGCCTTTATTTATGATGTATGTTTGAATAGATAACAACCCATTTCATATGATAAAATTATGCGATTCAAAATGTTATATGCATACAGATTTATTTTCTGAATCGAAACCACATCGTAAAACTGGAATATCCAAGTGATGGAAACTTTATGCATACAGTTTTACCTGGCGTGCTTTAAAATTTTATTTTCATCAAAATTACGTTGTCAGTGACCCAGTTATAATGTGTTTTTATATCTGTATGTACTGACTTGTTAAGTGGAAAATTGGTCAGTAATGGCATGAATTCCATATAGTATGTGGCAGGGGGGTGAGGTGATGTGCTCACCCCCTGCCACACATTTATATTTGTGCAGTAGGGGATCCAGGGTAGGTCGGCGTACATTACTGAAACTATATTTCCGTTTTGAGATAAATAGGTGAGAATCCTATTGGGAGTGTTTTAGTTTTAAATATTCTTCATAAATTTTTAACCGACAGCGTTGTGTAAAGGTATTTTTAATTTAAAATGAGCTTCCGTGTAATTTATTTTGACCTACCACCGTCAGTGGTACTTACAACTACTGTGACGTCATAAAAATTCCGTGTAATTTATTTTGACCTACCACCGTCAGTGGTACTTACAACTACTGTGACGTCATAAAAATTCCGTATAATTTATTTTGACCTACCACCGTCAGTGGTACTTACAGCTACTGTGACGTCATAAGAATAATAATGTTTATGTTTTTTCGAGCATCGTACACCTTCCACATCGATACATCTTTTGAATTTATGAAAAATCGACGTGTTACATTGTGAAATTTTTAATGTGTGAAATTTTTAATGTGAGAAATTTTTAATGTGTGAATTTTATATTGTATTTTATAGTGAATGCAGCTGACAACAAGCAAAGGGACCCCGAAATGTCGTATATTAAAATTTCCATTGATGCGTAAGTTTATATTTTATGGCTACTTAAAAAATCTTATTGAAGCGTACATTATGGGTTTTTTTTCAAAGTATTTTCCTTGAAAATTCCTGGAAAATCGGCTTTCGCGGTTTTTTATTCGCAGTGACCGTAATTAATTTCAAAACTATGTAAATACGAATGTAACTTCGAAATCGTCTTTGTGAAAAAGCCAGTTGATAACTTCGTTATTCCAGAGATAGATCCATTATAATTTCGTAGGGAGAGGGGGGGTGCTATAAGTGTGTCGTTACGTATGTCATTCATCAAGACTTGTCAATCAACTAAAACATGAGAGGATTAAGGTGCTGTGTGTGTGATTGGTTTATTTGCGGTCACATGACTTGAAATAAATGCAATTTTTTCCCGCCAGTGAAACAATTGAAAAATTGTTGCCTGCTTATTTTGATACAACTAATTCGTAAAACAAGATGAAGTGACGAAATTTAACTTTAAATCCAACTACCTAACACATAAAAGGTTTTTGCAGTTCTTGCGCGCTGATCACTTTAGCGATGTTTTCCTATCTGTTCGCCTTTTTTTTCACACACCCTGTATAACAAGCAATCAGTAGCTACATCCCCCCCCCCCCGGGACATGGCGTTTTTGTTATCGCTCGAGTCTCAACATTGGGACCGACTCAAGGAAAAGAAAACTCGCTATTTCCCTCGGCAACGTACTGTACGTTGAGTTTATAATATACCTTTTTATTTAGCAAGAATAAACGAATCAGTGTTACAAACGATGGCAAAGGCGTTCCAGTTGAGATGCATAAAGATGAAAACATGTATGTTCCGAGCATGATTTTTGGACATTTGTTAACATCGAGTAACTATGACGACAGTCAGAAAAAGGTCACCGGCGGTAGAAATGGCTATGGTGCAAAGTTATGTAACATCTACAGCACTGAATTCACTGTCGAGACAGTTTGCAATGGAAAACATTTCAAACAGGTAATTAAATATAGTTGCGAAATTTGCGACGATTGTAACCATGTGGCCCTAGGTGATGTTACACAATGGCGCAGGTAGAAGAGGAAAGCTTGGCCCTGTATTTGCAAGAGTAGAAACGTATTGTTTTCTGCATTTTGCATTATGATCATGATGATTGGATGAATATGGTCACGTGGTGTCTCGCCGCCATTTTTTGCGCGAATGAAAACAACTTTTTACATGAAGTCATATTATGAAAAAATTTAAAAAAAATTTTTTTGTTTTTTTTGTAAATGTACACTCTGCCCAGTGACGAAAATAGTAATGAACGACGTATAATTACAAACACTGCATTAAATGCTTTTTTATTAGTGCAATATCCATCTCAATTTCAAAAGTAGCGATCGCTGGATATTCATGAATAAGAAAACACAGCAGGAAATATGTCTTTCCTCTATTTAATGCTCTTATATTTGCCTGCTTTTGAAACAAAATGGCGGACGCTAGGCAATTTTACTTCCGGTGTCCCAACTCTTTACTATGTAGGTAGGGGGAGGGGGAGTGTTTTGGCAAAATGCGTCTATGATTTCTTTCATATATAAATAATTTTATATATATGTTTATGAGATTATTTAACCATTTGATTTACTTTCTGGAGTGTTTGTAATGCACTTGAAAAAGTTAGCATGACCTTGCCCAACTACAAAATTTTATTGACAAAGTGATCGTTATTGAATTGAGTTTCTTGCTTGGGAATTGCAATGTGCTGTACCTGCAATACAACAACGTACGCATTATGTATGTATTCATTTGCGTTTACGGCTCCTTGCGGAATAATTACTAATGAATCATGTAAATTATAAACGTCGGCTAGCTCCAAAGATGAGCAGTTTTTCGAGACACCCTGTGTAACGATGCAGCTGTAACAATGACAATCATCTTCATTACTAGACGTGGAGGAATAATATGAGCAAGGCAGAAGATCCCATTGTCGAAGCAACTGATGAGAAGGACTTCACATCAATTACGTACTGTCCGGATCTAGAGAAATTCAAAATGAAAAAATTAGATGATGATACTGTTTCTTTGCTTACAAAGCGGGCGTACGATATCGCCGGTTGTGTACGTGGTATCGACGTTTATTTGAACAAGAAAAAATTGCCGGTGAGTTTTCTATGATTATTTGCTTGCAACAAGTACATTTATGAAATAAACACAATGAAACGCGTGCGCTGATTGGTGTAGAGCTGAGTTAGCATTTTTGGAAAATTTTTCTTACCGTTATACGCAGAAAAAATTATATAGAATACAGAACACAGTGTAAGGCCCTCTAGTATTTATTTATTACTATAAGTACGTACGGTTGATTGGCCATTGTCTGCATTGTTTGGAATCAATTAATTTGGGATAATTCATTTGTAGATAAAAAATTTCAAAGACTATATTGAGCTTTATCTCAAAAACAAGACAGACGATGAGGAAGAAAATGTGAAGGTTGTTTATCAAAAAATTAGTGATCGCTGGGAAGTGGCTCTTGCCCCTAGTCACCACGGCTTTCAACAAGCTAGTTTTGTTAACAGTATTGCTACAACTAAGGTACGTGGTTGTCAATCGTGTACACCCCCCTTCTCGCTTCTCGGGTGAAAGCCGTGAAGGGGGGGTTGACCTAAAAATTTGTTCTCTATTTGCGATTTGGTGGAATTTGGGTTGTAGAACGTTATGTTACTACAAACGTAAAATACTTATATAAAGGCGGCAGAGATATATGAGGTGTGCTCCATTAAACAAATCACAATGCCTTCTGCCATGCTTGAGCGGTTTTTCGGGTGTTATGGTTCTACTTTCAAATCGATGTTTATGGGTTTAGCGTTTACAAAAACCGAAAAAACGATGTGGACAAAATACGCTGTTTCTCGAGATTTTAGTCAATAGGTTTTTTATTATAAACCAATTTTCAAAAAGAAAACCGACAACAACATAAATAGACGAAATAATTTTTTCCAAATAACTTTTCCTAAAGAATATATGGATGGCATAGTAAAAAAGTTCTTTGGAAAACATTCCCCCGCTTTTTTTTATGGAGATCAAATGCAGACCAAAGTCGGGTAAAGGTCGCATTTTGACCTGACGGCGAACAGATTGTGAGGAAACGGTTCAATTTCTCTCTCACGTGACGCATTTTCGACCAATGAAAAATGAAGTTTGAAAATTGGTATATAACAATGTTTATGGTATTGTTACTTCTGCATCCAACACGTTACATTCTTGAGCTAACGTTGTCAAAATGTGATTATTTTATTTTAAACGGGGCGGGACACATTTAAGATATATTTTTGAGCAATTAATAAAAGAATTTATTTTATTTTAAACAGGGCGGGACACATTTGAGATATATTTTTGAGCAATTAATAAAAGAATTTATTTTATTTTAAACAGGGCGGGACACATTTGAGATATATTTTGAGCAATTAATAAAAGACATATTTTATTTTAAACGGGGCGGGACACATTTGAGATATATTGTTGAGCCATTAATAAAAGTGATTATTTTATTTTAAACGGGGCGGGACACATTTGAGATATATTGTTGAGCCATTAATAAAAGTGATTATTTTATTTTAAACAGGGCGGGACACATTTGAGGTATATTGTTGACCAATTAATAAAAAAACTTATGGTCGCAATACGAAAAAAATGTACGAAGGAATTTGTTCCGTTAAGACCTCATAACATAAGGAATCATCTTTGGGTGTTCATCAACTGTTTGGTGGAGAATCCAGCTTTCGACTCTCAGACTAAAGAAAATATGACACTTCGATCTAGGGATTTTGGTTCTGAGTGTGCTCTAAATGACGCGTTTATAAAACAGGTACATTGTATTCTTGAGTTTTTCCTGCTTGTTTGTTCCATTTTTAGTTAACCAATCATGATTTTTGAATATTTTTCCTTCTTGTTTGTATCACTTTGTAATCTGTCGATATTTAATCATTCTTTGTGGATGTATAAAAATTTATGTCGTTTTTGGATAAAAAGATTCTCAAAAGCTTGCTAGTCACTTTTTTCATAAACATATCTCTTTGGGTGGACAAATAATTATTCAAAACTATGGAAAGCTCAACGGTTGAAAACGCGCCTAAAGAGGAGGACCAAAACTTAGTATTTTGGAATCGCACACTTCTAACTGTTGCCCAAGTTGTACGAAAGAGGGAAAGATCATCGTGTGATGGATTTAATTATATTTTCCACGAATACAAACAAACAAGAGATGTGCTTTGTATTGTGTTTGACAATGATGTTTTAACCTTTCAAACCATTTGAATGAGTAAGAGAACCCAAATGATGTTTTAAGGAATGTGTTGTGTTTGACAATGATTCTTTAACCTTTCAAACCATTTGAATAAGTAAGAGAACCCAAGTTTTATGGAATGTATTGTGTTTGACAACATTTCTTTAACCTTTCAAACCATTTGAATAAACAAGAGAACCCAAATGATGTTTTAAGGAATACTAATTGTGCAGAATAACGTGATCCTTGTGAGAAAAGACAAAGATCTTAACTTCGTGATAATACTTTTTTACTATTTATTTACGTAGGTGATGCAGAGCGGTATCGTCGAATACGTCATACATGATATTCAAAGACAGAGTGAGGTGTGAAAAATACTCGTTTAAATCAAACCATGTGGTAAAACATTTTCTAAAGAACGGTATAACTAGCTTAGGATCTTTTGTATTATTTTATTCTAGTTGGGTATGGATCCACAATGGTTGGGGAAGGGGTTCTTGTTGTGTATTGATCCACAATGGTTGGGTGAGGGAGCCTAGTTGGGTATGGATCCACAATGTGTGGGGGAGGGACCTTAATTAGGTATGAATCCATGATGGTTAGGGTAGAGGCTCTAGTTTGATTAGTTTTGTTGGCTATCTGCCCTATACCATGTTAGACATTTTTTGTTATTTCCAGAATAAAATGACTAGAAACAGTGGCGCCAAGACAACGAAGTTAAAAGGAATTCCAAAACTCGACGACGCTAACGATGCTGGGGGAAAGAACTCCATAAAGTGTACCCTTATTTTGACCGAGGGAGATTCCAACAAAACGTCAGTGGTCTTAGTGTAGTTGGTCGCGATCGTTATGGTGTGTTTCCTTTACGAGGAAAATTGCTCAATGTGAGAAGCTTCCGGTAAACAGGTGCGTACAATTTAGGGAAGTGTGTCGTTTATCAATAACGTTTGCATAATTTTTTAGTGTGTTAATATTTCGTTTGAAAATTCGCACCCATCTTGCATTCTTCTAGATGTTTGAGTAGTTAGAGGTTTGCAGTTCCTAATTCCTTTCTGTTTATTGTCTTTATCGCATACAAACTAAGTAAAAGACGAGGTTAGAGGTTTGTGTTCTCCCTTATTCCTTTTCTGTTTATTGTCTTTATCATGCATACAAACTAATAAGAGTATGAAAGGTGTGCACTTCTCTCCTAAACCCGTCCCTGTGTGTTGTCCTTACCATGTTATACAAACTAAATAAAAAGACGAGGTTAGGAGAGGTTTGCAGTTCTCCCTAATTCCTTTCGTTACCATCATGCATACAACCAAGTAAAAGATTTGGAAAGGTGTGCACTTCTCTCCTAAACCCGTCCCTGGTGTTGTCCTTACCATGTATACAAACTAAATAAAAGACGAGGCTAGAGAGGTGTGCACTCTCCCTTAAACCGTCCCTTTGTGTTGTTCTTACCATGCATACAAAACAACGTAAAGATGAGGTTGCACTTCCCTTAAATCCGTCCCTTGGTTGTTCTTACCATGCATACAAAACAACGTAAAAGACGAGGCTAGGGAGGTGTGCACTTTTCCTTAAATCCATCCCTTTGTGTCTTACCTGTATAACAAACGACGTAAAAGATCGAGACTAAGGAGATGTGCACTTCTCCCTTAAATACGTCCCTTGTGTTGTTCTTACCATGCATAAAACAATGTAAAAGACGAGGCTAGGAGAGATGTGCACTTCTCCCTTAAATCCGTCCCTTTGTGTTGTTCTTACCATGTATACAAAACAATGTAAAAAGACGACGCTAGGAGAAATGTGCACTTCTCCCTTAAATCCGTCCCTTTGTGTTGTTCTTACCATGTATACAAAACAACGTAAAAGACGAGGCTAGAGATGTGCACTTCTCCTTAAATACGTCCCTTTGTGTTGCTCTTACCATGTATACAAAAAATAAAAGACGAGGCTAGAGATGTGCACTTCTCCCTTAAATCCGTCCCTTGTTCTTACCATGCATAAACAACGTAAAAGACGAGGCTAGAGAGATGTGCACTTCTTCCTTAAATCCATCCCTTTGTGTTGTTCTTACCATGTATACAAAGCAACGTAAAAAGACGAGGCTAGGAGAGATGTGCACTTCTTCCTTAAATCCATCCCTTTGTTGTTCTTACCATGCATACAAAACGACGTAAAAGACGAGGCTAGAGAGATGCACTTCTCCCTTAAATCCGTCCCTTTGTGTTGTTCTTACCATGCATACAAAACAACGTAAAAAGATGAGGCTAGGAGAGATGTGCACTTCTCCCTTAAATCCGTCCCTTTGTGTTGTTCTTACCATGTATACAAAGCAACGTAAAAAGACGAGGCTAGGAGAGATGTGCACTTCCCTTAAATCCGTCCCTTTGTGTTGTTCTTACCATGTATACAAAGCAACGTAAAAAGACGAGGCTAGGAGAGATGTGCACTTCTCCCTGAAATACGTCCCTTTGTGTTGTTCTTACCATGTATACAAAACAACGTAAAAAGACGAGACTAGGAGAGATGTGCACTTCTCCCCCAAATCCCTCCCACTTTGTTGCCCTTACCGTGCATATAATTCAAGCGAGCTATTGTGAAAAACCTTTTTCAAACATATCACGTATCTTTTATAATCCTGCTTTCATACTGTCTTGCAACGTTTTGTGATATGTCTCAATCGTTTAAAGGCATTGCGATACATGCCACTTTATACTGATTTTGTCTTATGAATCTAACTATTTTCTTTTAATATAGTTGTCGGAGAACATCGAAATTAATCACATCCTCAAGATCGTGGGTCTGAAATACGGCAAAAAGTATGAGACCGAAGAGGATATGAAGAGATTGCGTTACGGTCGTCTGATGATCATGACTGATCAAGACCAGGATGGGTCTCATATCAAGGGTTTACTCATCAATTTTATACATCACAACTGGCCTGAACTTTTAAGATTGCCGTTTCTTGAGGAGTTCATAACACCAATAGTTAAGGTTTGTCGTGAGTTCATTACTTTGCCCGTGTCAAAACAAAATAAGTAGGATTACTTTGCATAAGCAATTCAAGTGTAGCCTCTCAAGTACATACGAATGAGTTGAGACCACTGAACTGAAATATACTGGATAACGCACTCCGCTATTTCTGTGAAGCCAGAACCGCCATATTAGAAGGTCCCACTTGATACGAAAAAATAATCATATTATTAATCAAAATCATGTTTCCACAAAATCTCCTATGTTTATAAATGGGTTTAAGTTCCAAAAATAACAGAAATACGTCGTCGTTAAAGCTCTGAGGCCGGTTGCACGAAGCCTGGATAGCGTCATCCAATGGATAGCAAGTTCTTTTAAGCTTTTATAAAACCTTTTAAAAAGTATAAAGTATTGAAACAGTACAATCACTGAAAGAAAATATTGCTTCGAAGATTACGAAATTTCGTTGTCGTAAGAAAAATATAAACACCTTTTTTACAAGTTTGGAGATTTTTGCTATCCAATGGATAACGCCATCCAGGCTTCGTGCAACCCTCCCCTGTCGTACGTTATAGTTTGTTTTCGTTCCTCGAATAGGACCTAGTAATCGGGTGATAACAACAGGGGCACCCGATTACTTCGGCTTCAACTTTTGATTGGGCGTTATATTGCAATGCGCTATCCAGTTTATTATACATATCTATGGTTGAGACACCGGAAGTAAAATTACCCAGTGTCCGCCATGTTTGCTCCGAAAGCCAGCATAATGATGAAGCGTTAAATAGGGGAAAGGCAATTTTTGCGCTGTGCTTTTTTTTTTATTCATGAATAGACAGCTATTGCTGCCTTTAGAATTTCGTTGTTTACGGATATTGTACTAAATAAAAAAGCTTTTATTTAATGCAGTGTATGTAATTTATACGCTTTTCAATATTGTTTTTGCCAATGGAGAATGCTTACATTTGCATTCTTCATCGCTGTGATTGGTCGTATTAACAACGTAACATTAAACCATTTTAAAGAATTTGTATAATTTGACATATAAAAAATAATTATGATTCGCGTTTCTGCGACGAGACAATCACATGACCATATTTATCCAATCGCCATGATCATAAGGATTATAATGCAAAATGAGGAGAATGGTGCGTGTTCCAACTCTTACAAATACAGGGCTCTGATTTAACCTAGATTGTTCCTGGCTTAATATTTCAGTATTATAATCAACCTCGTTGGGTTTTCCACTTTTTTTCAATTTCAAAAACACTCGTCATAAAATGAAAATAGAATCATCGCTATAAGTTTGTAGTTCGTCATTTATGGAATAGTTATGTTTAACAAAATTACTTAACAGGTTAGTTTAACATAATGTGGAGGAAAACACACACCTCCACCCCCACCCCATGTATAATCATCGCTACAGGTTTGTAGTTCGTCATTTATGGAATAGTTATGTTTAACAAAATTACTTAACAGGTTAGTTTAACATAATGTGGAGGAAACACACACCTCCACCCCCACCATGTATAATCATCGCTACAGGTTTGTAGTTCGTCATTTATGGAATAGTTATGTTTAACAAAATTACTTAACAGGTTAGTTTAACATAATGTGGAGGAAAACACACACCTCCACCATGTATAATCATCGCTACAGGTTTGTAGTTCGTCATTTATGGAATAGTTATGTTTAACAAAATTACTTAACAGGCTAGTTTAACATAATGTGGAGGAAAACACACACCCCACCACTCATGTAGAATCATCGCTATAGGTTTGTAGCTCGTCATTTATATGGAATAGTTATGTTTAACAAAATTACTTAAAAGGTTAGTTTAACATAATGTGGAGGAACCCCCCTCCCCCTCCATGTAGAATCATCGCTATAGGTTTGTAGCTCGTCATTTATATGGAAATGTTATCTTTAACAGGTATCAAAAGGCAAAACAACGATTGCTTTTTATAGCATTCCTGAGTTCGAGGAATGGAAGGAAAACACGCCCCATGTTAGTTCGTGGAATGTGAAATACTACAAAGGTTTGGGTACGAGTACACCGAAGGAGGCCAAAGAATATTTTGCTGATATGGAGAGACATCGCATCTTGTTTGATTATTCCGGTGTCACTGATGATCAAGCTATTGATCTCGTAAGTTATTTTGTTTTTACATGTTTGTACATGTAAATCGTCGTGGTAGAGGCCTGGGGCCGGTTGCACGAAGCCTGAAAAGCGTTATCCACTGGATAGCAAATTTTTCCGAACGTTCATAAAATCTCTTATAGGAGAAAAGTATACGATTTGAACTGCGCAATCAATGTAGTAAAACATTGTTTCGAAGATTACGAAATGTCTTTGCCGTAAGAAAAATATAAACACCCTTTTTACAAGTTTGAAAATTTTTGCTATCCAATGGATAACGCTATCCAGGTTTCGTGCAACCGGCCCCTGAGAAAGACTGTTGGTTTTTATGTTGAATGCCGTTTCGACTACGTTAAGACTGACTACCGTGAAGATGACTACCCCTAAGTTTGTCGAAACGTAAGTCAACATCAACAACAACAGTCCTTCTCAAGGCTTCTACTAACCTGGACGATCTACATCTACAAAATTGTTACGATACTCCCGAGCTCAAACCATTCACTTTATTATTATGCTTTTGTTGGAATCGACAAAACAGTGTCAAATTGTGTCATAACATAAGTCTTGCTATTGTTTTGAAAGACATTCTACGGATGTTTTTTTTCTGAATACTTTGGACTGTGGGCGATTGGCATGTAATGACCCATGAGCTTTGCAAGCCTAATTCTATGATTTTTTAAGTACAATTCAGAAAACTCTAATCGAACAAGGCAAAAATTCTTTGGTGATTATCATTACAGGCGTTTAGCAAGAAGAAGATCAGTGAACGCAAGCAATGGTTGACCGATCAACTAGAGGAAAGAAAAACTCGAAGGGAGGCAGGCTTACCTGAGGTGAATAAGGAATAGAATACACTTTATGGCTTCAAGCTCTTTCACGTTTTTTCATACTATTCGTGTGTATTTGTTATCACCTAAATTTGCATCGGTCCTACCTAGGAACTATACATATGTCACGTATAACAATGTCATTGAACGAGTTTGCATTTTCCTACCTAGGAACTATATCCATGTCACGTATAACAATGTCATTGAACGAGTTTGCATTTGTCCTACCAAGGAACTATATCCATGTCACGTATAACAATGTCATTGAACGAGTTTGCATTTTCCTACCAAGGAACTATATCCATGTCACGTATAACAATGTCATTGAACGAGTTTGCATTTTCCTACCAAGGAACTATATTCATGTCACGTATAACAATGTCATTGAACGAGTTTGCATTTTCCTACCAAGGAACTATATCCATGTCACGTATAACAATGTCAGTGAACGAGTTTGCATTTGTCCTACAGAGCTACCATATCCATGTCATAGTATATTGGAAGACGTAATGATAGGAGGTTGAATCATTGTGTTCAATGCGAAGTTAGAAATAAGTCAAAGTCAACATTCGGCTGATATATTTAAGCAAGCTTTAGCAAAGACTGCGAGTACAAAGTACCAGTTATGGATTCACGCTGTTTTTGCAGAGACGGGGGGGAGGGGGGTTGCACATCTTAGTTATTAAGTTTCATTGGCAACTTGCTGCCACCGTTTGTCAGATTGTTAAATTTCATCTTTTTTATTATGATTGGGAGATTGTTGAAAGTAAGCTCCACTAATCACAATTACTTTTGCTTAATTGTTTGTTTTGTTGTGTTAATATTTTCGTCGTCGATAATATCATTGACGAATCGAAGCTGCATCAAGAAGTCTACTTTTCCTCATGATCATAAAACTCGTGTTTGTTTGCCTGCTGTTGTATCTAAGTAAAAAATCATTTCTCTTTATGGTTGTATGCCTGCTGTTGTATCTAAGTAAAAAATCATTTCTCTTTATGGTTGTATGCCTGCTGTTGTATCTAAGTAAAAAATCATTTCTCTTTATGGTTGTATGCCTGCTGTTGTATCTAAGTAAAAAATCATTTCTCTTTATGATTGTATGCCTGCTGTTGTATCTAAGTAAAAAATCATTTCTCTTTATAGTTGTATTTGTATGGTCCCAATACTAGACAAATAACATACACAGACTTTGTGAATAAAGAGTTGATTCTCTTTTCCAATGCTGACAACGAACGATCTATACCATCAGTGGTTGACGGTAAGTTTTATTTGGATACTTAAGGTCTTTTTATGTCTTCAACTTTTGTTATTACTTACGTGTTTATCCTTCGTGAACTCATTCTTTCTTTTTTCAAGCGCCAAGAATATTGATAATTGGGGGCTCAAATTCATATATGCATGCAATCATCCGTAGAAAACAATGGATTTCAAAGGAACTAAATGCATATATTAGTGCAATCCCTAAACTAAAGATAAAACTGGAAGGCTGTCGTTTTGGTAAACATGCCTGTACTGTACTTGTATGAAGACAAATTCTATGGTCAATTCCCCCATTTTAGCTTATTTTGGTAAAAGAACTTGCTTTTGGCCTTGCATGGAAAGACTGGGACTAGTCAAATTGCTGACGTAAAATTTTGGCGGGAGCTAGCCCTCCATATATATTCAGTTCGATGGGTTTGATTGAGTGATACCGTATATTGTGTACAGAATGTATTAAAAACACTGTAACGCCATAATTTGATCTCAGTCCTCAACGAGGGGGGGGTCTATTGTTTTTGCGGAAATTTGTTTCTATTGTCAATTGTAGAAAATATCTTCAATTAAAAAATGTAACTCGTCCATTGTCTAGGTTTAAAACCGGGTCAGCGCAAAGTGCTATTTACCTGCTTCAAGCGAAACGATAAACGCGAAGTGAAAGTTGCTCAGTTATCGGGATCAGTTGCTGAGCTGTCGGCATATCATCATGGCGAGGTAAAGGATATTATAAAATGACATAATAAAAACACGTGCGCTGATTGGTCGATTCCCGTGTTTGGATCGCGCTATCCAAACGCGCAAGTAGAAATTGCTGTCGTAAGAATTTTCAGCATACCTGAAAACAAAGACGAATTTTTGTCTTGAAGTGCATTTTTGACCAAGTAAATGCGATTTTAAATCAAGATTGGCAACTTTCCGCTAAACATTTAAACAATAATCTTGGTCTAATTCTACGTTCTCTTTGTTTTGACATCGTTTTTTACTAAATTTCAGCTTCGTTCCCTTGGGAGAATTTAGCTTTCTTATTTCCGCTTGCTTAATAAACTAAGCCTACAACCCTCTACCCTCTGGTTTTTTACTTTTATAAAACATTTACTAAATTAGTAAATGTGTAATCTTACATAAAAATTCACCGCCATCACAGTCGACATATTGATTCTGATAAACATGCAGCAACCCTTTTGTCCACCTTTTGTAGTGGTGACAGTTTAAGAGATATGTATACCAGGTTACGGAAGAAAACTAAATAGAGTGATTTCGCAAACACGACGTTTCGATGTTTATATTTTAGCATAAGTTTGTCTTTATTCCTGCATCCTTTTCAGAATTATTTACTTTGTATTCGTCGTAACTGTTAAGTAGTACAGGGTTCGTAAAAAACTTAAACATCCTTGAATTGAAATAGAAAATTTCAAGGCCTTAACAGTACTTGAAGTTATTTAAGATGTGCTTGAATTCAATTTAATTTGATCGAATTTTCGTAAAAATGTTATCGCACTACTTTCTTTTCACTAATGTTAGACAACAACAACAAAAACAGTCCTTCTCAGGACTATACCAACCTGGACGATCTACATTTACAAACCCGGGAGTAACGATACTCCCGGGTTCAAACCATTTTCACTAATGTTTAAAGACTTGATGTAAAAGCGATTGAAATAACCTAAGTACCAGCATGGCTGTTTTCAAGTCCATGAAAACGCGCCATTTGCTCTCAATTCGCTAGATGAAGTTGCGTGTTTTTAAAATTTTGATGTTTTAAAGATTTCTTAAGTTGGGCGTTGTGTTTGCAAATATCTTTCTCGTTCTTGAATTTTTACAAATATGTCATTGAAAAGTGCTTGAATTTCGTTACTTTAGCGTTGTACGAATCCTTGTAGCCTACTAGTTGACGCCTTGGCGCGTTTTGTTATATCGCGCAATATTATTTTGAACAGTTTGAATTGTTCCTTATGCAACCTTTCATATCTTGTTTCATCTTTTACAGCAAAGTCTTGTCATGACAATCGTAAACTTGGCCCAGAACTTTGTCGGTAGCAACAATTTAAATCTGTTGCTACCTATTGGTCAATTTGGCACACGAATTCATGGTGGAAAGGACGCCGCCAGCGGCAGATATATATTTACCAAACTCAGTCCTCTTGCACGGCTTGTGTTTCCCAAACATGACGATCACATCCTTCACTTTCTCGTTGAGGACAATCAAATGATCGAGCCCGAATGGTATTGTCCTATCATTCCTATGGTGTTAGTTAATGGTGCCGATGGTATTGGGACCGGTTATAGCACAAAAATACCCAACTTTGACGTCAGGCAACTCGTACAGTACGTGAGGGATGTAATAGAAGATCGCCAAACCGAAACACTGGTGAGATTTGTTAATACCATCACTTTTTTGAGAAACGTCTTTGTGTTACCATAGCCCTCAAATTAAAAAAAATTGGCCCGCTAATTAATTATAACAAACTTACTCAACTAGGGAGTGATGTCGAGATTTTACAAAACTGTTGCAAGTATCACACTTCATTTTTTAAGATACAGCAACATCGGGACTACTTATTCTTCATGTCGTAGCATCCATGTTATAGTTAAAGGGGTGAAAATCTACGAAGTTATTACATGTATCACAGCTCACTGTTATGATACAGCAACACCGTGACTAATAATTCTTCATATCGTAGCATCCATGTTATAGTTACTGGGCGGGGGGTGTTGAAATTTACGAAATTTTTTCATGTATCACAGTTCACTGTTATGAGTTACTGGGGGGGTGTTGAAATTTACGAAATTTTTTCATGTATCACAGTTTACTGTTATGATACAGCAACATCGTGACTACTAATTCTTCATGTCGTAGCATCCATGTTATAATTACCGGGGGTTGAAAATTACGAAATTTTCACACGTATCACAGTTCACTGTTATGATACAGCAACATCGTGACTACTAATTCTTCATGTTGTAGCATCCATGTTATAATTACCGGGGGGGTTTAAATTACGAAATTTTCACACGTATCACAGTTCACTGTTATGATACAGCAACATCGTGACTACTAATTCTTCATGTCGTAGCATCCATGTTATAATTACCGGGGGGGTTTTAAATTACGAAATTTTCACACGTATCACAGTTCACTGTTATGATACAGCAACATCGTGACTACTAATTCTTCATGTCGTAGCATCCATGTTATAAGAACTTTAAAGGAGAAATCAGACAAACGGATCCACAAAAGTATGTAGCACGTGGTATTGCCGACGTCGTTGACGAGAAAAGTATTGAAATTACCGAGCTTCCTATTGGAACGTGGACACAACCGTACAAAGAAAACGTTTTGGAATCGATGTTGCATGGCAGTAATAAAAACAAGGCTTGCATTAGGTAAGCTACGAATATTTAACGTCTTGTTGTGTTTGTTTGTGTGTTTTTAGACGAACATACTTGCCTGACGCTGATATTTACTCACAGACATTCGTGTTTGGAATAATTGTATTGATTAACATTAACAATTTGTGACGATTTCAAAAAATTTGTTTTGAAAGTCATTAAAAACACTTACTACCGTACCGCTCGCGTATTTGTTTACATACGCTACGCGTATGATACGAGGATGAAACGCTGTGATACTTGATAGAACGTTGTTCATCGTAATGAGCAGTAATTTTGCTTTCAAATTGTTAACGATTTCGTTGTTTGTTTTTGATATTGCGTACAACTTTAATGTTTTATTTAAGGCGTTTATTATATCGCGACGAAACGTGCCTTCTATTAAAATACGAGTCGATTCATACGAATAGAATATACGTTTATGAATAACATGCATAACATGGATGTGGATCTTGCAACATCAACCATCGAGTCCAACTACGTTGTAAACTCGGTCACATTCACAACAAAGTTCCTCGTCGACTCGAGAAATACAGAATAGCCAACTGTCACTTGATAGACTTTATAGGAAAGTGAAAAAAAGCTATATCATAATAAAATAGTTTGAGCGCGGTGCTCTGTAAATTTTAGAGATTTAGATTCAGCGCTCAAAGGAGTAAAATATGATACACGCGTATCTGCGTATCGTACGGCAAAAAAATGTTTTGTCGCATGAAACCACTATTCATTCAATACGGACACTATCAGAGCATACATATGACTCACTAACGACTTAGAAATGTTTCGTTGTACTATGGTAACATATAGATGTCATCAGCATACACTTAAGAACTTTTCACCATGAAGGAGTTAAAAGGAACAATAAAGCAACTGGGTTTTTATAAATGATACCATTCAAGTTCATGTATGTTATGCATCCATAAATTTTGGGTTGCTTTAGTTTCAATGAAATGTGCTTATCTCACGTCGTATCTAAAGCCCGCCGCACACTGGTGAACTTGCCGCGCGTACTTGTTATTCGTGACAAGTGTGATCGACAGAATTTTCTAGTGTGCGCGGAAGTTTTGAACAACATTTGTCGTTCGTGTCAGATGAATCAAATATCAAACGCATTTGGTGTTTTAGTCACGATCGTGCTATAAACATAAGAAACGACACACTAACAATTGCTTTGTAGCACAATGAGGACATAAAAAAGTGTCAGTATACTCTTAAGATATTTTATTCACGAAATAGTTTAAAGGCACGATATAGCGAAAGAATTTTTTAATAGATGATCTTATATATACATGTATATGTTATGCATTAATAAATTTTGGGTTGCTTTTGCAATGAGCTGCGATTGTCTCGCGTCGTATCTAAGTATACATATGACTCATCAATGACATAGCTGGATAGTTTGTGACACATTCTTATATGAAAACGGAAACTAATTATGATAACAGGGGTTAAGTTTAGGACATGGAAGCAACAACACTATCACAAATCGAGAGACAGGTTTATATTATAGAAGAATTTATGGAAAACTTATTGGTGTGGAAAAAAACCAAATTACTTACAAAAATTATAAGTGCATTATACTAAAATAGTTTACTTACAATACTTTTTATTGAAATGTTTATTTCTAATATAAGAATCAATCGTTTGAATACACCGAGCCCAAATTTGATACGAGAAGGATACGCGTACGATACGCAAAATTATGTTAACAAATACGCGAGCGGTAGTGTATGTTTTATAAACAATTCTTTTCTCAACAAGGTTAGCAGTGCTTGAGACTTTATTGATTTAACTTGATATAAAGTTATAATTAACTTTATAATTTCTAATTAGCAGCAATTTTAAAAAAACACTTGAGAAAAACGACGATTTTTTTGAGAGCAAACATGTTACTAAACACTAACACTACCACTAACACTAACCATATTACTTAACACTAACCATTCTGCACTGAAGATGGCATTCTGATAATGTCGAAACATGTTTGCTCTCAAAAAAATCGTCGTTTTTCTCAAGTGTTAATTAACTTTATATCATTGTATTGAAAAGACGCTCGCTGAGCAGTTTAGCAGATGCTTGTATCAGTCCGCACATTTTGAAGTTGGGTAATCTTTATACTTATAGCAACTACAAGGAGTACAACACAGACACAACAGTGGAGTTCTTGCTAGAAATGAACGATGAAAATAAAATAGCAACGATGACCGAGTCCATTATGAAGAAATTTAATTTGTTGTCGTCTATTAATCTGACCAACATGGTATGCTAGTTAATTCATTTTTCGAAGTTCAATTTGATGAAATCACTTTCTCTATTGCCAATGCACGTGATGTAAATCACCTGGCTGAAATAACGGCCTCAAGGATTGTTGGAAACGGCTGTCTGCAAAAGCTATGTTAAGAATGCTTTTCAACCAAGATGCATTGCGCGCTTTTGTTTCTATTTACATGGTTAGTTTTTAGCTTTCGGCACACTGTATTCAATTTCATCACTACGCCGTCTAATTTATCTCGAAAGTCAGCAGAAAACATTAATAAAAAACTCCTATTTTACATTAAGTATCTCGTACTACAACATAAGTAGGGAGTTTTAACAGGGACTACGAGTACGATTTACGTCATTTTGGCGCGAAACCATTGTTGCGACAACAAAAACACGTAGCCGTCATAAATCTGAGTACGATGTTTTGTAAAAAATTCGTAGTCGCGACTACGATGTCTTTTTAAGCAAAGAAAGTAGGTATATTTCTTCATTCTGTAAGAAATTAGTTAACAGTACTATTTTCGAGCATCCAGGCTTTAATTTAGAACCTTTTTTGAGGGCAGATGTACATTAAAAAGGAAAATATGATCTGCAAAACTTTCATGTATTTCGCACGCAAAGTGAAAGGTAAACAAACAATAAAATAGTACAAATATATCGTACATAAAACTTAAAATAGTGAAGATTTTTTACTGTAAAGAGTCCTATGCTCTCGCAAAATCAATATTATCGATTCTTTGATATCATTATTGACAAATATAGCCGTAGCTGCTTCGCAAACGTCGGTGTTTTACACAATAAAAAGGCTCGTTCTGTTGTTTACAACTAAAGCAAAATTTTGACGAAGCGATAACGACAACAAACTTGCTCGTGCCATTCCCTTACACGGTCAAATTTCGTACTCGTTCTCGTAGTCGTACTCTTGCTAAAACTCCCTAATATCTCCCACATTTTAGCAGATCGCTCCTGTATCATCAAATTGTTTGACGCGGATGCTGTGTCTTCAATGCATGATTGTTTTTTTAGGTGTTGTTTGATTCCTACGGCAGGATAAAGAAGTATGAAACCGTTGACGATATCATCCGAGAGTATTACGAAGTTCGCTTAGAGTGTTACGTAAAGCGCAAGGATTTCCTTGAAGGAATGCTTGATGCCGAAGCTAAAAGACTGACTGCCCAGGCAAGATTTATTTTAGAAAAGATTAAAGGTGTTATTGTTATTGGTAAGTTGGTTCATCTTCATGATCGTTGCTATTCCCCCTCGTGAATATGACAGTTTTCTAAAAAGGCTAGAGGAAGTATAAATAGCAATTATGAAATAAACACATTGAAACGCGTGCGCTGATTGGTCTAGAGCTGTGTTTACATTAGCCTGTGCAAAACACATCTGAGCTCAACCAATCAAATCAATCATAACAATCAATCAGTCAAAGAGAATTTGCAAATCGATCATTAATACATTTTAGAGGAAAAATTAAAACGTTTAGTCCAAATTTGTCTGTTTTGCATTATTGTTATTTTATAAAAGAAACAAAAGATGTTTTTCGTTTTTGCACTGGCTTATACAAACCTCGGAGACGTTTGTGAGATCTCTCGAGCATGTGCAACCCTTAACCTTCGGTCTCGGGCTTGCACTGATCTGCTCTCGAGTTCTCCCAAAGGTCTCCTCGGTTTGCATAAGCCTGTGCAAACACAGTAAACATCTTTTCTTTCTTAAGTAACAACAACGTCCAGTCGACTATTTTAAAAAGTATAAGAAGTTTTTTCTTATATATTGTTCTTACCGCTGAAATTGTCGGTTGGCCGCCGTTTTTGGTCTACGCTCCGAAGCAGCGACGCCATATTTTGCATTACATGTATTCTTTATATTAGTGCTGTGCACCGGAGTTAGGCCGGAGCTCCGGCTATTTTTGCCTGCCGGAGTCGGAGCTCGTCCATCTCCGGCAAACTCCGGCAGTAGTCGTTTGTGCTGCAAAATACTGACAGTATTTTCTTCGATAAACGTAAAATTACATCTATTGAACTATTGTATTTTTAAGATGGCTATTTTCTTAAGAGTTCGCTTTTTGAATCAGTCAAGACATCAGAGTGCTTGATATTCGAGAGAACAAAAGAAAACAATACAGTAAAATACCATCGCCGTGGACTCTTTAATCAGTCACTATAATCAAATTTTTTATTACTTAGAAAACAAGAAAAAAGCTGAAATAGTTGCGAAACTCGTCCAGCGAGGTTATCCATCCGATCCAGTGAAGACGTGGAAAGACAGTGTGAAGAAGCCAACATTGGCCGTTGTAGAAACTGATGCTCCAGAGTCTGAGAGCGAAGTCAGCTCGGTTAGTTCGGCATCGAACATTTCTTCTGGGCCTGATTACAGTTATCTTGTGAGCATGGCCATACTTAGTCTTTCCGAAGAAAAAAAAGACGAACTGTTAAAGCAAAGAGATGATAAGGTGCAATGAAAATTTATCTTATACAAAGTATTAATGTCAAATATACATATTTTTCTTTACCTCTATACTGTCATCTTCAAGTTTTGTTGTTTTATTTTTATAGTTTTTCGCGTAATTTTGATAAGTTCGTTCAAAAAATGCTTTTCACGAAGTTTACGTACAAATTGTCCAACCATAATGGTTTTTGTTAATGAATTTTGATTGGATGACATTTGTATTGATCATTTTAACTTTTACATTGTCCAATCATAATGGTTTTTGTTATTGAATTTTGATTGGATGACATTTGTATTGATCATTTTAACTTTCACATTGTCCAATCATAAAAGCTTTTGTTAGTGAATTTTGATTGGATAACATTTGTATTGATCATTTCAACTTTTGAACATACTTTGCAATATACGCAAAAAACATAGTGAAATTACATGTTTAAGCTGTGTGACAATAGTACACATTTTTTATCGGATTTGGTAGTTGGAGCTTAAACACTCCCCCCTGTTTTGAACTTTTTTACCATATAAAGCGGGTGGGAAAGTCTAGGCTCCTCAGACTGTGTAGAAAATTGTTCCACATTGTTTGGAAACTGCATTTCACCAGACAGAAAAAATTTTTCTTGAGTAAAAGTTGTTGACGATCAATCATGTTGAAAATTAAATTTTGTGCGTAGAAAAATCCACCTTGTGCAAAACATCCTTAATGTTACATATGTCGAGAATCGCACTGATTTTAGTGTGATACAAAAACCATGACCAGCCGAAAATTCAAAGAAATATAAAACAAATTCCGAAGAAGGACATCTTGAGATTGCAAATATGCATCAAAACAAGACGAGAAGTGAACTGTAAACTTTCTACTTTACTTCAAAGTCATCCTCAGACAGAATGAGGATGATATCATCCTGTCTTTTTTTGATGCATATTTTGCAATCTCAAGATGTCTTGCTTCTTCGGAATTTGTTTTATTTTTGTGTGATACGTAAAGCAATATTTTGGTTCGTGCAAAACGAGGGAACTTAAAAACTTTGAGGGATGCTGGAATAATACAAGCAGGAACTAATGCCCGAAATTCCCTTTGTCGTGACTAGTTTTTGGTTAAATAACAATTCAGCCTGGACCAAAAAAGAATTTTCTTGTTTTATTAATGACATCTTTTCATTTAGATATCTGAACTGGCTGCGCTGCGCGAAAAGGCGCCTAAGGATTTGTGGCTGGAAGATCTTGACGCATTTCTTGAAGAACTCGAAGTACGTTTCATTTATTGTAAGCTGCACTGACCGTTGCATGCAACTTTTTCAAGGAATAAGGTCTTAAAATTAATTTATGAATTAAAGCTGAAATGCGCGCATGAAATGTTATTGGGAATGGTTTTGCTAGCCCAAAATATCAACTTTCAAAATTGATCATTTTTAAATGAAGAACAATATTGAATTATATGGTCCAGTATTATAATGAAAATGTTGTCATGACAATGCAGGGATTATTTCTCGATGTCTTTCTGGGGGGGGGAGGATGCTCTAATATTTTAACCCGATTTTTTGTTGGTTAAGATTGTCGAGAACAAAGAACGTGAGGATGCTGAAGCTGCTGCGGCGAAAAAAGCAAAAGACGAATCAAAGAAAAACGAAAAGAAAACCGGCAAAAAAAAAGCAGCCGCTAAATCGAAAAAATCAAAAACTATCGCGGATTCGGAAAATGACGATTGGGATTTTAGCAATGAAAGTGACAACATTTTATCTTTAACCGAGCGCTTAGGATTAAAAAGATTTGAGGAGACCTCGGACACGAGCTCCGTGAGCAGCAAGAAGTCAAAATCAAGTAAAAGCAAGACGAAATCTGCGGACATTACTTCATTCATGGAGAAAGCGAGCAAGCCTAAAGAGGACACTGTGTCATCTTCCACTAAAGCTAAAGTTAAAAAGCTCATGTCTCCTTCAAAACGGGTAAGTTTTTCACACGAGTGGAAAAGTTTTTGTCTTGATGGGCTGATAAACCGGTTTACATAATGGGTTATATGGCTAGAAAAAATTTTCACACGACAGGAAAAGTTTTGTCTTCATGGGCTCATAAACCGGTTTACATAATGGGTTATATGGCTGAAAATATTTTTCACGCGAGTGGAAAAGTTTTTATCTTGATGGGCTGATAAACCGGTTTACAGAATGGGTTATGTGGCTGAAAAAGTTTTTCACACGACAGGAAAAGTTTTATCTTGAGGGCTCATAAAACGGTTTACATAATGGGTTATATGGCTGAAAAAGTTTTTCACACAATTGAAAAAGTTTAAAACTTCATGGGCTCATAAACCGTTTACACATTGGGTTGTGTGGCTGAAAAAGTCACAACTTTGTATACAATAACATGCAAGTCTGCTGCAGATCGCAAGGGTAAACAGAATTGTCCATCAATCTTTTTTATCGGATTCTAACGACAGTCAAACTTACACTTCTTATATTATAAATTGTTCTCAATTACTTATTTATTTTTATAAGAATGCAACCAGGGGGGTGTGGATCGTGGATGATGACTCTGACACATCTACCGCTAGCAACGTCGTCGTAAAGGCATCAAAAGGAAGGAAGGTATGCTGGAAAACGTCTGGTTTTGTTTTGTTTGTTTTTTAGTTTTACTCAACTTAATTTATCTTAACTATTTATTTTTGTAAGAATGCAACCAGGGGGGTGCAGGACGTAGATGATGACTCGGACACATCTACCGCTAGCAACGTTGTCGCAAAAGCATCAAAAGGAAGGAAGGTATGCTGAAAAAGTTCTGGTTTTGTTTTGTTTGTTCTTCTGTTTTACTCAACTTAATTTATCTTAACTATTTATTTTTGTAAGAATGCAACCAGGGGGGTGCAGGACGTAGATGATGACATTGACACATCTACCGCTAGCAACGTTGTCGCAAAAGGAAGGAAGGTATGCTGAAAAAGTTCTGGTTTTGTTTTGTTTGTTCTTCTGTTTTACTCAACTTAATTTATCTTAACTATTTATTTTTGTAAGAATGCAACCAGGGGGGTGCAGGACGTAGATGATGACATTGACACATCTACCGCTAGCAACGTTGTCGTAAAAGCATCAAAAGGAAGGAAGGTATGCTGAAAAAGTTCTGGTTTTGTTTTGTTTGTTCTTCTGTTACTCAACTTAATTTGCTTTCAAGGACACATGACTTAATAATTTTACTACTTAAATTATAGTTTCATTTATCATAACTTTGAAAATGACAGTGTATTTTCTAAAACAGTTTGTGAATAACTCTTGTCATTCTAGAAATATAGAAGTTTTTGTTATGTCCGATCTATACAACTTTCTACGTCATTTTGCATAATGAGAATTTGAAATAGCAGGTACATTTGCCGATATATTACCTCAACCGAGCAGAGTTCTCTTATTTTTGAAGAGACAATGGTATAAACAATTGCATGATCATTTCAACCAAAAGTTGACTTGAATATAAAAGATGTTGAAAACTTTCCAGGAACTCATTATGCAAAATGACGTGGAAAGTTGTATAGATCGAACATTACAAAAACTTCAATATTTCGAGGATGAAAAGAGATATTCACAAACTGCTTTAGAAAATACACTGTCATTTTCAAAGTTATGATAAATGAAACTATAATTTAAGTAGTAAAATTATTAAGTCATGTGTCCTTGAACCATATCTTGTTGATTATTTTAACACTTTTTATTTGTCGATTCAGTCGTTCATCAGGCTATTGACCTAAGTTAATTCTTTTGTATGGAATTCTTTTATTGAAAGAATGCAACTAAGAGGAAGGTCGTAGATGATGACTTGGAGTTGTCCGACAATGACTACGAAAAAGTAAAGCCATCCAAAAGGAAGAAGGTGGGTTCATTAATGCCAATTCTTTGCCTCGATTGTTTTCAAAAAGTTTGAAACAAGAATGTATTCACTTGTAATCTCTTCTTAAATTGTTATTAGTAATATACATTAACGTTGTCAACAGACATGATTTAAAAAAATAATGGTTGTTGTAAAGACCAGTTTCTATACGTCTACATATATGGTGCAGCGCTAAAGTCCTTGATTTTTGCTTGGTGTTAATGTTATTATTTTCGTTTTACCCAACTTGTGCATTTTACGATATTTGTTCTTGATTTTTTAGAAACTTGCAAAGAAAGATGTCGTGGAAATCGACTCTGATCAATCTGAACCAACTAGTGCGCCTGTTTCATCCAAAACGTCAAAGCCACGAGCAAAGAAGGTACATGTTTTTAAATTTGCTGCATTGTTAAAACTTATTGTAGATTGATTTTTGTTATAGCTTGTTATAATATTTTCGACAGAAATATTATTTATATTCTTTTTAAAACACCCTTTTATCCGTATTTACCATGACCAACTGTTGCTTTCTAACCGCTGAGCTGAAAAATCCTTGCTGGATCCAACACGCTGTTTATACTGTCTTTCATCCCCATTAACCATAACCAACACGGCATTTTTATTTTCTTATCGCTTGCTTACCATATGAAAATTTTTTTGTGCTACCTCTAGTCTAAAAGAACAACCAACACAAAGTCAACGCCACCCAAGAGACGTGTTGTTGCTTCAAGTAGTGATGACGACGATGTTGTCGTGAATGTTGACAACTCGTCACCGGTTAAACGACCTTCCCGACGTCAAAACACTGCTAAAAAATATAACTTTGATGACGAAGATGAAAGCGAGGAGGATAATGTATCAAATGCAGAGGATGATTGGATGGAGGATAATGATGATAGTGATTTTGACTTGTGATCTTAATGAAGCCACTGAGCTCCTATCGAACATGTTTATGAAAGTTGTTTATTCCGCGAATCTAATGAAAATCGCGGTTTGATGTTTTTACTTTCACTTGCATTGAAGCGTACTGCACGATTCAATTTATCATTTATACAGGGGGATAGGTGTATAAACTCAGTTCTTACCTTTAACAAATACGTTTATAAGTATCCTTTTATTTGTTTATAGCTTTATGTATATTACATTTAGGGCTTATACATATCCTTATAAAGTCAAACTGTACAAATACATAAACATTTAATTTTGCTTCCATAGGCCTAAAAGTTTTATTTAGGCGTTTAGCTATCATACAAAAGTGATGTGGGTTGGCGGTAGATCATATATATGTCAGTTGGGAACGTATAATGACGTCAGAATTTTAAAACTGACACTCTAAATTCTCTCTGATAAAGGCCTGTTTCATACGTCGCTTTTTACATGCGTCGAATGCATAAGAGACAAAAGAAAATGAGATAAAATTCCTCATTATCTTTTGTTTTGAATGTATTTGGCTCATGTAAAATGCGACCTTTGAAACAGGCCTAACCTAATTACAAACGTGATTCCTTTGTAGTTTCTTTAAACACGACCAATGCCAGGTGACCAGTAATAATAGAGAGCTTTAGCAAAAGTACGACTACGACAACGAGTACGAAGTTTGACCGTGTAAGGGAATGGCACGACGAAGTTTGTTGTCGTTGTCGCTTCGTCAAAATTTAGTTTTAGCTATAAACAACAGAACGAGCCTTTTTATTGTGAAAAACACAGACGTTTGCGAAGCAGCTACGACTCTATTTGTCAATAACGATATAAACTAATCAGTAATACTGATTTTGCGAGAACATAGGACTCTTCAGAGTGAAAAATCTTTACTATTTTAAATTTTATGTATAAAAAATATACCTGCTTTCTTTGCTTAAAAAGACATCGTAGTCGCGACTACGAATTTTTTACAAAACATCGTACTCAGATTGATGACGGCTACAGGCTGTTGTTGTCGCAACAATGTTTTCGCGCCAAAATGACGTAAATCGTAGCCGTACTCGTTGTCTTTGCTAAAGCTCGCTAATTACAAACAAAAGAGTCGTATGAAACAAACAAAAGTTTATCAGTGTGTGATGATTGAAAAACACAAAAGTCTCATCCATGACAGAGTTCTTTCATTTAACAATTTAAAACAAATCATGAAAAGCAACACTTGTTGCTCACAGAGAAAATAAATCAGGTTTTTCATCGATGATTTGAATATTAGAGCACAAAACAAAGAAAGCATCGTTAAATAATGCTTATGGAGAAGCGGAACTTGCCGCGGCTTCTGCGTGATGGGCAATGAAATGATTATAGCATAACACACAGATAATGACAAGGTTAAATAGTTGGAGTGTTATTAAACAAAAAGAATGATAGCACAGCGTTATAACCAACAACTACAAACAATAACGACTTATCTTTTAACATTTAATTAACCTTCCACCTCTCTTCCTTGTAAACGAGACAAGTCTATTCAAAAGCAGAGCCTTGCGCTACAGAGAGCCTTATAGTATAAGGCTCTCTATTTTCAAGAATGTCTCGTTTTAAGAAAATGAAAATTCTCAAATGTTGAAATAAGTGTGTTTAATATGAATATAACATTGTGCTAACACAGATAATGCTAATTATTATTCACTATGTAAGCAATCTCGGCTTTGATTGGTCAAATACCTGCAGATAATGCTCAATATCTGCAATTTTGACGTCATATCTACAGATAATAGTTTCTACAATTATGGCCGCCATTAAAAGCCAGTTTTGAAAATAAAACAAACAGCGATGTTTGCCACAGTTTCTAAAAACAATGTGAAAGCTTTTAAACGAAAAGGATTGCAGAAAGCGCTAAAAAAGCGGCGAAGCTGGCTTTGAACACATTTACAACATAGTTGAACGAGACGAACTTGAATAAACCGTCTGACGAAAACAAATCAGCGAAGGTTTGAAAAGTGTTTTATATTGATGACGTGGTCGAACGAAAACGGAACGCTACGTATTGTCGTGTAAACAGCTAACCGTGATATTTCGCTACACTTTAGCTACCAGTTCTCTTTCATTCGTCCCGTGTTGTGGCGCATAATTGAAAATGGTGATCATTTTATGTTTTGGAAAGCTCTTAATGACTGATTCCGTTGTAACTATTAAAAATCAATGTTGTTTATGACTGATGTCAAGAGATATAAACCAGAGCCCTGAAATGAACATCTAGTAATATGCAAATAAGAAACAGCGCCATCTTTCACAAACAACAAACGAATTTTAACGACAAAGAACAATTCTGTATAAACGCCCGCCAAACTCTAGCGGAAGTCAAACGGATCATTGTAAACGCAGTGAAATTTCGCCATCACTTTTTCGCTCTGGCGTAGTGTAAACGTAGTCTTAATAATACTTCAGTTAAGAAAAAAAGATGTTTACTGTGTTTGTACGGGCTTATGCAAATCGAGGAGACCTTTGGGAGAACTCGATAGCACATCAGTGCAAGCCCGAGACAGAAGTCGATGGTTGCACCTGCTCCAGAGCTCTCACAAACGTCTCCGAGGTTTGCATAAGCCAGTGCAAACACGAAAAACGTCTTTTATTTCTTTTATAAAACAACAATAATGGGAAAAAGACAAACATTTCAATTTTTGCTTTAAAATGTATTCATGATCGATTTGCAAATTCTCATGGACTGATGATTGTTTTGATTGATTTGATGGTTGAGCTCAGATGTGTTTTGCACAGGCTAATGCAAACACGGTTCTAGACCAATCACCGTACATGAATAATAGAACAATTATTGAATTCGTTTTTCACATGATATCATCAATTACTCAGACCTAGGTCAATGCGTATTGGGGTAAATGTTCCTGTAGTTATCTCGTTAAAAATGCCCTGATAACTACCAATTTTTTAATGATATCGATTGAATCAATCAGATTATCACCAGTACTATCGTAGACATGACTTGGCGCAGTGAATTTAGTCACACACATACAAATTAGCTAAGGTTTGAAAAATGTTTTATATTGATATGTTTTGATAATACTTCAATGAATAATAAAACAATTATTGAATTCATTTTTCGCATGATATCAAGAATTATTCAGACCTCAGTCAATGTTATCAGCCTTAGCTTCACTTCATCAGATAACAATGACATCGGTCTAAATAATTCTTGATATCATGCTCAACCTCATGCAATAATTGCTTATTATCTGCAATCAACTAAAGACAGTTCAATGACTAAAGACAATAGTTGACCCCCAGTCCTGAAAACTACTTGTCATAAAAGTACACTGGGGCGAAGCTAGAACGCTAATGGAAGGGGGGGGTGAACATCCGTTTTTTTAACTCTGCCTGGCTGACTTTTGAAAATACATTTGCTTCTGGTGTATTATACTCTTATAATAAATTTGCATGTCTAATTGCAATCAAAGTTTCGTCAACTATTGAAGCATGCAATATAATATTCTACTACAACCAAATATTGCTATATCACCCAATACCACACGTCAATCTGAAAAATTCTTAATGAGTTATTTTATGATTTAGATAAACAGTTAAACAAAATTGAAATTTTAGTTATTTGCAACCACTTGACCATCCTTTGAATACTTGCGTTGTCCTTTGCCCATATTTATCAACACAATGACAGCCAAGAAATGCACGACACTGGATGCGTACATAATAGCCATTCTTGTCGCACCTTGGAAAGGTAAAATCTGCGGGAGTTTCTCCACCAAATTCCGCTTTGAGTGCTTCCACTTGGTTCCAGCAAGGTGTCTCTAAACAATGTTGTGTAAGATGTGGTTTTTTTATACTATTTGGAAGATATAAACATGTCCAGCGTATTTGTAATGTTTTCGGTTCATTGATGTAAACGTAAACTAGTAACGCTACTCCTGATCGGTCTGAAAACGGCGCAAAAAAGTAACAGAACCGGGTTGCGTTTATACTGCACTAGAGCATAATTGTTTGAAAACGTCACTTTGCCGGAGCGATACGACCACACTTTCTAAACGTTGTCGAACGAAAACGGAGCGCTACGCCTTAATTTTTGTGTAAACAGCTAACTGTAATATTTTTCTACACTTTAGATACCAGTTCTCGTAACGCGTTGTGGCGCATAATTGAAAATGGTGATCATTTTATGTTTTGGAAAGCTCTTAATGACTGATTCCGTTGTAACTATAAAAATCAATGTTGTTTATGACTTATGTCAAGAGATATAAACATCTAGTAATATGCAAATAAGAAACGGCGCCATCTTTGACAAACAACTAACGAATTTTAACGGGAAATAACAATTATGTTTAAACGCCCGTCAAACTATAGAGGAATTCAAACGGATCAGTGTAAACGCAGTCAAATTTTGTCGTGACTTTTTCGCACCGTTAAATAGTAATGTAACGTCTTACAATTCTACTAAATACAACATTAGTTTCTCACCTTCATTCGTGATTTTGCTGGTGGGCTTTCCACTGGTTGTACAAACAAACATCAAGTAAAAGAGCGAAAAAAAAACAGACCATCTCATTGTGTTTGTCACCATGTCTGCTTAGCGGTTTCAATTTGCTGTAATGAATTTGATGAAATTTATTCAGATTGTGGCTATATTTATAGTCTGACAAATTGACACGTTATGTATACTTTGTAAAAAATGCAGTTGCGTCAATATGGCTGACATGTTAAGTGGGAAAGTATTTCATGCTTCGCCTGATTGCGCTCGCGAAAATTCCAGCTTTTCTTATTATTCTCGATTTGAATTTTGAAACGTTTGAAACATGTTGAATTCAGGTAGAAAAGATGTAAAAAAACAAGGGCAGTAAAACTAAATCATATATATGAAGCGACGATGAGCTCGAGTACAAAATAGCATGAAAATGTCAAGCCGCCTTCTGGCATAACTTCTTTGATCAATTAGTTAAACAACAGTCAGCTGCGTACATGCTAATGTAGAGGAAATAAATGATCACAGAAGTTCTTTGCCTTCGATTGTCCACCATATTTACATTTGTGCGGCAACGGGTAAACAATGGCGCCAATATTTTGACGTCATGGTATTTAAAAATACCTGATTCAACCGTCCACACGAATGGTGTGAACAAGTGTTCATTGAGACTACGTTCACGCTACGCATGAGCGAAAAAGTGACGGCAAAATTTGACTGTGTTTACACTGGGCCATTACAGTTTGGCGGGCGTTTGCACATAACCGTTATTTGCCGTTAAAATTCGTTAGTTGTTTGTGAAAGATAGCGCCGTTTCTTATTTGCATATTACTAGATGTTATACCTCTTGACTTAAGTCATAAAAAACATTGATTTTTAATAATTACAACGGATCAGTCATTAAAAGCTTTTCAAAACATAAAATGATCGCCATTTTCAATTACGTGCATATCACTTTAACTGAACATCTTGCCACCTTCAACTATTAACACGCTCGATTAAGACTACGTTTACACTACTCTGGATAGGTCTGAAAACGGCGCAAAAAAGTAACAGAACCGGCTTTCGTTTATACTGCGTAGCTTAAACGTAGTCTAAAGGTAGTATGCAAATACTATGGTTGATATTGGGCATTTTAGTCGCTTTAACGCAACAAAGTCGAACCACTTTTTTCTATATGATTGCTGAAGGCCTTTGGCTTATGGGCAAGCAATGTTAAAACAGCCCGTTATAGTAGACTGAGTTGGCCTTGTATGTGACAACAGCTTGCTATACTTTTCATATATCTTTACGACAATTCAGAACCGTGTTGCTTACATGACGTCAGCTGGACGTGCAGGCCCAATCACTTAGCGGTAAAACCGAGCGCTTAAAATGGTATAATTTCGCAACCTTGACGGACTTTACAGCCATAGGCGTACGGTCCAAAATATGGAAAGACGCCGTTTATTTCGGCAACAAATGACAAAGATTTTTAGATCTTGATATTTGTTCGTGTTGCGTATTTCGGTTGAATATTTGAGTCTGCATGCTCTCAATCACAATCAAATAGCACTTAGCCGGAGTGTAGTGACGTACATAATAGTCACGTGTTGACCAAGATCACGGTTAAAAAATCGATTCCGAGAAGATTCGGCCAGCAATGACGGGAACAAAGATTCTACAAGCAAAACATGAAAAGCAACATTTGTTGCTCACAGAGAAAAGAAATCAGGTTTTTCATCGATGATTTGAATATTATAGCGCAAAACATAAAAAGCATCGTTGAATAATGCTTACGGAGAAGCGGAAATTTTGTTCGTAGCTTCTCTGTGTGATGGGCATTTAAATGATTATAGAATAACACATAGATAATGCTCATTATCTGCAATTAACTAAAGACAATAGAAAACCCCAAGTCCTAAAAAATACTTTGCATAGAGGTACACTGGGACGAAGCTGGTGACTGGGGGCTGGATGAATGTTCGTATATTTAACTCCGCCTGACTGACATTTGAAATTACAATTGCTTCTGGAGTATTACGCAATAGTATTCTTATATGATAAATTTTGCTTGTCTGTATAAAAATTAAAGTTCTGCGTGAACTATTATAGCATGCAATATGATATTTTACTTGAGAGAAAGAAACAAAGGCGATTGAAAATCTGCCACAAAAGCCATCCAAAATACGCGTCAATTTGAAAAGTAATTTTTAATTAGTTATCGTACGGTTTAGACGAAAGTCAAACAAAATTGAAATTTCAGTTATATGCAACCACGTGACCATCCTTTGAGTACTTGCGTTGTCTCTTGTCCATATTTATCAACACAATGACAGCCAAGAAATGCACGACACTGAATGAGTTCATAATAGCCATTCGTGTCGCACCTTGGAAACGAAAAATCTGCGGGATATCGCCCACCAAATTTCGCTTCAAGTGCTTCCACTTTGTTCCAGCAAGGTGTCTCTAATGAATGTTGTATAAAGATATATTTCACTATCCTAATTGGAAGATATAAACATGTCCAGCTTATTTGTAATGTTTGTGGTCCTTAAGTATTTTTGGGAAAAAAGACGATATCTACACTAGCCGAACGATCGATACTTTATCTTTATGCAACGGACAATAAAAATGGCATGTCTTCTGTAGAAAAAATGGTTAAATATTTCGTCATCACTAACCAATCAGCATGCGAGATTTGTTCTGGCTACACAATAATTTAAAATAGAATTTCGAAACCTTGCATTTCTCCATGCTGATTTTAGAGTGCTTATTTGTTTTCAAATTTTTTACAAAGTGTGAATAATTGCACTATACTGTATAAGGACGTCTACTGAAGAGAATTTGTAAGCGAGCAGACCTTTAAATGGAGTATTTACCTTTACTGTCATCTTGGAGTGTAGTCACTTCAGGTTCAGGCTCCGTGCTCACAATTGACGTTGTGTCTAATAATTGAATTTAAAATAGTTTTTTTCTGTAAAATGATTGTAAACTTAGTCCTAACAACAATTTTACCAACAGAGATTAAAATTTGTATGTCCAGTACATTTTATTGCATACGCACTAAAATAACAAAAAAAAGGTAGTGACACTTGCTAACAACAAATATTTTTCCTACAAAGAAAGCCTAAAATTGAATTGTTTTCTTCAGACTTTAGTTCGTCTGGATAGTAAAATTCACTCTTGCTAAGATAACTTTCATCTAAATACACTTTGCCTACTCGTTCACCAATTTAAATCGCTTTTAACTTAATTTTAAAAATTTACATTTCACTTCGTAAACAATAATTGCGAAAAAATATCGCTTGTGCCCACGGGAAGATATCTTAAAAAGCTGCCCGCTCAGGCAGCCAATCAATTTGCTGTAAATCGAAAAATATCACTTTGGACCGCTAAATAAAAAATAGAAAAGAATATTTTATCCCTGCTTTTGTGGGAAAAAATTTCTTGTTTTCTATTAGCCATGTTATTAATTGAAAACCAAGTAAAAAGAAAACGTAATAATCTATGCAGATTTCCGTTCACAGACGAGAAAATGTATCGAAAATGACCGAACATTTGAAAATATTTTTTCTATCAGTTGTCCTAAATAAAAAAGTTAAACTAACAAACTCATTTGGCCAAACAGTGCTTTCTTCACTCATTTTTTATTAGACACATGCACACGTAGGGCACATTCTTTAAAGAAAAAGATAGATATTCTCCATTAGGATTGATTTTTGTATTGCATGTATTTGCATGATAGAAAACGCTTAGTTTTAGTTGGACCAAAGTTTTTCCCTCTGTCAGTTTCTGCACCGAGCTTTTATAAGTGTCATCCCCTCTTCCATATTTCTTTTTTGAACACTTACCTCATCTCTTAACATGATTTAAGCATCTAGAGACTACAGTTGATAACAGAATTACTTATTTTCAAAAAAATCCTATATGCCTTCTACATTTAACAATTTTTCCTCACAACATCACTGAACACATTCTTTTTTGTGAGATTTTTGTGAGATAGATAACAGTCATAATGGCCCTGTTTGCAAAATTGTTGAACAAACCTCAACTGTACCTTATAAATAACAATAAACCTGCTCCCGTCACGGTTTTTGCTGAACTCTTATTTCCTGTCTAAGCACTATTATCTACGTCATAAACATTATTTAATTTTTTATGATTACCCAATATTTCATCAATACCTGCATCAAACGTTGGCTGTGATGTTGCTGTTTGTAACTGTGTCGTATCATCAATTTTAGATGTCGTCTTTATCTGAAGCAGTTCACATTCCCACTGTGACAGAGATTTGTTTGACGTGCGTTGCCCGTATTTATCAACACAATGACATCCCTTGAATACAGAACACTGTCGCAAAGTGTAGTAGCCATTATCATCACAGTTTGGAAAAGAAACTGGAAAGGTAGCTAGACCTCTGCCGAGTAATATATCAATTGATTTTCGCTTTTCTTTCAGGTCCTTCACTTTTTTCCAACATGGCGGCTCTAATACATTACCAACATTAAAAAAAGGTAAATAAGAACATTTTGTTGCTGTTGTGCTGCTATTAAAAGCTCGTAATTTCATAAAATTTCTTTCGTCAAAAGCTCTTTCAAAACTTCATTAGAGATCATTTTTTTGTGTTTGACGGTCACCTGTCGTCTGAGTTGGTTGTTGATATTTACAGAACGAAACCGTTTCTTGTAAATAAATGAAAAATTGTAATAAGTTTGACAATGAATTTATTAAAACACGAATAAATTTTTAACAAAAAACAGCTTAGTTTCGCTAATCTTCCACCAGAACTTAATACAGCATATCATGCATATATGAATAAGAACCCTCCCCCCAATTAACGATAGCAATACCTCCCTGTCTTTCATATCAAAGTGTCATGTTTCTGAACTAAGTATATCCACCTTTTGCTGCAGTTGAAAAGACTATTCTTTTGACACCACAACAATGTAAACCATATTAAATTTACATAAGGTGTCATGGGTTTTCTCCCCAGGAAGCTAGAACCATTCTAATTTAAAAAACTACGAAGCGATTACGACAAGTAAAGGCATATCTCAATACAAATACAACTATAAAGTATTCTTCGATAGTGGATCCATGTTAGGTCAGAATACATAACTGAAAATATCTTTCCACTTTAAAATATTTAAGAGCGAATCTTCTTTGGGGTAATTTAAGGTTGAGCCTCAAATATTCTTTAGTAATTTCTGATAGAAAGCTTCGTTAAACAGTATTTAGTAATGTAAAAGTAATTTAAAATGAGCCTTTATTATATTTTTTTCCATTTAGCCTGGGTCCGCCACTGGCATTTTAAAATAATACTCCACAACATAGACGAAGCTTTACACGGCTACTTTGTTTATTAAAAAGTAATATTTGTTTATCAAATAGTAATGTGAACGTCCCACAATTTTACTAAATACAACTTTAGTTTCCTACCTTCATTCGTGATTTTGTTGGTGGGCTTTCCACTGGTTGTACAAACCAACATCAAGTAAAAGAACGCACATAAAACAGACAATCTCATTGTGTTTGTCAGCATCTCTGCTTAGCTTTTTCAATTTGCTGTAAAGAATTTGATGAAATTCATTCAGATTGTGACTATATTTATAGTCTTACAGCTTGCTACCTGCTGTACACTATGTTGGCAAAACAAATCCAATTGCGTCAATATGGATGGGATGTTGAATGGGGAAATAATTTCATTTGTTTTTGCAATAAGCATTTGACGAAAGACAAGTCTAATTAAAAACATCCTGAATTTTTTCAAGCCTTCTGTGAAGACATATTGATTGCAACGCTGAAGGTGCCAACATGTTAATGTAATTAAAGCGTTGAAAAATGGGATAGTAGCCATTTTAAATTATTACAATAACTGGACACATTTTTTGTCTTAAAAATCATTTATCAATATATGAAAAAAACTGTTTGCCAAAACCACGTAGACAATGCTACACAGTTGCCGATTGATATGGTTCTCATAATGTCAACGATTATCGATCCGAATGAATCGATCCGAACAATCGATTCTTATTACTAGTGCTCTGTATTAGGTTTCGTTATGTGTAGTAAGGGGCTGCTCACATGGGCCAGGTAGCCGGAATTCAGCGAAGCGTTAAATCACTTTTGCAAAAGGAAAAGATTGAATACTTCACAACAAAAAACCTAGTTGATAAAATTTTGTATTCTATGACTTTGCAATTTCACAAAACCTTTAAAAATGAAAACAAATTATTTGGCCTGACTTGAAAATTACAACTAAAATGACTTATGACTGTTAAGATAAGATTGTAAGTTTTGACTCAAAATTATTTCACGCTTTGCTGAATCCCGGTTACCGAATAGGGTCATAGAATAGAAAATTTGCTCAAATAAGTTTTTTGTTGTGAAATATTTAATCTTTTCCATTTGCCAATAAGATTTAACCCTTCGCTGATTCCCGGCGACCGCGCTCATGTGAACAAAGCCCCTTAGTCAAGAATTCAACTTTATTCGCCCATAATGCATTGTGCACAGGGATCATAATTTTTGCTAGATGGCCACTTTAAGGAATGACAGCAAGAGTGACAGACTATCATTTCGATTTCATAATAATAGTGATAATTTCGTTGTAGTCCATAATGTAAATGTCGGTACATATGATTTGATCATTGCATGCAAAAGCGAAATCTACAAAGGGAAAAACCAGGCGCGTAGCCAGAACGATAATTGGGGGCATATTCATATATTCATTTTATAATTCTTAAAAAGAATGGATTTCAAAAGAAACTAATACGGCATGTCATGCATATAAATATACCCCCCTTAATTATTGTTCTGGCTACGTGCCTAGGAAAAACCAAGCCTAGGAAAAAAAAGCTTTGATTATCTGTACGGTCACGAATCGCAAAATACACAGGAGGGAGGGAATCATTTACGGTAGTTTCACTTCGAAAGCTGAAAAATAGAGGTGTTGAATTCGCTACTGGAGATGGTGTGCTTATCTATAAGGAAATTAAGCTGATAGGAGAGACATGAAAATATTTTTTTCGTGTCGATGTGCATGGTATTCATCATATTTGTTCATCTCCACAAGAGCCCCTTTTACATTTCTTGTAGATAATGCGCATGTTATTTTATAGTTTATTTATTACATGATGTGGCAGTGCAGTGTCGACAATTTCTTCCCTTTTTTAATGAGAAACATTTATATTGACGAAGAGTATCAGTAAAGTGCCAAAACCTTTCACTAGTTTCCAGCCTTTTACATGTGCAGGCATGGTTAAAAGTGCGGAGTGTGCAGTTCGAGAACTGTGTCGGAGTGCGGAGACTCTCCACTTCCAAATATAAACGCTTTTGCGCACTTTCCACTTTATGCCCCCACAGAGTAGAAAATCCAGGATTCCACTGTAAATTTTTTACTCCCGAGATCACATGCTTATAACACAGACTCTGCATTTTCTACTTTATAATAAAACAGAGACTTTGTCGTTGTGACAAATCTGAAAATAGTTCTAAAGGTAGCAAATACCATAGTGAATGGTAAAAGTATTATAATAACTTGATAGTTCTTAAAAGAACTGTTTTAAGTAAAGAGCACTAACCCAATAGTTCTAAATTAAACGATACGATGCATTTTGGCAGACTACTCCTCGGATGTCAACGTCTGCTAAATGAAAATTTACAATTTACCGATATTTATAATGCCAAGAAAGAGTGTACGTCATCTTCAAAAGGGGAGATGACGCTCAAAACAGGGATAAATTATAAACATATTCCTTTTGTCGGCAGAGGAAGGGATTGGTTAACTTAATTTAAACAGCCTCTATGACGCGTAACTGAAAGAATGAAAGGCATTTCTTAATGATGCTAAAATTGTCGTCTAAATAAGAATTAGCACAATGGGAGTTATTCATAAGATGTTTACCTATCGCAGAGTCACATGAAACCAAATTACTTTTCTTACAATCACGTTTTGTTTGTTGTCTTGAGGGGACCGTTCCATTTCTGATTAAAATTGGTACATGCTGTTTGATACAATCACCCAACTTGTGAACGTCTCAAAATTCGACTGAAAATTCACTTTCCGCCTGGCAAATCTCTGGCTACGAATTTGAGGGTGTTGCAAATGCCTGGAAAAAGGAGGGTTTTTTCAGTTTTCAAGGTAACTTTTTATTACATACAACGTTTAAATGGACGGTAATTTGGTCATTTGAAGGAATTTTTGTACGTGATTTGGAAATGCTTTATATACGCTGAGCTATTTAATAAATTGGAAGGCTGTCTCTATGCGATCAAAAGAATTCCTTTAAATCCGAAAGTGTGCTTTTTAATTGCAAAATTACTCGAGAAGAGAAGTTACTTTCTACATTGAATCATGAAAATTTTGCAAAGTAAAAAGAAATTTATTGTCCAAAGTGAATCAAAATTTTATAACATAAGGGTTGAAAGCGAGGTTCAATTTAGACTATACAAATTGCCTTGCTTATAAAATGTTAATTAACATAAATGTAAATTCTATAACAACGGTTCTAAAAAATGACAAGCAAGCTAAATTTTGATTTAGCTAGTAGTTAGTTATTGGAATATTGCTCCAGCGCTTCCAGAATATAAGGATAAACATGACTCGCAGCATGCTTTCCGATTATGCAATCGAGATGGCCGTAATCTGGGATTGTTATCATAGAATAATTTTGATGAGGATGTGCTTTTTTGACAAGTTCAAAGGTGGTGCGTGTACTTTTCGGCAAATAACATTGATTCTTTTCACCTGGAATTTTAAACAAAAAGAACGTTTTGTGTTGTCATAAGATTGGGAAAAAACAACGAAGATCAACTAACCGGCAAGAAAACGGATTGGTAAATTCAGACGACCAATGTGCCTTTTATACTCTGGCGACTGCAATCCTATGTGACTGTCAGGCAAATAGATGTCTTTTCCATCAGCAGAGACCAATTTCTCTTTTCTCACTGTCAAAGTAAGCTGGCAACTCACCAAAGATGTCAAATAACCGAAGAATTCGTTTAAAGAGCTGAGGGTTAAATCGTTAAGATTTTTGCTCTCCCATAGCAAGCCGTACAAGAATGTAATTCTAGAACAAAAGAATATTCTAATGATACTTTACTAGCAAATATATTAAATATTTGCTGTTCAGTGGCTCATTTACCTATCGAAAACAGGGTCTTCAATTCGTTCACTTTTTTCAATAGCTAGATGGACAATTTTCTTGCAAAAACTGTTGAACATCCGATTAAAAAATGATGCATTTTCATTTGTATCTACAGTTAAGCCCTCTAATCCGACAGTATAACCAACTTCAGCAAAATATAAATGCGACTTGTACCAATTGAATTTTGATGGAATGGGATTGGCTGCAACTTGACTCGCTATGACATTACTCACTTTACCATCCAGGGCACCTGACAGAAGTGAGGCAAATAGGACAAGAGAGCCAGCACAGTGAGCAACAACTTGGACTTTGTTCTGCAGGAAAAATTACTGTCAGTGTAGCTTTTTTACCGTGTTTAAGGATTACAAAGGCTGGACGTAAAGAATAATAATGTGTAAACTGACTAAACTTTTTCTGCTATATTTACATGCTAATGGTTTAACTATAAGTTGATTTCGACGAGCGATTGGTCATGTTCTGAAGAAAATAAAAAATCTAAGATTAATATATGACAATTCCCAATGAAACGCCATTTCATTCTGATCTTTATTCTTGGACATAGTTTGAAGATAGTTTCTGACTATTGTTGATCAACACTTTCATTCAACCCATAAAGATGTACGTCATAAAAGCCGGGTAATTTTAGTTGATCCTTTAATGTTGCTTTTTGGCTTGTTTCATATAAACAATATTTATACCTTATTAGTAATTTCCAGTATTTTATCAATGGCTGCTGGGTAGTCATACTTGGCGCAATCATCCAATGTATATTCTCTTTTAGCCATCAGCGGTAAATCACACGATACTCGCCAGTCGACCAACCAAACATCATAACTATTAAATTTAGAATTAAGTTTAGGATACACGCAGCATTTTTCAAAATACTCATAACAGGACGGTGGCTTAGCATAATAACCACTCAATTTCCAGTTCAAAATTGTTTAAAAATAAAACTTACTCGTGATTCATGAGATATTCAACAAGATTCGTATCAATAGTGTCTAAAGAAAATATCATACTGCTAACGCCTGCACCATGGAACATTACGACTGGTCCCTTTCTCCCTCCTTCGTATCGAGTCAGCAAAATATCAAACTGAAATACAATACAACACAAAAGCACCATAAAGCATTATGTCTATACCCTTGGAGAGAATCAGCAGATTATTAAACTAAAATACAATAGGACTGGCGATAGGTATCTTATGACAAACTGAAAATGTCGTTTTAAATTGAAAGAAGAAATTTGCGTATCTTAAAGTAGCATGCATTTAATAGAAAACGCTTTAGAATGATTAATTTTAACTGGCACCAGCTTTAACCATTTTCATTTTAATAAAATACAGTTGATACTTATATAATTTGTTTGTAAGGACCCGGCTAGACTGTAGTTATTTTTTGATTATTATAAACGACTCCCAATTTGGATGGTGTGTTTGTCTTTAAGACAATACTTACGTCATCTTTTGTTGTAATCTCATGTAGCACTGGGAAAGCTCCATTCAACTTAAGCGCTCTTCTAACTCTGGTTTGTGGTTCTGCCAAATCATATCTACTCAAAAGATGTTTTAAGAATCCTGGACGGTAGACATTCCAAATAGTCTTGACAAAAAACCAAACAAACTTTCCAAGCCAGACTGCTTTCTCTTCAACGCTTTGTGTGTGAGTGATTTCAATGGTTTGTAACTGTTTTAAAAAGTTAGGAAGCGTTATGTAGAGCTTTGCTTTGCCCAGCAAATCTCCAGAGAAATCATCTCCAGTGTAAATATCGACGAACAGCTCCGTCGTGTTTCGTAGACCAATATTCCAAAAATGATCCTTATGAATGTGCTTGACGCCGTAGAAAGAAAATGTCGAATTGCTTTTTGCATCATTCAAAATCATTTTATAAACCATCTGTTTTGATTCATTCGTTGGACTGTCATCATCAGCTGGACTGAATAATTCGAAGTAACCTAAGGGTATAGAAAAGTGACTTGATGATTGTTCGAAAGACCTCGCTGTATTTTTACTTTGCTTCTTGCAAGATTTGGCGTTTGCAACGAAACACATGCATTAATTACTGTTTGTTTCAAAGATGGTACAGCCATACAGCACATATGTAGAATAGTATAGTGGAAAGTAAACTTTTTTATTGTGGAAGTACTACCACACGTATAACGCCTTTTCATTGAATTTTTCTTTCTTTTATCTTAAATATCGTAATGCTGTATTTAGTGGCAACGTAAGTCTTCTCTAGAATTGTTTTCTGATCTGAAGTAAACAATCAGAAAGCTTATTGTCAGAAATCTAGGTAAAACGTAAAACGGCAAGGTGGGCAGACATGTTTTTTGCTACTCGCTATATATTGCTTCGCCACTCACTATCATGGCCAATTGAAAAATAAATATCGAGTAGAGTAGCCAATGAGATTAATTTGCAATAGAATGATAGCATGATCCTAATAAATTGATATACATGCAAACATATATTTACTTTTTAAAGAAAAATTCACAGAAGCATTTATTTAAAAATTTAAACACTTTATTATTAACTATAACTATAAATCATCAACGATAAATGTGCTCGAATAACAATAATTAGAATAATTAGAACAAAAGCAATAGTTTTAAGAAAAATCATAAATAACAAAAATATTGGGGAAAAGCTTTGTGTAAATTTCATGTTGGCTAAAGATGACGAGTCTAAAATACTGTGGAACCTTCTACATCACTCATGTTGGTATTTTACTGCTGTAGTCATCTTGCATCAATAGCAGTTACATCATATTTTGTCTCATCAGACTAATACATACAACGACACGATTGAACTGGACATGATCAGTGATCTTATAATAGACATACCGTCAGAAACAGTCAAGGGTGATGACGCAAGAGCATGGCATGTGACTGTTCCACTGATATTTGCAACATGATCGGGATCACATTCCAACATTCTCTTCAAATCGTTGGATTCAATCGTCAGCTTAAATTCACAGGCTTCTTCCACTTTTGTTGCACTTGAGGTAAATTTTCCTACCATCATCTCTGTAAACGAAATGCCAATTCGTTGCTCTCTGAATTCATTCTCGCCTAAAACGGTGAAAATTAAAATGTTATGTTATCTTCTGTTTAAGTCAGCTGAGACACATGACATAATTAATGCCGTTTAAAAAGTCTTAAATATTATTAGCTATCAATATTTCGAGAAGCTGGAAAAAAGGAGTGAAATTTTCAAAATAAGTAGTGCTTGTCCGTACAACTCACTTAAATGCCGAAACTTGTAATTGATCTTCCATTCTTCTCTCTCAGCCAATAGTCGCACACAACGCTCAGCAACGCACGCAATAGTCAGAGTAGGATTAACTCCGACAGACGTAGGAATTATAGCACCGTCTACCACATATAAACCTTTGTATACTTGATCAGAGTCTCCTGAAATTCGAAAGAAGCCAATTGTCAATGATTTTGTTCAGAGATAGCGTGCGATATTTCTCGTGACGAAATATTATAATGGCAATTTGTTAAATTACATTAGCAATTCTCTACGTCGAGGGCCAAAATCCACGCCATCCACTTACACTTTAGAAAAAATTTTTTCGAGACAAATAAATCAAATCACATATTTTTAATTAACAGGAAAAGTAAAATTTATTACTGAGACTGTTCTTATTTTTTGTCCCTTAAAAACTAAATTTGGCTCTTCATTTAGTGGTTCCCATTCAAACGCTGTTGTACACAGCTTCAATTGACAAAAATCAGCCGAAGTACAAGTGTATTGTGTGCATACTTGGATGGTCACGAGTTATAATGTGATTTGTGCACGGACCATGCACTCGCCTGAGAAACTTAAATGTTTAGCTATATTAGAGTTATTTCAAAAGATTGCACTGTGCAAATATGGTCAAAAAATAAAATCAGTGCGTTCACAGGTGTATAATTTGCTTTGAATTCCAACACGAGACTTTCTTACAATGAACAATAAAATTTACCATCAAAAACTTGACCAGCATTGTTTACAACTCCAGTTTGACCCGAGTCTGCCATTGGACATCCTCCTAACGGATGTACTGTGAAAATGCTTCTTCCAAGAAGTTTGCTCCACATTGGATTCTCTACAAACTTTCCACCAAGCTCATTTGTGACATTTTTCATGCCTTCCAACACTTCTTTAAAGTTTGACTCTGAACGGATATTCTTATAACTAACACTGATGTCATCTGTATTCGTATGGAACATTATCTTGCCACCTGATTTATCATTACTCATGCCAAGGAATACCAGAGATTTTTTCATAGGTGGGGCTTCATTAGTTTTATCAAGATCTAGGTCATATTGGAGCTGACAAACAAACAAAAAAACATGCCTTTTAATTAATATGGCTATTTTATTAGAAGTGCAACGTACTCATTCTAATAAACGTCCCTGGCATTTTTTTAAAGAGAGGCGTTTATTTCAAACGCTCAAAATAAAAAACCTCAGAAACAGAACTTCTGGAGCAAAATTAATCAAGCAAATTATTTGTTGGTTATGATTAATCATAGCTTCTATTTTGACAGTGGTAGCTACAAAAAGAATTTTCTATGAAAATGCTCAACAACGCTCCTCAAAAATGCGTATAACAATACATTATACAATACATTATGTACTGTATCATCAAAGTGTCATGGTATTAAAAATAATGAACCAAAAGCCACGTTTTAAAGATTTATAAAAAATTACAAAAAAACGAAGAACTTGAAAACCACTGAAAAACAAAGTAGTATGATAAATTCTAATTACAAACTTCGTTTTTATGTTTTTATCATTCAGGCATGGGGCGGGTGGCTGAATGGTTAATTGCGTGAGCTGTAAGCCAGACGGCGTGAGTTCAATCCCGGCTCGTGTCTGTAAACCTAGCCCGGGCTGACCAAAGCCATGTGAGGGAAATTTGGTGGGGGACAAGTAGCAAGGCTTCACGTCGCAAGGCTTCCCGTCCCTGATTTCGACTGATTGCTACAACACGCGTAGCAAAACGCGAAAAGATATGATGATGATGATGATCATTCAGGCAGTGCTTGGTTAATCACGTCCTTAGTAATTGGGTATAAAAATGGCGTTTATTAAAGTGAGAATACATTCGATAGCTGGTGTTTATTACAATAAATGCAGTTTAAGAGTTATTTGATACAATATATATCTTTCAATCCAACATGTAACATATTCGAATCTACTGAAGGTACATTTTAGTTTGATATGTGCACTTGGTAAAGTACAAATAACACACAGCACAAGCTTATAATACACTCTACAAATGAAATGGGGCTTTGTTTTTACCTTTGCAGCTGCAGTAAGCCATAGAGAATAAGGAAAAGCAATGGAAGAAGGTGGAATACCGTCTTCAAGTATGTAATTCTTCGTTAGTTCTTTATTAGTTCTTAAATCCATCACAGTTGTTATACATGGACCTGGTGGGTTATCGCTCTTTGAACCAATCATATCTTTTGTCTTCACGCCAATTGAATTGACCACCTTATTACCGTCATAGCTGAATCCAAGCATGTCACCATTCGTAGAAAATCGCTTCCCAATTGAACTCGAAATATTCAAGCCACGGTTTTTGGAACGCAATAAGATCTTTGTTGAGCCCAGGGCTCCCGCACCCAGAATCACGTGACTTGCAGAAATAGTTTGCTCTTCAACATTGAAGTTGGCTTTAACGAGACGTTTGTAATGAACTAACCACTCTTTTGTGTTCTGTTTCCGAGCTATCGCCATTACTTCGACCTGTTAAATTGAAAAAGGACGTATACGTGTATATGTATATACGGGATAATTACTAATAACTCCATCAAGTTTCATTGTTACATCTTTACAAACTCGTAACGCTCAGATTGATCAAATATAATTTATCAAAGTATTCGACTGAGTCATAAATGTTTAGACTGGCTTATAGCTCTTTTAAAGCTCTTTTCGATTTTTTGACTTTCTAAAGGTTGTTCACATATGAGCCCGGTAGCCAGGATTCAGAAAAGCAATAAATTATTTTGGCAAATGAAAAAGATTAAATACTTCACAACAAAAAAAACTTATTTGAGCAATTTCTCTGTGCTCTGACCGATTCACAAAACCTGTATAAGATGAAAGCAATTATTTAGCCTAATTTGAAAATTACGACTAAATTGACTAATATGACGCTTAAGAAACGGTTGTAGGTTTTGCGCTTAAAAGTTTTCACTCCTTTCAATTATTTAAAATCATTTCACGCCTCGCTGAATCTCGGTTACTGGTGCTCATGTGAACAGCGTCTAAGAAATACTCTCTTTCCCATCAAGCCTGCAGTCGACCTAAAAAGTGCAAACAAGTGAAAAGTGCTATCGTCACTATCCGGCGATATAAAAGAACTCGTCCCCAGAAAATCTTTCGATTGTATGAATAGTTGCCAGTTCTCTGCTCTCGAATTCTCCCAAAGGTCTCCTCAGTTTGCATAAGCCTGCGCAAACACAGTAAACATTTTTATTTCTTAAATACACTGACTATCGTGCCCAACAAAAGCAGTTCCGTTCCACATATCACGTTCAACACCAAGTCGTTGTATGTTTGACGTGGTTTTTAAGTGTAATTGAACTAGAATTTTAAATAAATTCGTGGTTTGAATACACCATTGAAATTTATATTTAAATTTGTGGTTCATTATAAAAGTTTATAAAACACAAAACAAGTGCAATATTTTCAGTTGATTTCTTTCTCATATATGTCAGAAAATATTGTGAATACAAAATACTTTAACTTAGTAACCTGCTATTTAACCGTTCATACCTAGTAACCACCTAATAAAACCCTAAGTATATAGCAACCAAATGTTGATTATTGAGAAATTTTAGGATTTAAGCTATGGCCGCAACTTCGACAATTTCTAGCAGGCAGACCATTTGGTTTGTACGATTGCAGTTGAGCTACCGTCGTCCATCCATACCAATCACTGACTGTATTTGGATCAGATGTGTTTTCAAGGTCAGCCCTTCGCAATAGCTTGCCTTCTTTGACCTGAAAAAGTTAATAGAAATGTCAATTATTGAGATCGCGTGAAATTTTAACATATTAATTATGACTCAACATATGTACTCACGTGATAACAGATTTCAATTACCAAAGTACTATCATTTTTCGATCTATTTTAGTCAGAGCTGCTACGTAGCTATATACAGTATGTACCAACTTCAATAGTAAGAAAGTTCAAGAGAACTTCACGTCCCTATTTATACATCAACACGTTACACTTTAGACAGAAAATGTAAAAGTTAAATTATAGATATAAGAACAAGATGACAAAATCTGGGAGGGAGAAAAGGAAATGCAAAAAAGAATTTATTTTTGCTAATATATACCATGCACGTAAAAATTAAAATTTTGCATTGTGTATCTTCTGGAAATCTAGTAAAATCATAAAAAATTGATTTAAAGCAAGCGTTGATCCATCCATTGTTGCAAAATTTATTTCTTGTATGTATTTTCAAATATTTTATAACTACTACCATAAATGGTAAAAATCAATTATGGTACTAAAACAGTACTAAAGACATAAGCTAGAGCAGTAATAGATACCAGAACATGTAGAAGGATACTTAAAATAACTTTTACAATAACTCGATTATTTTAACAACGTGCAACTCAAATTGAGTTTTTCAAAAATTATTCAAACTCGCTATTCTAGAATTTCCACTTCTCAAGAATGGAAGTTCGAATAAATTGGTCAAATCGATACACGATTTAATTCTGATCAATTTGCTTTTAATTCTTTTAACTTATTTTAATCAAGAAAGATTAATTAGTAGTAAAATCTATACAAATTTTAGTTCGTGTTTGAAGTAACTATACGAAACTAAATTTTGATTTGACATTCAATTTTGAGGGATTTCTGGTTCTTTCTTTAAATTCCAATATTTTTTAGTTATGTACGTGATTCTTTCATGAATTACCTGAAACATTGGGTAGGTGTTTTCCTCGTCTTTATCAACAAATGGAATGTAATCAGTCACTATACTTGAGTCTCCTACATTTTCAGGATGATGAAAGGCTTGATAAACGTGATTGACAGAAGTCTGAACAGCTTCGATGGCAATTGCCTTGTTTTCTTTGCTTTCATCATTCAGCAACATTCCATCACCATAGGCCTTCCACTTAATTCCATTTTTGTTCCTTACGTTGATGCCGAACTCATTGTCTTCGTCGTGCATGAATTTACACAGATAATCTCCAACTTTGGATGGTGTAACCTCGTTGTGCAACTCTTTTCTTGGTACTCTTTAAAAATCAACAGAAACACTTTCTATAAACAAAAAAATGTCAACCTCCCCCATAAGAAACTCTTTCATCAAGCAGATATGAATAAATTACAAACTGAATGAAAAGCAGCTTCTAAAGCTCTTTGTGCTTAATTTAATAGATATTTGTTTGTCTGCTTTAAGTATAGTTACGTGTAATTCCTAAGATGTGTGTTGTGCAGTAGATTGTAATACGTAATAGTCGATTTCTTAAAAGCATCATAAAGAGATTTGAATAGACATAAGAAAACGATTCTCACTCTTAAGTCTCCAAATCCATCTTTTTTATTCGCTAATAAGGTAGAGAAATTCTATCTACCATTGCATATATCAAAACACAAAAGTTGTTTAGAATATATATCCTTACCATTGTACTTTTTGAAAGTTTGAGTGCTATTTTCATCTCATTCAGGTCTGCTTTTCTTGCTTCTTTTGCTTTTGATAGAGCAAGCTCGTGACCTGCCAAATATGCATCTTTTGAATATGGAAGAAAATGGTCGTGATTGTTGCTTGCGAGCTTCATCATTCGTCCAAGGATGACGGGGACTCCGAAAATCCATTTTCCACCAAGAATTTCATCCCATTTTTCGACAAGAGAGTTTCCTAATTTGTCGTAAACTTCCTTAGGAACCACACGAATGTTCCCTTTGTCATCTGGCAATGAAACGACTTTGTCTTTGCCATAAAACACAGATTCAACTTTATCTTTCTCTTCTTTCATTATCTTCAATATTTGTTGCAGCTCATTGTTGACATCTTCGTACTTTCTACCTGCAAGTGTGTTGTACGCGGCAATGAAGCGGTAATGAAGACCATCAGGATTGTGACGTTTATCTTCTTTAGGGTCCACTATTGGCTGATCTGGTATACCATAGAAGTCACCTGCTAATGCAATTATTTAACCGTACGTAAGCTTCACTCCATTGCGAAGAGTCAGTGCTTTCTTACTTTCTTCTACTTCCATAAACGCTTCTAAAGATGACTTTGGAAAACGTAGTTTAATATTGTTTCCAATATTTTCATGCTCAGCTGCTTCAAATTCTTCGCTACCATCAGCTTCTTTTGGTTCAGACGAATTAGGTGTCCGTTAACTGACATTTAAAAAACAATCCAAAACTATCTGGCCTTGCAAAGTATCGTAATCATAATCCATCTTGTTATTATTGTTATTACAGTGACGAATGCCAAAGAACAAAAGTACTTCTAGGACTCAACCGTTTATTTGAAGTTATAACAAGTTATCAAACATGCATCATATTTATTCATCACCACAAGAGCCTTTATTACATTTCCTGTAGATAATGCGCATATCTTTTTTATAGTTTATTTATGACATGATGTGGCAGTGCAGTGTCGACAATTTCTTCCTTTTCTAATGAGAAACATTTATATTGACGAACAGTATCAGTAAAGTGCCAAAATCTTTCACAAGTTTCCGGCCTTTTACACGCACAGGCTCGGTTGAAAATGCGGACTGCGGAGTGTGGAGAACTGTGTCGGAGTGCTGAGACTCTCCACTTCCAAAGATAGACTCTTTTACGCACTTTCCACTTTATTCCCCCCCAGAGTAGAAAATGCAGGGTTCCACTGCAAATTTTTTACTCCAGGGATCACATGCTTATAACACAGACTCTGCATTTTCTATTATATTTACCCCCATAGAAGGGAAATTGCGGAGCGGAGTCTCATTAAAAATGTTCGACTCCTCAAATCACACGCTTATAACACAGACTATGCATATTCCTCTTCATGTTCCCATATAGTGAAAATTGCGTAAATTAACGTGAACAGGTCAAGCACATTTGATTTTTTTATGAAACTTTATTCCTGTAAAGAATAACAAATCAATTCAACGCATTTTCCACCATGTCTCTCTCATTCCTGATTACTTTTATGTCCATATTTCACAGAGCTACAAGCTCATGCTAATCCAAGTCAATTTGATAAAGTTCTTTCCGACAATGATAAAGGAAAATTTGACTACGATGAAGAGATTGCACTGGATGTTTGAAAGCAAAATCAAACCAATATTCAAAAGTATTTTTAGCTACATAAGTTAATTTGTTATTTACCCATCTTTAAAGAAATGTTTTAATACGATAAAAACTCTTTCTTTCAGAAACATATGACTTGTCTTGAAGATCAATGCAAATATAATTATGCAAAGTTTCCACTGTGAAAGGATCGTTGACGTCAGTGATTACCAGAAAGTGTCACGACACTTTGCACTATAAGCCTACGTAGACCAACTGTCTCCATCTATAGAGGTGAGAATTGGTGATTGGGTTGCTTGTATAGGATAGAACTACAATTTATTCATTTCACTATATTTTGAGAAAGCTTTAAACATAAAACTGAACAATTATATTTGACTTGCTTCATTGAACAAACAGAATTGGCCAAACACTCTGAACATGGATTTTGCAAATGAAAAGTCGAGCGAGTGGAGATACAATGACGATGCTAACAATATATCTGCGTCGTTATGTGGTGGAGAAGAGGCTGGAAGAACCATTGCAAGAAACCACGATAGTTGGAATAGTTGTGAAAAGCTTAAAACTGATGGCAATTTTCACCAACGCTATATACCAATCAAGGATGCTTTGGCTTTTAAAAATCTTTCAAAGGATGAGCAGGAAATTTTTGTAACACAAAAATCGTTAACTTCTGAGGATACTGCGTTTTTGAATTCTCCTGACGCAGTGAAGTGGCTGGAATATTTGTCGAATGCTGTTGTTTGTATTACTGTAAATCTTAATAAGCAGACGTACGGTACTGGATTCTTTGTGAGAATTAACGATGAAGATGTTGTCATGACCAATTCGCACAGTGTGAGAACACCCAACAGTGGTGATGGCGTAGACTTTCGTCTGGTCCACCATAAAAATATTAAGGTTATTTCATTTTATCATGACAGCAGTTCACAAGTAACCCACAGTGTTGCAAAACTTACTCATGCATCGCTTCCAGACAAAAATAAAGATGAAAACGTTTTGAAGAACACACTTGACAAAAATTTGCACAATACTGGAGTTAAAACAGACGACGAAAGCGCAAATGGGGATGTTTCCGTAGTTGAGGCTGCAATGGGTTTGCTCTCTTCATATTTTAAGAGAAGGGACACTTTTCTCGATTACGTTTTGTTGCACCTGAGTCCTTTAATAGATGAAAAAGAAAAAGAGCTGTTTTCTAAAATGAAACCCATAAGAATGGAAAAATTTGACAAGTTGGAAAACTTCAGAAATGTGTCATCATTTGGTATAGCAGATCCCAAAAGTTCTCGGTACCCTAAGTCACTTCGCCTTTTTACCATCTCACATCCACATCGAGCAAGCATGCAATTATCGTTTGGAAATATGCTCTCGAGCCTTCAACACGTGTATTTCCTACAGATGGCCTACGGTCAAAATGATACGGGTATGTTAAGCGGTAAGGAGCCATTTGCAGAGCACTCGATTCACACATGTAAGGGATCATCTGGTGCGCCTATCTTTGCATATATCTTTGACCACGAAACAGGTAAAATCATTGTTGACAAATGCGTTTATTTTGTCCATTTCTTTGGAAATATTGTGAATGACAAAGCTGTTGGAAAGTCTGTGTCAATATCAACCATCTTACGAAATCTTGAGCACCAGGATACTCATGGAAAACTTGGAATGGCTTTGACAGAAGTTGGAAAAGACAATGTAGGCTAATATAATGAATACTGTTCCAGTGCGATATTACACGACTGACATTATTTTTCATGATATTTCAAGCTCAGGACAAAATAAGATTACATTTTAATCATGTTTCTGACTTTCTTGTCCTGTTAACATTACCAATTTTGCATTAAGTGCTAAGTTCAAATAACCACACAAAGACGATATTCTTTGAGATTTAATAGAAAACCGTTGTAAAGAGCTTTTAATGCCATGATTTTTTCGAGCAATATGACTTTTATTGTAGCCTTCATATATTTTTTAAGAACTATAAGAACCCTTATATTTTCATTTCACGTTGATAATAATCATGTTTGCTTAAGTTTATTCATTGAAAAGATGCAGTGTCGACAATTTCTTCCTTTTAATTTAATATTTAGGTTTAACTTTCATAATCGTGGCTATTGGATAGGATTACAACAACCAAAACTTAAGCCTGAATATTTTTGGTGCTTTATTGCTTTAAACGAACGTACATATGTCCTAGAGAGATGACATTGCGTTTAGAACTAACTATAACTATCACAACGAATAAACAACGAAAGAGTATACGTCATCCCCCAAAAGGGAGATGACGCTCAAAACAGGGATAAATTAAAAACATAATCCTTTTGTCGGCAGAGGACGGGATTGGTTAACTTAGTTAAAACAGCCTCCATGATGCGTAACTGAAAGAATAAACGGCATTTCTTAATGATCCTAAAACTGTCGTCTGAATAAGAATAAGCACAATGGGAGTTATTCAAGAGATGTTTACCTATCGCGGAGTCACATGAAACTAAATTACTTTTCTTACAATCACGTTTTGGTTGTTGTCTTGAGGGGACCGTTCCATTTCTGATTGAAGTTGGTACATACTGTTTGATCCTATCACCCAACCTTTGAGACGTTCTACCTACATATCGAGCATCACACTCACATTTATATTCATAAATTACATTGCCGGTAAAGATTCTTTTGGGGTGGGTGGTAGAATAGTTCTTTTCGATAATATTGCTCGCAAAAAAAAATTATCAATAATATTCTCAGTTTTCCTTTCAATATCATCAGAAACCTTACCCATCCATGGAAGTTTGATAAACACAGGGCACTTAGCTGGTCCAAAAGGCCTGTTCTGCTCATTTTTTTGTGGATGAGAAAAGTTTATCAAGCATTTTTTCCGGATATACATTCGAGAGAAATATCGTGAGAGAAAAAACTAATCGACAGTAAATTAATTATAAAATCATTATCATATATTGCATTGTTAAGTGAAATTATTCAAATTATTCTACATTGACAAACAGCTCAACTAAACTTTGCAAATTTTCGAAAAAACCTTCCAAATAAAAACAATTAGGTTAACTTTAAAAAATTATATAACATTAAGTATTGACTGTAAATGTAATGGAAAAGTCAGTTGCTTGAGATTGGTATTTCTCGTTGAAGTGTCAATAATTGTAATAATAACTTGAGATTGCTTTCAATGGCGAAGTGAGGGTCGCCAACATCATTGCTGCACGTGATTGCTTTGTGACAGTTGGTTTGGCATTCATGACAAAGAAAGAATCATCGATACAACTGGTCTTTCCTTCGTCAATCTGGACTTCGAACTTATATCCTCCCAAATTATTTGGTATAGGTGGAATGGAATACACAGGAATTGGAGGATTTGCTTGAGCAATGATTGGATTTAAAGAAGCATTCAGTGCTGCAGAAAGCCCTTTTAATAGGGGAAGGGAAGGCGATTGATCGATGCGAGAATTAACCCAAAATAAAATTCAAACTCTATGATCGGTAAGTCAGGGATACATTTCATCTCTCCTTTTTCAATCACTGATTTAAATGTGCAAGTCACTATAGCAGTCGCATTGGGACCAAGTGATGTTTTATTAATTGGCCAAAAGACTTCCTTTTCCAATAACTCAATATATGAAACTTTATCTAAGTAACGTTGAGCACGACAACTTTTACTCATTGCGTGACTTTTGTAGACTTGTTTAAAGACTACCCTTCCCACGGTAAAATCATTAAAGCTTCTGCTGAAGAGTAACTTGAATTAGGGTCGAGTCAATATCTTTGGTTTTTTATGAGAGGACTGGATGTTTCACACATGCAGTCCTTATATCAAAAATTAAACGTCTTCACGAAAAGAATTTTGACAACGTTTATTGGAACTGCATGAATGTTTGTATGGATGTGAAGGAAAAGGAAATAACTGAACGATCTCATCAGTTTCTCATCGAGTAATTAAAATCCAAATCAAATAAAGTAATAGCTAGAAAATTCATATAAATTTTGTAAAACGCCCTTTAATTCAAGTTACGACAGCCAGTAACTCGACACAGAGTGTCAGTGTCGAATGTCATTCAACTTGATTTGGCTAGTGTATAGCTCTCAAAGGCTAATATACTATTCCCTGAATTTGTCAAAAGAAAGTTTTTCTTTAAGTTGAATATACATTTGTTAAACTGCAATGACAGCCTTGTTCCAAACGTATAGATACAATCAATAGTTCTTTATTCAGAAATATTTCTTCTAATTATAGCAGACAGTAATACCTTGTACACAACAACTTTTCTTGTGAGGCTATCAATATATTCTTGGAGCAATTTTTCTGTTTAATTCAGGTTGTGTTCACTTTTTGATACGTTCTATAAAAAATATTTCTGTACAATTCAGGTTGTGTTTACATTGAGTATCATGAAGCAAATACTGACCAAAATATATTTAACCTAACTATGGTAATTTAGGCATAAAAATTTCTTTATTTTTGCACAATTAACTACAAAAAAATTGAAAATACGTCATCGTCCAAAAAAGTTCCGCACGTCAAAATGTAGAACTTTATGCCAACCAAATTTTTCAGCAAATTGTTTTGAAATGAGCGAAGGATCCAAAACAAATGGTTGATTACTGTCAGAATAACTTAATATATCAAACTATATCTAAGTAACGTTGAGCACGACAACTTTTACTCATTGCGTGACTTTTGTAGACTTGTTTAAAGACTACCCTACCCACGGTAATATATCTAAAGCTTCCGTTGACGACTAACTTGAATTAGAATCGAATCAATATCTTTGGCTGCTATGACTGGACCGGATGTTTCACAAAATCTATATATGTTACAAATTACACGTCTCCATGAAAAGAATTTTGACTTTAGATTTCTATTCACAAATGTTTCTCCGAATTATAACTGGCAGTAATACCTTATAAATACGTACAGGAACTTTTCATTTGAAGTTATCAATACGTTCTTTGAACAATATTTTTGTTTATTTTAGGTTTTGCTCACTTGAAGTACTTCAAAGGAAATGACAAGCAAAATATATTTACCATAATTATTTATAAAATAAACACAACGAAATGCGTCCGCTGATTGGTCTAGATCTGAGTTTGCATTAGCCAGTGCAAAACACATCTGAGCCCAACCAATCAAATCATTCAAAACAATCAATCAGTTAAAGAGAATGTGCAAATCGATCATGAATACATTTTAGAGGAAGAATTAAAATGTTTGTCTTTTTTCGCATTATTGTTATTTTATAAAAGAAATAAAAGATATTTTTCGTGTTTGCACTGGCAAACCTCGAAGACGTGATTGAATTTGTGGTTCATTATAAAAAAGTTTATAAAGGACAAAACAAGTGCAACATTTTCAGTTGATTTCTTTGTCATATATGTCAAAAAAGATTGTGAATACAAAATAATGTAACTTAGTAACCTGCTATTTAACCGTTCATACCTAGTAACCACCTAATAAAACCCTAAATATATAGCAACCAAATGTTGATTATTGAGAAATTTCAGGATTTAAGCTATGGCCGCAACTTCGACAATTTTCAGCAGCCAGACCATTTGGATTGTACGATCGCAGTTGAGCTACCGTCGTCCATCCATACCAATCGTTGACTGTATTTGGATCAGATGTGTTTTCAAGGTCAGCCCTTCGTAATAGCTTGCCTTCTTTGACCTGAAAAAGTTAATAGAAATGTCAATTATTGAGATCGCGTGAATTTTTAACATATTAATTATGACTCAACATATGTACTCACGTGATAACAGATTTCAATTACCAAAGTACTATCATTTTTCGATCTATTTTAGTCAGAGCTGCTACGTAGCTATATACAGTATGTACCAACTTCAATAGTAAGAAAGTTCAAGAGAACTTCACGTCCCTATTTATACATCAACACGTTACACTTTAGACAGAAAATGTAAAAGTTAAATTATAGATATAAGAACAATGTGCAACTCAAATTGAGTTTTTCAAAAATTATTCAAACTCGCTATTCTAGTATTTCCACTTCTCAAGAATGGAAGTTCGAATAAATTGGTCAAATCGATACACGATTTAATTCTGATCAATTTGATTTTAATTCTTTTAACTTATTTTAATCAAGAAAGATTAATTTGTAGTAAAATCTATACAAATTTTAGTTTGTGTTTGAAGTAACTATACGAAACTAAATTTTGATTTGACATTCAATTTTGAGGGATTTCTGGTTCTTTCTTTAAATTCCAATATTTTTTAGTTATGTACGTGATTCTTTCATGAATTACCTGAAACATTGGTAGGTGTTTTCCTCGTCTTTATCAACAAATGGAATGTAATCAGTCACTATACTTGAGTCTCCTACATTTTCAGGATGATGAAAGGCTTGATAAACGTGATTGACAGAAGTCTGAACAGCTTCGATGGCAATTGCCTTGTTTTCTTTGCTTTCATCATTCAGCAACATTCCATCACCATAGGCCTTCCACTTAATTCCATTTTTGTTCCTTACGTTGATGCCGAACTCATTGTCTTCGTCGTGCATGAATTTACACAGATAATCTCCAACTTTGGATGGTGTAACCTCGTTGTGCAACTCTTTTCTTGGTACTCTTTAAAAATCAACAGAAACACTTTCTATAAACAAAAAAATGTCAACCTCCCCCATAAGAAACTCTTTCATCAAGCAGATATGAATAAATTACAAACTGAATGAAAAGCAGCTTCTAAAGCTCTTTGTGCTTAATTTAATAGATATTTGTTTGTCTGCTTTAAGTATAGTTACGTGTAATTCCTAAGATGTGTGTTGTGCAGTAGATTGTAATACGTAATAGTCGATTTCTTAAAAGCATCATAAAGAGATTTGAATAGACATAAGAAAACGATTCTTACTCTTAAGTCCTCAAATCCGTCTTTTTTATTTGCTAATAAGGTAGAGAAATTCTATCTACCATTGCATATATCAAAACACGAAAGTTGTTTAGAATATATATCCTTACCATTGTACTTTTTGAAAGTTTGATAAGATAGAATTTCTATCCAACTCTTCAGAAGAACTTTCGCAAATAGATACATCATGACAGATGACGTATCATACATCTAAATTCATGTTATATGTTTCAAAGCATGATATTTACCGTATATGGCCACTGGAAAAGCTATCCGTTAGAAAATGACAAGCAAACGCATCGATGGAATAAGCTTCTTCTAAAAGTGCTATTTTCATCTCATACAGCTCTGCTTTACTTGCTTCTTTTGCTTTTGATAGAGCAAGCTCGTGACCTGCCAAATATGCATCTTTTGAATATGGAAGAAAATGGTCGTGATTGTTGCTTGCGAGCTTCATCATTCGTCCAAGGATGACGGGGACTCCGAAAATCCATTTTCCACCAAGAACTTCATCCCATTTTTCGACAAGCGAGTTTCCTAATTCGTCGTAAACTTCCTTAGGAACCACACGAATGTTCCTTTGTCATCTGGCAATGAAACGACTTCGTCATTGCCGTATAACGCAGATTCAACTTTATCTTTCTCATCTTTCATTATCTCCAATATTTGTTGTAGCTCCTTTTTGATATCTTCGTAATCTCTACCTGCAAGTGTGTTGTACGCGGCAATGAAACGGTGATGAAGACCATCAGGATTGTGACGTTTATCTTCTTTAGGGTCCACTATTGGCTGCTCTGGTATACCATAGAAGTCACCTGCTAATGCAATTATTTGACCGTACGTAAGCTTCACTCCATTGCGAAGAGTCAGTGCTTTCTTACTTCCTTCTACTTCCGTAAACTCTTCTAAAGAAGACTTTGGAAAACGTAGTTTAATATTGTTTCCAATATTTTCATGCTCAGCTGCTTCAAATTCTTCGTTACCATTATCTTCTGGTTCAGGTCTCCGTTTACTGACATTTAAAAAACAATCCAAAACTATCTGGCCTTGAATCTTATCGTATTCGTTATCCATCTTGTTATTATTGTTATTACAGTGACGAATGCCAAAGAACAAAAGTACTGCTAGGACTCAACCGTTTATTTGAAGTTATAACAAGTTATCAAACATGCATCATATTTATTCATCACCACAAGAGCCTTTATTACATTTCCTGTAGATAATGCGCATGTCTTTTTTATAGTTTATTTATGACATGATGTGGCAGTGCAGTGTCGACAATTTCTTCCTTTTTTAATGAGAAACATTTATATTGACGAACAGTATCAGTAAAGTGCCAAAACCTTTCACAAGTTTCCGGCCTTTTGCACGCACAAGCTCGGTTGAAAATGCGGACTGCGGAGTGTGGAGAACTGTGTCGGAGTGCTGAGACTCTCCACTTCCAAAGATAGACTCTTTTACGCACTTTCCACTTTATTCCCCCACAGAGTAGAAAATGCAGGGTTCCACAGCAAATTTTTTACTCCAGGGATCACATGCTTATAACACAGACTCTGCATTTTCTATTATATTTACCCCCATAGAATGGAAATTGCGGAGCGGAGTCTCATTAAAAATGTTCGACTCCTCAAATCACACGCTTATAACACAGACTATGCATATTCCTCTTCATGTTCCCATATAGTGAAAATTGAGTAAATTAACGTGAACAGGTCAAGCACATTTGATTTTTTTATGAAACTTTATTCCTGTAAAGAATAACAAATCAATTCAACGCATTTTCCACCATGTCTCTCTCATTCCTGATTACTTTTATGTCCATATTTCACAGAGCTACAAGTTCATGTTAATCCAAGTCAATTTGATAAAGTTCTTTCCGACAATGATAAAGTAAAATTTGACTACGATGAAGAGATTGCACTGGATGTTTGAAAGCAAAATCAAACCAATATTCAAAAGTATTTTTAGCTACATAAGTTAATTTGTTATTTACCCATCTTTAAAGAAATGTTTTAATACGATACAACTCTTTCTTTCAGAAACATATGACTTGTCTTGAAGATCAATGCAAATATAATTATGCAAAGTTTCCACTGTGAAAGGATCGTTGACGTCAGTGATTACCAGCAAGTGTCACGACACTTTGCACTATAAGCCTACGTAGACCAACTGTCTCCATCTATAGAGGTGAGAATTGGTGATTGGGTTGCTTGTATAGGATAGAACTACAATTTATTCATTTCACTATATTTTGATAAAGTTTTAAACATAAAACTGAACAATTATATTTGTCTTGCTTCATTGAACAAACAGAATTGGCCAAACACTCTGAACATGGATTTTGCAAATGAAAAGTCGAGCGAGTGGAGATACAATGACGATGCTAACAATAAGTCTGCGTCGTTATGTGGTGGAGAAGAGGCTGGAAGAACCATTGCAAGAAACCACGATAGTTGGAATAGTTGTGAAAAGCTTAAAACTGATGGCAATTTTCACCAACGCTATATACCAATCAAGGATGCTTTGGCTTTTAAGAATCTTTCAAAGGATGAGCAGGAAATTTTGTAACACAAAATCGTTAACTTCTGAGGATACTGCGTTTTTGAATTCTTCTGACGCAGTGAAGTGGCTGGAATATTTGTCGAATGCTGTTGTTTGTATTACTGTAAATCTTAATAAGCAGACGTACGGTACTGGATTCTTTGTGAGAATTAACGATGAAGATGTTGTCATGACCAATTCGCACAGTGTGAGAACACCCAACAGTGGTGATGGCGTAGACTTTCGTCTGGTCCACGAAAAAAATATCAAGGTTATTTCATTTTATCATGACAGCAGTTCACAAGTAACCCACAGTGTTGCAAAACTTACTCATGCATCGCTTCCAGACAAAAATAAAGATGAAAACGTTTTGAAGAACACACTTGACAAAAATTTGCACAATACTGGAGTTAAAGCAGATGACGAAAGCGCAAATAGGGATGTTTCCGTAGTTGAGGCTGCAATGGATTTGCTCTCTTCATATTTTAAGAGAAGGGACACTTTTCTCGATTACGTATTGTTGCACCTGAGTCCTTTAAAAGATGAAAAAGTGCTGTTTTCTAAAATGAAACCCATAACAATGGAAAAATTTGACAAGTTGGAAAACTTCAGAAATGTGTCATCATTTGGTATAGCAGATCCCAAAAGTTCTCGGTACCCTAAGTCACTTCGCCTTTTTACCATCTCACATCCACATCGAGCAAGCATGCAATTATCGTTTGGAAATATGCTCTCGAGCCTTCAACACGTATATTTCCTACAGATGGCCTACGGTCAAAATGATACGGGTATGTTAAGCGGTAAGGAACCATTTGCAGAGCACTCGATTCACACATGTAAAGGATCATCTGGTGCGCCTATCTTTGCATATATCTTTGACCACGAAACAGGTAAAATCATTGTTGACAAATGCGTTTATTTTGTCCATTTCTTTGGAAATATTGTGAATGACAAAGCTGTTGGAAAGTCTGTGTCAATATCAACCATCTTACGAAATCTTGAGCACCAGGATACTCATGGAAAACTTGGAATGGCTTTGACAGAAGTTGGAAAAGACAATGTAGGCTAATATAATGAATACTGTTCCAGTGCGATATTACACGACTGACATTATTTTTCATGATATTTCAAGCTCAGGACAAAATAAGATTACATTTTAATCATGGTTCTGACTTTCTTGTCCTGTTAACATTACCAATTTTGCATTAAGTGCTAAGTTCAAATAACCACACAAAGACGATATTCTTTGAGATTTAATAGAAAACCGTTATAAAGAGCTTTTAATGCCATGATTTTTTCGAGCAATAGGACTTTTATTGTAGCCTTCATATATTTATTAAGAACTATAAGAACCCTTATATTTTCATTTCACGTTGATAATAATCATGTTTGCTTAAGTTTATTCATTGAAAAGATGCAGTGTCGACAATTTCTTCCTTTTAATTTAATATTTAGGTTTAACTTTCATAATCGTGGCTATTGGATAGGATTACAACAACCAAAACTTAAGCCTGAATATTTTTGGTGCTTTATTGCTTTAAACGAACGTACATATGTCCTAGAGAGATGACATTGCGTTTAGAACTAACTATAACTATCACAACGAATAAACAACGAAAGAGTATACGTCATCCCCAAAGGGAGATGACGCTCAAAACAGGGATAAATTAAAAACATAATCCTTTTGTCGGCAGAGGACGGGATTGGTTAACTTAGTTAAAACAGCCTCCATGATGCGTAACTGAAAGAATAAACGGCATTTCTTAATGATCCTAAAACTGTCGTCGGAATAAGAATAAGCACAATGGGAGTTATTCAAGAGATGTTTACCTATCGCGGAGTCACATGAAACTAAATTACTTTTCTTACAATCACGTTTTGGTTGTTGTCTTGAGGGGACCGTTCCATTTCTGATTGAAGTTGGTACATACTGTTTGATCCTATCACCCAACCTTTGAGACGTTCTATCTAAATATCGAGCATCACACTCACATTTATATTCATAAATTACATTGCCGGTAAAGATTCTTTTGGGGTGGGTGGTAGAATAGTTCTTTTCGATAATATTGCTCGCAAAAAAAAATTATCAATAATATTCTCAGTTTTCCTTTCAATATCATCAGAAACCTTACCCATCCATGGAAGTTTGATAAACACAGGGCACTTAGCTGGTCCAAAAGGCCTGTTCTGCTCATTTTTTTTTTGTGGATGAGAAAAGTTTATCAAGCATTTTTTCCGGATATCCATTCGAGAGAAATATCGTGAGAGAAAAAACTAATCGACAGTAAATTAATTATAAAATCATTATCATATATTGCATTGTTAAGTGAAATTATTCAAATTATTCTACATTGACAAACAGCTCAACTAAACTTTGCAAATTTTCGAAAAAACCTTCCAAATAAAAACAATTAGGTTAACTTTAAAAAATTATATAACATTAAGTATTGACTGTAAATGTAATGGAAAAGTCAGTTGCTTGAGATTGGTATTTCTCGTTGAAGTGTCAATAATTGTAATAATAACTTGAGATTGCTTTCAATGGCGAAGTGAGGGTCGCCAACATCATTGCTGCACGTGATTGCTTTGTGACAGTTGGTTTGGCATTCATGACAAAGAAAGAATCATCGATACAACTGGTCTTTCCTTCGTCAATCTGGACTTCGAACTTATATCCTCCCAAATTATTTGGTATAGGTGGAATGGAATACACAGGAATTGGAGGAATTGCTTGAGCAATGATTGGATTTAAAGAAGCATTCAGTGCTGAAGAAAGCCCTTTTTGTAGGGGAAGGAGAAGGCGATTGATCGATGCGAGAATTAACCCAAAATAAAATTCAAACTCTATGATCGGTAAGTCAGGGATACATTTCATCTCTCCTTTTTCAATCACTGATTTAAATGTGCAAGTCACTATAGCAGTCGCATTGTGACCAAGTGATGTTTTATTAATTGGCCAAAAGACTTCCTTTTCCAATAACTTAATATATCAAACTTTATCTAAGTAACGTTGAGCACGACAACTTTTACTCATTGCGTGACTTTTGTAGACTTGTTTAAAGACTACCCTTTCCACGGTAAAATAATTAAAGCTTCCGTTGAAGAGTAACTTGAATTAGGGTCGAGTCAATATCTTTGGTTTTTTATGAGAGGACTGGATGTTTCACACATGCAGTCCTTATATTAAAAATCAAACGTCTTCACGAAAAGAATTTTGACAACGTTTATTGGAACTGCATGAATGTTTGTACGGATGTGAAGGAAAATGAAATAACCGAACGATCGCATCAATTTTTCATAGAGTAATTAAAGTCCGAATCAAATAAAGTAATAGCTAGAAAATTCATATAAATTTTGTAAAACGCCCTTTAATTCAAGTTACGACAGCCAGTAACTCGACACAGAGTGTCAGTGTCGAATGTCATTCAACTTGATTTGGCTAGTGTATAGCTCTCAAAGGCTAATATACTATTCCCTGAATTTGTCAAAAGAAAGTTTTTCGTTAAGTTAAATATACATTTGTTAAACTGCAATGACAGCCTTGTTACAAACGTATACATACAATCAATAGTTCTTTATTCAGAAATATTTCTTCTAATTATAGCAGACAGTAATACCTTGTACACAAGAACTTTTCTTGTGAGGCTATCAATATATTCTTGGAGCAATTTTTCTGTTTAATTCAGGTTGTGTTCACTTTTTAATACGTTCTATAAAAAATATTTCTGTACAATTCAGGTTGTGTTTACATTGAGTATCATGAAGCAAATACTGACCAAAATATATTTAACCTAACTATGGTATTTTAGGCTTAAAAATTTCTTTATTTTTTGCACAATTAACTACAAAAAAATTGAAAATACGTCATCGTGCAAAAATGTTCCGCACGTCAAAATGTAGAACTTTATGCCAACCAAATTTTTCAGCAAATTGTTTTGAAATGAGCGAAGGATCCAAAAAAAATGGTTGATTACTGTCAGAATAACTTAATATATCAAACTATATCTAAGTAACGTTGAGCACGACAACTTTTACTCATTGCGTGACTTTTGTAGACTTTTTTAAAGACCACCCTACCCACGGTAATATATCTAAAGCTTCCGTTGAAGAGTAACTTGAATTAGGGTCGAGTCAATATCTTTGGTTTTTTATGAGAGGACTGGATGTTTCACAGATGCAATCCTTATATTAAAAATCAAACGTCTTCACGAAAAGAATTTTGACAACGTTTATTGGAACTGCATGAATGTTTGTATGGATGTGAAGGAAAATGAAATAACCGAACGATCTCATCAATTTCTCATCGAGTAATTAAAATCCAAATCAAATAAAGTAATAGCTAGAAAATTCATATAAATTTTGTAAAACGCCCTTTAATTCAAGTTACGAAAGCCAGTAACTCGACACAGAGTGTCAGTGTCGAATGTCATTCAACTTGATTTGGCTAGTGTATAGCTCTCAAAGGCTAATATACTATTCCCTGAATTTGTTAAAAGAAAGTTTTTCTTTAAGTTGAATATACATTTGTTAAACTGCAATGGCAGCCTTGTTCAAAACGTATAGATACAATCAATAGTTTTCTATTCAGAAATATTTCTCTAATTATAACAGGCAGTAATACCTCATACACAAGAACTTTTCTTGTGAGGCTATCAATATATTCTTGGAGCAATTTTTCTGTTTAATTCAGGTTGTGTTCACTTTTTAATACGTTCTATAAAAAATATTTCTGTATAATTCAGGTAGTGTTTATATTGAGTACCACATGAAGCAAATACTGACCAAAATATATTTAACCTAACTATGGTATTTTAGGCATAAAAATTTCTTTATTTTTGCACAATTAACTACAAAAAAATTTGAAAATACGTCATCGTGCAAAAAAGTTCCGCACGTCAAAATGTAGAACTTTATGCTAACCAAATTTTTCAGCAAATTGTTTTGAAATGAGTCAAGGATCCAAAACAAATGGTTGATTACTGTCAGAATAACTTAATAAATCAAACTATATCTAAGTAACGTTGAGCACGACAACTTTTACTCATTGCGTGACTTATGTAGACTTGTTTAAAGACTACCCTACCCACGGTAATATATCTAAAGCTTCCGTTGAAGACTAACTTGAATTAGAATCGAATCAATATCTTTGGCTGCTATGACTGGACCGGATGTTTCACAAAATCTATATATGTTACAAATTACACGTCTCCATGAAAAGAATTTTGACTTTAGATTTCTATTCACAAATGTTTCTCCGAATTATAACTGGCAGTAATACCTTATAAATACGTAAGACTTTTCATTTGAAGTTATCAATACGTTCTTTGAACAATATTTTTGTTTATTTTAGGTTTTGCTCACTTGAAGTACTTTAAAGGAAATGACAAGCAAAATATATTTACCATAATTATTTATAAAATAAACACAACGAAATGCGTCCGCTGATTGGTCTAGATCTGAGTTTGCATTAGCCAGTGCAAAACACATCTGAGCCCAACCAATCAAATCATTCAAAACAATCAATCAGTTAAAGAGAATTTGCAAATCGATCATGAATACATTTTAGAGGAAGAATTAAAATGTTTGTCTTTTTTCGCATTATTGTTATTTTATAAAAGAAATAAAAGATATTTTTCGTGTTTGCACTGGCAAACCTCGAAGACGTGATTGAATTTGTGGTTCATTATAAAAAAGTTTATAAAGGACAAAACAAGTGCAACATTTTCAGTTGATTTCTTTGTCATATATGTCAAAAAATATTGTGAATACAAAATACTTTAACTTAGTAACCTGCTATTTAACCGTTCATACCTAGTAACCACCTAATAAAACCCTAAATATATAGCAACCAAATGTTGATTATTGAGAAATTTCAGGATTTAAGCTATGGCCGCAACTTCGACAATTTTCAGCAGCCAGACCATTTGGATTGTACGATCGCAGTTGAGCTACCGTCGTCCATCCATACCAATCGTTGACTGTATTTGGATCAGATGTGTTTTCAAGGTCAGCCCTTCGCAATAGCTTGCCTTCTTTGACCTGAAAAAGTTAATAGAAATGTCAATTATTGAGATCGCGTGAAATTTTAACATATTAATAGTAAGAAAGTTCAAGAGAACTTCACGTCCCTATTTATACATCAACACGTTACACTTTAGACAGAAAATGTAAAAGTTAAATTATAGATATAAGAACAAGATGACAAAATCTGGGAGGGAGAAAAGGAAATGCAAAAAAGAATTTATTTTTGCTAATATATACCATGCACGTAAAAATTAAAATTTTGCATTGTGTATCTTCTGGAAATCTAGTAAAATCATAAAAAATTGATTTAAAGCAAGCGTTGATCCATCCATTGTTGTAAAATTTATTTCTTGTATGTATTTTCAAATATTGTATAACTACTACCATAAATGGTAAAAATCAATTATGGTACTAAAACAGTACTAAAGACATAAGCTAGAGCAGTTATAGATACCAGAACATGTAGAAGGATACTTAAAATAACTTTTACAATAACTCGATTATTTTAACAATGTGCAACTCAAATTGAGGTTTTCAAAAATTATTCAAACTCGCTATTCTAGAATTTCCACTTCTCAAGAATGGAAGTTCGAATAAATTGGTCCAATCGATACACGATTTAATTCTGATCAATTTGATTTTAATTCTTTTAACTTATTTTAATCAAGAAAGATTAATTTGTAGTAAAATCTATACAAATTTTAGTTTGTGTTTGAAGTAACTATACGAAACTAAATTTTGATTTGACATTCAATTTTGAGGGATTTCTGGTTCTTTCTTTAAATTCCAATATTTTTTAGTTATGTACGTGATTCTTTCATGAATTACCTGAAAGATTGGGTAGGTGTTTTCCTCGTCTTTATCAACAAATGGAATGTAATCAGTCACTATACTTGAGTCTCCTACATTTTCAGGATGATGAAAGGCTTGATAAACGTGATTGACAGAAGTCTGAACAGCTTCGATGGCAATTGCCTTGTTTTCTTTGCTTTCATCATTCAGCAACATTCCATCACCATAGGCCTTCCACTTAATTCCATTTTTGTTCCTTACGTTGATGCCGAACTCATTGTCTTCGTCGTGCATGAATTTACACAGATAATCTCCAACTTTGGATGGTGTAACCTCGTTGTGCAACTCTTTTCTTGGTACTCTTTAAAAATCAACAGAAACACTTTCTATAAACAAAAATGTCAACCTCCCCATAAGAAACTCTTTCATCAAGCAGATATGAATAAATTACAAACTGAATGAAAAGCAGCTTCTAAAGCTCTTTGTGCTTAATTTAATAGATATTTGTTTGTCTGCTTTAAGTATAGTTACGTGTAATTCCTAAGATGTGTGTTGTGCAGTAGATTGTAATACGTAATAGTCGATTTCTTAAAAGCATCATAAAGAGATTTGAATAGACATAAGAAAACGATTCTTACTCTTAAGTCCTCAAATCCGTCTTTTTTATTTGCTAATAAGGTAGAGAAATTCTATCTACCATTGCATATATCAAAACACGAAAGTTGTTTAGAATATATATCCTTACCATTGTACTTTTTGAAAGTTTGATAAGATAGAATTTCTATCCAACTCTTTAGAAGAACTTTCGCAAATAGATACATCATGACAGATGACGTATCATACATCTAAATTCATGTTATATGTTTCAAAGCATGATATTTACCGTATATGGCCACTGGAAAAGCTATCCGTTAGAAAATGACAAGCAAACGCATCGATGGAATAAGCTTCTTCTAAAAGTGCTATTTTCATCTCATACAGCTCTGCTTTACTTGCTTCTTTGCTTTTGATAGAGCAAGCTCGTGACCTGCCAAATATGCATCTTTTGAATATGGAAGAAAATGGTCGTGATTGTTGCTTGCGAGCTTCATCATTCGTCCAAGGATGACGGGGACTCCGAAAATCCATTTTCCACCAAGAACTTCATCCCATTTTTCGACAAGCGAGTTTCCTAATTCGTCGTAAACTTCCTTAGGAACCACACGAATGTTCCCTCTGTCATCTGGCAATGAAACGACTTCGTCATTGCCGTATAACGCAGATTCAACTTTATCTTTCTCATCTTTCATTATCTCCAATATTTGTTGTAGCTCCTTTTTGATATCTTCGTAATCTCTACCTGCAAGTGTGTTGTACGCGGCAATGAAACGGTGATGAAGACCATCAGGATTGTGACGTTTATCTTCTTTAGGGTCCACTATTGGCTGCTCTGGTATACCATAGAAGTCACCTGCTAATGCAATTATTTGACCGTACGTAAGCTTCACTCCATTGCGAAGAGTCAGTGCTTTCTTACTTCCTTCTACTTCCGTAAACTCTTCTAAAGAAGACTTTGGAAAACGTAGTTTAATATTGTTTCCAATATTTTCATGCTCAGCTGCTTCAAATTCTTCGTTACCATCAGCTTCTTTTGGTTCAGACGAATTAGGTGTCCGTTTACTGACATTTAAAAAACAATCCAAAACTATCTGGCCTTGAATCTTATCGTGTTCGTTATCCATCTTGTTATTATTGTTATTACAGTGACGAATGCCAAAGAACAAAAGTACTGCTAGGACTCAACCGTTTATTTGAAGTTATAACAAGTTATCAAACATGCATCATATTTATTCATCACCACAAGAGCCTTTATTACATTTCCTGTAGATAATGCGCATGTTTTTTTTATAGTTTATTTATGACATGATGTGGCAGTGCAGTGTCGACAATTTCTTCCTTTTTTAATGAGAAACATTTATATTGACGAACAGTATCAGTAAAGTGCCAAAACCTTTCACAAGTTTCCGGCCTTTTGCACGCACAGGCTCGGTTGAAAATGCGGACTGCGGAGTGTGGAGAACTGTGTCGGAGTGCTGAGACTCTCCACTTCCAAAGATAGACTCTTTTACGCACTTTCCACTTTATTCCCCCACAGAGTAGAAAATGCAGGGTTCCACAGCAAATTTTTTACTCCAGGGATCACATGCTTATAACACAGACTCTGCATTTTCTACTGTATTTACCCCCATAGAATGAAAATTGCGGAGCGGAGTCTCATTAAAAATGTTCGACTCCTCAAATCACACGCTTATAACACAGACTATGCATATTCCTCTTCATGTTCCCATATAGTGAAAATTGAGTAAATTAACGTGAACAGGTCAAGCACATTTGATTTTTTTATGAAACTTTATTCCTGTAAAGAATAACAAATCAATTCAACGCATTTTCCACCATGTCTCTCTCATTCCTGATTACTTTTATGTCCATATTTCACTGAGCTACAAGCTCATGTTAATCCAAGTCAATTTGATAAAGTTCTTTCCGACAATGATAAAGGAAAATTTGACTACGATGAAGAGATTGCACTGGATGTTTGAAAGCAAAATCAAACCAATATTCAAAAGTATTTTTAGCTACATAAGTTAACTTGTTATTTACCCATCTTTAAAGAAATGTTTTAATACGATAAAAACTCTTTCTTTCAGAAACATATGACTTGTCTTGAAGATCAATGCAAATATAATTATGCAAAGTTTCCACTGTGAAAGGATCGTTGACGTCAGTGATTACCAGCAAGTGTCACGACACTTTGCACTATAAGCCTACGTAGACCAACTGTCTCCATCTATAGAGGTGAGAATTGGTGATTGGGTTGCTTGTATAGGATAGAACTACAATTTATTCATTTCACTATATTTTGATAAAGTTTTAAACATAAAACTGAACAATTATATTTGTCTTGCTTCATTGAACAAACAGAATTGGCCAAACACTCTAAACATGGATTTTGCAAATGAAAAGTCGAGCGAGTGGAGATACAATGACGATGCTAACAATATATATGCGTCGTTATGTGGTGGAGAAGAGGCTGGAAGAACCATTGCAAGAAACCACGATAGTTGGAATAGTTGTGAAAAGCTTAAAACTGATGGCAATTTTCACCAACGCTATATACCAATCAAGGATGCTTTGGCTTTTAAAAATCTTTCAAAGGATGAGCAGGAAATTTTTGTAACACAAAAATCGTTAACTTCTGAGGATACTGCGTTTTTGAATTCTCCTGACGCAGTGAAGTGGCTGGAATATTTGTCGAATGCTGTTGTTTGTATTACTGTAAATCTTAATAAGCAGACGTACGGTACTGGATTCTTTGTGAGAATTAACGATGAAGATGTTGTCATGACCAATTCGCACAGTGTGAGAACACCCAACAGTGGTGATGGCGTAGACTTTCGTCTGGTCCACGAAAAAAATATCAAGGTTATTTCATTTTATCATGACAGCAGTTCACAAGTAACCCACAGTGTTGCAAAACTTACTCATGCATCGCTTCCAGACAAAAATAAAGATGAAAACGTTTTGAAGAACACACTTGACAAAAATTTGCACAATACTGGAGTTAAAGCAGATGACGAAAGCGCAAATAGGGATGTTTCCGTAGTTGAGGCTGCAATGGGTTTGCTCTCTTCATATTTTAAGAGAAGGGACACTTTTCTCGATTACGTATTGTTGCACCTGAGTCCTTTAAAAGATGAAAAAGAAAAAGTGCTGTTTTCTAAAATGAAACCCATAACAATGGAAAAATTTGACAAGTTGGAAAACTTCAGAAATGTATCATCATTTGGTATAGCAGATCCCAAAAGTTCTCGGTACCCTAAGTCACTTCGCCTTTTTACCATCTCACATCCACATCGAGCAAGCATGCAATTATCGTTTGGAAATATGCTCTCGAGCCTTCAACACGTATATTTCCTACAGATGGCCTACGGTCAAAATGATACGGGTATGTTAAGCGGTAAGGAACCATTTGCAGAGCACTCGATTCACACATGTAAAGGATCATCTGGTGCGCCTATCTTTGCATATATCTTTGACCACGAAACAGGTAAAATCATTGTTGACAAATGCGTTTATTTTGTCCATTTCTTTGGAAATATTGTGAATGACAAAGCTGTTGGAAAGTCTGTGTCAATATCAACCATCTTACGAAATCTTGAGCACCAGGATACTCATGGAAAACTTGGAATGGCTTTGACAGAAGTTGGAAAAGACAATGTAGGCTAATATAATGAATACTGTTCCAGTGCGATATTACACGACTGACATTATTTTTCATGATATTTCAAGCTCAGGACAAAATAAGATTACATTTTAATCATGGTTCTGACTTTCTTGTCCTGTTAACATTACCAATTTTGCATTAAGTGCTAAGTTCAAATAACCACACAAAGACGATATTCTTTGAGATTTAATAGAAAACCGTTATAAAGAGCTTTTAATGCCATGATTTTTTCGAGCAATAGGACTTTTATTGTAGCCTTCATATATTTATTAAGAACTATAAGAACCCTTATATTTTCATTTCACGTTGATAATAATCATGTTTGCTTAAGTTTATTCATTGAAAAGATGCAGTGTCGACAATTTCTTCCTTTTAATTTAATATTTAGGTTTAACTTTCATAATCGTGGCTATTGGATAGGATTACAACAACCAAAACTTAAGCCTGAATATTTTTGGTGCTTTATTGCTTTAAACGAACGTACATATGTCCTAGAGAGATGACATTGCGTTTAGAACTAACTATAACTATCACAACGAATAAACAACGAAAGAGTGTACGTCATCCCCCAAAAGGGAGATGGCGCTCAAAACAGGGATAAATTAAAAACATAATCCTTTTGTCGGCAGAGGACGGGATTGGTTAACTTAGTTAAAACAGCCTCCATGATGCGTAACTGAAAGAATAAACGGCATTTCTTAATGATCCTAAAACTGTCGTCGGAATAAGAATAAGCACAATGGGAGTTATTCAAGAGATGTTTACCTATCGCGGAGTCACATGAAACTAAATTACTTTTCTTACAATCACGTTTTGGTTGTTGTCTTGAGGGGACCGTTCCATTTCTGATTGAAGTTGGTACATACTGTTTGATCCTATCACCCAACCTTTGAGACGTTCTACCTACATATCGATCATCACACTCACATTTATATTCATAAATTACATTGCCGGTAAAGATTCTTTTGGGGTGGGTGGTAGAATAGTTCTTTTCGATAATATTGCTCGCAAAAAAAAATTATGAATAATATTCTCAGTTTTCCTTTCAATATCATCAGAAACCTTACCCATCCATGGAAGTTTGATAAACACAGGGCACTTAGCTGGTCCAAAAGGCCTGTTCTGCTCATTTTTTTTTTGTGGATGAGAAAAGTTTATCAAGCATTTTTTCCGGATATCCATTCGAGAGAAATATCGTGAGAGAAAAAACTAATCGACAGTAAATTAATTATAAAATCATTATCATATATTGCATTGTTAAGTGAAATTATTCAAATTATTCTACATTGACAAACAGCTCAACTAAACTTTGCAAATTTTCGAGAAAACCTTCCAAATAAAAACAATTAGGTTAACTTTAAAAAATTATATAACATTAAGTATTGACTGTAAATGTAATGGAAAAGTCAGTTGCTTGAGATTGGTATTTCTCGTTGAAGTGTCAATAATTGTAATAATAACAGGATTGCTTTCAATGGCGAAGTGAGGGTCGCCAACATCATTGCTGCACGTGATTGCTTTGTGACAGTTGGTTTGGCATTGATGACAAAGAAAGAATCATCGATACAACTGGTCTTTCCTTCGTCAATCTGGACTTCGAACTTATATCCTCCCAAATTATTTGGTATAGGTGGAATGGAATACACAGGAATTGGAGGAATTGCTTGAGCAATGATTGGATTTAAAGAAGCATTCAGTGCTGCAGAAAGCTCTTTTTGTAGGGGAAGGAGAAGGCGATTGATCGATGCGAGAATTAACCCAAAATAAAATTCAAACTCTATGATCGGTAAGTCAGGGATACATTTCATCTCTCCTTTTTCAATCACTGATTTAAATGTGCAAGTCACTATAGCAGTCGCATTGGGACCAAGTGATGTTTTATTAATTGGCCAAAAGACTTCCTTTTCCAATAACTTAATATATCAAACTTTATCTAAGTAACGTTGAGCACGACAACTTTTACTCATTGCGTGACTTTTGTAGACTTGTTTAAAGACTACCCTTTCCACGGTAAAATAATTAAAGCTTCCGTTGAAGAGTAACTTGAATTAGGGTCGAGTCAATATCTTTGGTTTTTTATGAGAGGACTGGATGTTTCACAGATGCAATCCTTATATTAAAAATCAAACGTCTTCACGAAAAGAATTTTGACAACGTTTATTGGAACTGCATGAATGTTTGTACGGATGTGAAGGAAAATGAAATAACCGAACGATCGCATCAATTTTTCATAGAGTAATTAAAGTCCGAATCAAATAAAGTAATAGCTAGAAAATTCATATAAATTTTGTAAAACGCCCTTTAATTCAAGTTACGACAGCCAGTAACTCGACACAGAGTGTCAGTGTCGAATGTCATTCAACTTGATTTGGCTAGTGTATAGCTCTCAAAGGCTAATATACTATTCCCTGAATTTGTCAAAAGAAAGTTTTTCGTTAAGTTAAATATACATTTGTTAAACTGCAATGACAGCCTTGTTCCAAACGTATACATACAATCAATAGTTCTTTATTCAGAAATATTTCTTCTAATTATAGCAGACAGTAATACCTTGTACACAAGAACTTTTCTTGTGAGGCTATCAATATATTCTTGGAGCAATTTTTCTGTTTAATTCAGGTTGTGTTCACTTTTTGATACGTTCTATAAAAAATATTTCTGTACAATTCAGGTTGTGTTTACATTGAGTATCATGAAGCAAATACTGACCAAAATATATTTAACCTAACTATGGTATTTTAGGCTTAAAAATTTCTTCATTTTTTGCACAATTAACTACAAAAAAATTGAAATTACGTCATCGTGCAAAAAAGTTCCGCACGTCAAAATGTAGAACTTTATGCCAACCAAATTTTTCAGCAAATTGTTTTGAAATGAGCGAAGGATCCAAAACAAATGGTTGATTACTGTCAGAATAACTTAATATATCAAACTATATCTAAGTAACGTTGAGCACGACAACTTTTACTCATTGCGTGACTTTTGTAGACTTGTTTAAAGACCACCCTACCCACTGTAATATATCTAAAGCTTCCGTTGAAGAGTAACTTGAATTAGGGTCGAGTCAATATCTTTGGTTTTTTATGAGAGGACTGGATGTTTCACACATGCAGTCCTTATATTAAAAATCAAACGTCTTCACGAAAAGAATTTTGACAACGATAATTGGAACTGCATGAATGTTTGTATGGATGTGAAGGAAAATGAAATAACCGAACGATCTCATCAATTTCTCATCGAGTAATTAAAATCCAAATCAAATAAAGTAATAGCTAGAAAATTCATATAAATTTTGTAAAACGCCCTTTAATTCAAGTTGTGAAAGCCAGTAACTCGACATAGAGTGTTCAGTATCGAATATCATTCAACTTGATTTGGCTTGTGTATAGCTCTAAAAAGCTAATATACTATTCCCTGAATTTGTTAAAAAAAATTTTTCTTTAAGTTGAATATACATTTGTTAAACTGCAATGACAGCCTTGTTCAAAACGTATAGATACAATCAATAGTTCTCTATTCAGAAATATTTCTTCTAATTATACAGGCAATAATAATTAGAAGAAATATTCTAATTATTACTGCCTGTACACAAGAACTTTTGTCGTGAGGCTATCAATATTTTCTTGGAGCAATTTTTCTGTTTATTTCAGGTTGTGCTCACTTTTTAATACGTTCTATAAAAAATCTTTCTGTATAATTCAGGTCGAGTTTATATTGAGTACCACACGAAGCAAATACTGACCAAAATATATTTAACACAACTACGGTATTTCATGCATAACAATTTCTTTATTTTTGCACAATTAATTACAATAAAATTTAAAAATACATGGCAGTAATACCTTATAAACACGCACAGGAACTTTTCATTTGAAGTTATCAATATGTTCTTTGAACAATATTTTTGTTTATTGCAGGTTTTGCTCACTTGAAGTACTTCAAAGCAAATGACAAGAAAAATGTATTTACCATAATTATTTACAAAATAAACACAACGAAATGCGTCCGCTGATTTGTCTAGAGATGAGTTTGCATTAGCCAGTGCAAAACACATCTGAGCCCAACCAATCAAATCAATCAAAACAATCAATCAGTTAAAAAGAATTTGCAAATCGATCATGAATACATTTTAGAGGAAGAATTAAAATGTTTATCTTTTTTCGCATTATTGTTATTTTAGAAAAGAAATAAAAGATGTTTTTCGTGTTTGCACTGGCAAACCTCGGAGACGTTTGTGAGAACTCTTGAGCATGTGCAACCCTCGACCTTTGGTCTCCGGCTTGCACTGATCTGCTCTCGAGTTCTCCCTAAAGTCTCCTCGACTTGCATAAGCCAGTGCAAACAAAGTAAACATCTTTTATTTCTTAAATGATATTGTAACGTTTACATCATATAAATTTTAATGTGACGAGTATCTGAAATTAAAGTTAGCAGATGAATTTTCTAGTTCAATGGTATTTATTTCTCCTAATAAAAAGTGTTGGATAGAGTTCCTCGTAAATTTCCCACGATATATGTTTTGCGCCTTTGAGAATTATTCCTATAAAATATTTGCAAATATATGGTGATTATAAAGCTACATAATTGTTGATCATTATTAAATCCTTGCTGTCAGCTTTTAGACGGAAGCGTCAACGTTTTATAGTTAAATACGATTATAACATCGTCGTAAAATATATCTTCATCTAGCTTCTCGCGTCAGCAATAAGATATAAAAACAAACAAGACGAAATTTAAAATTATCAAAAGACTTGAATGTCGAACAAGTGTCGATAAAAGCAGGGGCGTGGAAAAAAAATGAAAAGTGGATAAAAGCAATTATGAACCATATACTGCAATTGCATATAATAAGCCATTAGTATGGATTGTATCTACCGCGTTCATTGAAATCGGCAAAGTAACTCAGTTTACCGCGTATTCTATTCAACTGAGCAATTCTATTTGCATATATAGTGGTATGTTAGTCTATGTCTTGTCTTATTCAATTAATATAGATTGTATCTACCGCGTTCATTGTAATCGGCAAAGTAACTCTGTTTACCGCGTATTCTATTCAACTGAGCAATTCTATTTACATATATAGTGGTATGTTAGTCTATGTCCTCATTGTCTTGTCTTTGTTAATTTTGTACTTGTATTTCATCAGCTTATAAATAAGAAACAAGGTACTTTTACTTCTAAGATACATATGTCTGACAAGGGGACACTCACACCGTTGTGATTAATTCATAGTTGTGCATGTAGCACAACACAAAAAAAGTTTGTCTAAGAACACCGGATGACATTTAAAATTAAACACTGTTATAAACTTCGGTTTAATGATGAATCTATGATAACCGTATATAATTAGTAATTACATAACTACCATTTTGTCATACAGGCTAGTGGTTTGGAAAAATGAACAAAAAATGTCTTTTGAGACATAGCAACGCATATTAAACACTGTAATAAACTTCGGTTGAATGATGAATCTATGATAACCGTATATAATTAGTAATTACATAACTACCATTTTGTCATACAGGCTAGTGGTTTGGAAAAATGAACAAAAAATGTCTTTTGAGACATAGCAACGCATATTAAACACTGTAATAAACTTCGGTTGAATGATGAATCTATGATAACCGTATATAATTAGTATTTACATAACTACCTTTTTGTCATACAGGCTAGTGGTTTGGAAAAATGAACAAAAAATGTCTTTTTGAGACATAGCAACGCATTTTAAAGAGGAAGATTTTGTCTCTGACAATTAAGGCGTTTACCTTGCTGCTTTAAATTGCTCCATACAGATTAACCATAAAGCGAAAACATTCTTTATTAAGTCGAGAAAAGAAATTGATCTTTGAGGGTGTATATGAGTCTTAATGTCCTAGGCTAGTTAAAAAATATGGTCGAAACATCAGAGCTCATTCGAGGATTTGTATTTGAAAGTTTGTACTTATAACAAACAATGAAACAATCGTATAAATAAATCGAAGATAATCAAACGTCTATGTATATACTTAATTGTAGTGCGTATTGGGGTAAATGCTCCGGTAGTTTTCTGGTAAAAATGCCCTAATAGCCTGATATCCTGTCAAGTTTAAAGATATGGTTAATAAATCAGATTGTCACCAGTACTATCACAGACATGAGCGCAGCGTAGCTTACGCAGCATAATCACAATACTTGTTGCCATGGTGATGAGAGGCTAATATCTGTGTTTGTCGCTAACTATTATTTTATTAGTAATAATTATTTTTTTAATAGTTTTTTCACTTGCATTCGTGTGAGTTGAATTCTTCCACAAAATATATTGCAAATCGATAAACGACATGCAAAATAAGCTCCCAATTGTCACTTCAAATCCTGCATTGTATAAACATCCTCGCCATTTACCAGGGTAAGTACAAGATCAGCATAGAGATGTCATATGATTTTCAACTGTCTTTTTAAAATAAAAGTTTCGTTGAACTTTTAATATGACAAATTTTATTCAATCACTCGTTTTAAAAGCAAGCATAAATATTAATTAATTTAACTTTAAAAATTGGACTATGGCAAACGTATGTATGCGCTTTGTTGTTTTAAAAAAAACTGTTATATGTGTTTGACAGGATACTTTTATTCATATGAAATCGAATTCATTGTCTTAGTTACACAGGACACGTTCATCAAAGCCGTTATCAGCATGGTAAAACATATGGCAACAACACAGCAAATCTACTTGCAGCATATAGGCAGAAAAAGCTTGGAGATAGCACATTGGGTGTCAATGGACAAGGTGGAGATCTTCAGTTACCATTCCCTGCATACTATCAACATGAACCAAGTTATGTCATTGGTACACGACCTCGTACTTGGGATAGATGGTGTCCGCAGCATAAGCATGAGCTTTTGAATGTCAGTAAACGTGAGGTTGAAATCAGGGAGTATAACAAGGTATTCATAACAGAAGATATTCTTGAATAATGATTTAGCCAGTTGGTATTCGGACTCGATACTAATGAATGCATAACTAATGCTACAGCATGAACTGTTTTTTATGTAATTATAACATTGGTAAAAGATTTCTATGTATTACATATGTTGAACAACTATCTGGAAGTTGATTGTTTCTGCAACATGTAAATTTTAAAAATCTTTGAATATGTATACCTGCATAGCCCTAGTACATAGTTCCATAAGAAACTAGTCCCTAAACATTTTTCTGCAACATGTAAATTTTAAAAATCTTTGAATATGTATACCTGCATAGCCCTAATACATAGTTCCATAAGAAACTAGTATGTCCATAAACATTTTTCTGCAACATGTAAATGTTAAAAATCTTTGAATATGTATACCTGCATAGCCCTAGTACATAGTTCCATGAGAAACTAGTATGTCCATAAACATTTTTCTGCCACATGTAAATTTTAAAAATCTTTGAATATGTATACCTGCATAGCCCTAGTACATAGTTCCATGAGAAACTAGTATGTCCATAAACATTTTTCTGCAACATGTAAATTTTAAAAAATTTTGAATATGTATACCTGCATAAACATTTTTCTGCAACATGTAAATTTTAAAAATGTTTGAATATGTATACCTGCATAGCCCTAATACATAGTTCCATAAGAAACTAACTATGCCATTAAACCTCTAACACCTTTAAGCTATACCGATCTAGTAATGTAAGACTCAAAACAGCCTTTAATAGCATTGAGAGGAATTATCATTTATATAAGTGAAAACATTTTTCTCATCAAAAATATTACTTCTATTATATAATTTTTTAATCAGATAAAATCATGGATTCGAGTAAGTCATGTGTGATGAGTACTTTGATCCTATAATTCATTGAATAAAAGCAGTTTGTATTTAAAACAAAATACTTGTGAACAAACGATAAAAACCCTATTATATTTTGAATCTGTAAGAGAATTAATTAAACATCTCATGAAATAATATCACTAGACCATACAATGTAGGATTATATGTATGTTATATCCACTGATTTCACAATTCTATGGGTCTCACTCTATAATGATAACTCTAATAAAGAAAATGGTTAGAACCCAAGAGTATCGTTACATGTTTGTAGATGTAGATCGTCCAGGTTGGTATATTCCTGAGAAGGACTGTTTTTGTTGTTGTTGACTGACGTTTCGACAGTCTCAGCGGTAGTCATCTTCAGAGTCAAAAGATGACTACCGCTAAGGTTGTCGAAACGTCAGTCGACAACAACAAAAACAGTCCTTCTCAGGACTATACCAACCTGGACGATCTACATTTACAAACAGATAACTCTAATGATATCCTGTGGCATAACTGCTATTGGCTCTGGGTGAGCTGAACCACAGCCACACAACCAATCAGCTTGCAAGAGGGCACCATGAATGGTGTTATTCATCAAAATAAAAATAAAGAAGTAGGTTCATATTTGAGCAAGTGGAAGCATTGGATATTTCTCATTGGAAGTCATTGGGTTTAGTTAGCACCCTGCACCACTTATTTAAGTCTAGTCTAATTCTTAAAGTTAAAAAGACCATAACTTGCTCATTAAATATTTTTATAGAATGTCCAAAAGCACCGCGAGCAGTATCGTGACCATACTGCAAGGCTTCCTCTGGTGGAATATTTTGTTCAACCAAATATATCTCATGTTAATACGTTTCACGAAGGAAATTAACCTGTAATTACTGAATTTTGAAAGTCAACTTGTGCGTTTCTAATTTCTTACTCACATATAATTGTGTTCTTTCGCTTACACTACATTTTTAAATCAATGAATTAAATGTCATCAGTGTCTGTGAAACCATAATTGTGTTCTTACGCTTACACTACATTTTTAAATCAATGAATTAAATGTCATCAGTGTCTGTGAAACCATAATTGTGTTCTTACGCTTACACTACATTTTTAAATCAATGAATTAAATGTCATCAGTGTCTGTGAAACCATAATTGTGTTCTTACGCTTACACTACATTTTTAAATCAATGAATTAAATGTCATCAGTGTCTGTGAAACCATAATTGTGTTCTTACGCTTACACTACATTGCTAAATTGATCAATGAATTAAATGTCATCAGTGTCTGTGAAACCATAATTGTGTTCTTACGCTCACACTACATTTTTAAATCAATGAATTAAATGTCATCAGTGTCTGTGAAACCATAAAGTTCGTGGATGGTGAAAAGGCCTATTTTTTACTATGTACGAACTACGAAGTACTATGGCACTATTGAGCTGTTACGTATCACTGCATCGGCTTGTATCCGCAGTTTAATGTAAAAAATTGACCATTTTTTCGAGTTTCGCGTATTTAGTCTATGGGTCTCAACCTATTTTTGATTTCTGAAATTAATTAAAATTTATCATTCCAACAGCTGTAAGTTTGCATCTTCGATAATTTAAAACAATATAAAAACTGGAAAATATCTTTTGCAATTCATTGCAAATGCCACTTTGCACAAATATGTAACGGTGTTTTTTCTTGTTAGGAAATAAAATTGACACTCCTAGCCTCTAACTGATTTGACAAACTTTCATTGAATTTGAGTAATTATTAGGAATTGTTATAGTAAGGGCTGTTCACATGAGCTTACGAGAAGGGCTAGCCCTCCATGTAGGGCTGTACTTTACCTCTGTTTTACATGCAAATTCTAGTACGTCAAGAGCTAGTGTACCTCAGTTTGAATAGCGTGTTTCGGCGCTAAGATACAAAATAGCTAAAAATAAACAAAATAAGTCATTGCCTGTTGCTTTTTTACACCTTCTTAGTTTGTTTTTCCCGTTCGTGACTTTTATTTTAGTGAAAAGTGATTTTATGTAGATTTTAATAGCACGCGAGATCGCGCTTGGCAGGGCTAGCCCCTGTAGGGCTCATGTTACTCATGTAAACAGCTCCTAATCTATGGCCTAAGTGATAGATTATTTTCGATTTTGCCGCCAAAATGCAGAGCAGAAGACACTTCCCATCATTTTTCTCTACCTCCCACCCACCGCGGATGCAAGCGCAAAGATGCAAGACATCATTGGGGCTGTAGCCATGCCCTTCTCCCTTAAAATGTTGATTTGTACGTATCCTTCCACGCTATGCCGCTGACCAACCAATTAAGGATTCTAAATCTCACAGTTTTTTCAAAAATTAGTGAAGAAGTGATTCTTAAGGTGTTAGACGTTTTGTTTGCATTGGGAAACTGGATAGGAATACACGATGAGTCGTTTTCAAATACAACGCATATCTTCCATAGCTACCTAACCAACCGCTTCATACTTGGGAACTGGGCATTAGATTTTTATTTGAAATGCATCATCTGTAAAACAAATGGCTTTTACATGATAAATTTCCACAAACCGGCACAGTAAGTATCTAGTAAATTTAAAATTCTTGTGCAAAAGCTCGACATAAACACTGCTGAATAACAATCCCCAAATTTTTTAACCAGATTATTAAGTTTTTATGCATTTATTTACAGGTTTTTTTAAACTTTTCCCGTCTGTCTTTTAACTTCTTTCTGCAGGTCTGAGATTATGATCGTTTGATACGCCTTTTCACACCTTCTTCTCTACCCCTCCCTCCCCAGCTTTGGTATTTGCTCCTTGTACTACCAATCACCATATTAGTTATGTTACTTGAAGTATTCCCTGAAATGGTCTTTAATTTGTATTTCTACATTTGCCACGAATCAAAAAACAACGTGAATTGAGAAGTGAAAATGCCGTGTGTTTTTATTTGATATTACTTTTATTCACTCTGCAATGGCTGAAAAAATAAGTAATATGGAAAACGGATCGCCAGACGTTCCATACTTTACTTTTGAAATTGCTTGGGAGGTTGCCAATAAAGGTACAGTAGGAAGAAAGCAATTGTTTTCTACGACCGTGCATGTCAGTAATTATAAAATTTCACGGCATGCCATCAATATAATAGAAAATGTTGCAATTTTAAATTCTACTTTAGCCATTGTGAATGATATGCTTTACTGGGTAATTTATTTCATGTGAGGACACGTTTGCAAGTTGCAGCATCTGACTAATTCGTGTTGTCAACTTGGAGGTCAAAATAATTTATTACATTGAAGCTGTATTTGGAGATTTTCATGACATCAGGCTATCTGTATATCGGTTAATCAATTATTACTCTTTAAAAATTTGTTGTTGTCAAATATTGAGTGTGGAGACTCTTAGTTTGCCTGTAAATTGCAGGAAATATTATTCTACGCAGTTTGTTCCTTACAAAGCGTTTAATTCCAAAGGGCAGTACAAAATATATCAAAGTGAAACATCTGTAATTACAGAGGAAAAATCTCTAGCAATAACACTAGTGTTGAAATACCACCTGATAACAACAGGCAAAGATTGGTCACATCATTTTGAAGTTTTAAACTATGTCCACATATAAAGTGCAATACAAATTTCTGCAAATTGGTTACTTGCAACCATTCCCACTGGGAGTAAGAGAACACTGGAATGCTCGCCATGTTGGATGAAATTTGCATTGTAAATAAGAGAAATACTTTGGTAAAAACTAGCTCGCAAGGCAAGAATACAAATTGTCTGAATATCTGAGCAATTTTAATGAGCAAATAAGATAAAATGTCCAGCCAGATGATTGGAAGGCCCTATTACCAATGGTTAACGTAGGTAATGTTACAGTTGCAAATCACTGAGCATATTTTATCCATTAAACATACTTAAAATATCCATGCTTACTAAAGTGTAAAACTGAGGGGTTTTGTATGAATGGCAATAACAAACAAGCAGAATTTTGCATATTTGTATTTGCAGCTTTGTTTAGTCGGGCAGCCTGTCCAATGCTCAGAAATTTTAGTACTGCTCTGTTACTTTTCTGCAGGAGCCAAAAAGACGGCCATATACACTCACCAGCTCAGCCTTCTCATGTGATTTACTCCTGCTTGTAGAATTTGAATTTAGGACAAAAATCAATGGTCAATAGCAATGTAAAATTGTATCATAATTATCTAAGTTCATATTTAAATCCTTTATTAAGGCTTTGCTTTAGCTCTTTTCTTATGTAGTAATGGACCTGTGAATTCAGTTTGTTTCATTTGTTACGTTTGTGTTAATTTGTGTGTTCACTTTGTAAAAACAAAAGGTTTAATTGCTACCGAAGAAAAGTTCAATAATAATTCTGTGAAATTAGATGCAGAAGAACTAAATTTGTGGCAGATATATCATAACTGATATGTTGTAATAACTGTATTGTTACTGTCGCCATGCACTTTTTAATATCTGTTGGGCCAGTTAACCGAATGACCCAATTTCCCACTAAATGCAGTATATAATGGACATAACTTTTCAAATATTCAAACTATATTAATGCCTTTACCAGCACAAAAGCTTACTTTCATCATATTTAAAGTCAAGTTTTAACAATCTCTTATTAAAAACAAATCTCTACTAGCAGGTAACAAGTTCTGACTACAACCCAGGAACAGACTTCTAACCATCTTGTGCATAATGGTTTTATGATAACTGATGATTTAGGTTACATTATTCTTGTTTGATGGTAACAAGTTGGACAACAGAGGGCATCTAAGCTAAAAGTGGCTCCCAATTTAAGAGATGACCTAAATATAAGATAGTCACTCTTTACATGTTTGTAAATGTAGATCGTCCAGGTTGGTATAGTCCTCAGAAGAACTGTTTTTGTCAACAACAATGTAACGATACTCCCGGGTTCAAACCATTTACTTTATAGTCACTCTTTCTTAGACATCTGCGAAAGATATGCATCTATTGTTTCTATTGAAGCAATGCATTCACCCGGGTTCAAACCATTTACTTTATAGTCACTCTTTCTTAGACATCTGCGAAAGATATGCATCTATTGTTTCTATTGAAGCAATGCATTCACCCGGGTTCAAACCATTTACTTTATAGTCACTCTTTCTTAGACATCTGCGAAAGATATGCATCATGCTATTGAAGCAATCATTGAGCTTTGATTCACTTTGAAGTACTTAATGGCTCATAGGCAGTATTTACATGTACTGTCTATGACTATTTCATACATTGCCCTTGTAGAAATTTTCCCTTCTGAATGCCCACAATTTCTTTTTTAATTATACAAGTCATCTTAGCTTGAATTGCTCCAATAGTAAATGAATGTTAGATGAGAATTTTCCAATAATAAGTGCATGTTAATTTGCAATCTTCTATGACGTAACGAAAATATCGACTGTGCGCTAGTTACTAATTACGATCTCCACCGGAAATGAAATTTCGATTAAAATTTCCATATGTTTTCACTATTTTTATGTTTTTCGAAATTTGCGGTTTCGAAAATGGAATTTTGTCCCTGTGTTGACACTGACTAATTGGTTCCTTATCTACGCTACTTTTCGTCCAACTTCGGGTCGTGGTAGTTTTGTTTGAATTCAAATTGATCTTAATGAAGTAAAAATAATTTCAGATTCTTGTCACTTCTAAAGAGCCACGACATTTGTACAGAAGTCACGTATATGAAAGACTATAGCTAAGAATGCATTCAGGGCTACTGTTCATGAACAGTTTTAAATTTTTTACGTTGTATCACAGACTGTGGAGCGGTGTTGCCTGCTAAAAGTAGACACGTAGCCAGAACGATAATTGGGGGGCGGGGGGGCATATTCACATATGCATGACATGCTGTGTTAGTTTCTTTTGAAATCCATTGTTTTTTATGGATTATAAAATGAATATATGAATGTCCCCCCCTCCCACAATTATCGTTCTGGCTACATCATGCTTTGTGGAAGGGTAGAATGACGCGAGAACATACTCTCTACAAGTGGGTCGCTAAATTTCACTCATTAAATTGCGTGTTTATAAAAAATGTGAGACCGTGTCCACCCCCCACCCCCCGCCCCCGGCCAACTGTACAGTCTCTTTATCGACAAAATGCCAAGATGCTAGCGTATCATAAAAAGGGATTTCGTTTATATTTCAGTTGGAGGTATTTATACTGTGATTAAATCCAAAGCTCCAGTGACGGTCGAGGAATTGAAAAATCATTACTGTTTGATTGGTCCATACAAATTGGTAATGTGAAACATGGAATAATGAATTGTTCACCCCAGAATCACCCCAGAATAAGGCGATAGGAGAAGCTATTGAAGACATTAAAAGGAAGGGATTAAGTATGGTATTGATAAATTACGAATAGTACGAAACGTCGTCAAATAAACGTTTATACTACGCAATAGTACGATAACGTCGTCGTCAAAAACGTTTATACTACGCAATAGTACGAAACGTCGTCAAATAAACGTTTATACTACGCAATAGTAAACGTCGTCAAATAAACGTTTATACTACGCAGTAGTACGAAACGTCGTCAAATAAACGTTTATACTACGCAGTAGTACGAAACGTCGTCAAATAAACGTTTATACTACGCAGTAGTACGAAACGTCGTCAAATAAACGTTTATACTACGCAGTAGCACGAAACGTCGTCAAATAAACGTTTATACTACGCAGTAGTACGAAACGTCGTCAAATAAACGTTTATACTACCCAATAGTATGAAACGTCGTCAAATAAACGTTTATACTACGCAATAGTACGAAACGTCGTCAAATAATAAGCATATAATGGTAAAAAGTTTGAGACCATCAACAAGTGCCACTATGACCATATAAGAGTGAAAATATTTTGACGCTTTTAACATTCAAATAACGAGTAATGTGTAACAAATATTATTCACAAAAATCTTCCAATATTACGTAAATGATATATCAAAGCATTTACCTTGTATGAAGTGACAGAGCAATGGTACGTCAAAATAAATTATTGCAGCACATTTTGAATATATTTACATTACATTAATTTTATTACTTTACATTACATTTTAAGATTTTAATAGATTGGTTAAATAGTTTCTTTAGAAATTAATATTAATACCGAATCTATTTACTTTTAATTTAAAATTGAGGAACTATAATTTATTTTGAATCCCGGCACTGCTTGTATGTCATACGAATTTGCTACCGTTCATTGTGTTTGTGGTGTGCGTAGTGATATTTTATATACGTCATGTCATGCAACTGTTTAACTGCAGGTTGAAAAGTATCATTGTTTTGGTGCACATGCGTAGTGATATTTTTATTACGTCATGTCATGCAACTGTTTCATGCAATTGTTTATCTGTGTTGCCAGCATCATTTGTAGTGAAAATGCAATTTGCTCATTTACCATACCCAGGTCTATTTTGAAAAACATGGAATTTATCTTGGCTTATTCAACTTGCAGCTTTACTCCGGCTATGTATGTTTTGAATAGTTACCATTATTCATTTCTTTAAAAATGTATTGCTCTCACGGTCAGTGAACACAAAAATATTTTTCATAGCGGGAATAAAAAGTCGAGGTAGCTACGTAATAATTCCAAGTATATTTTTTGTCGTCTGTGGACGCTTTGCTTTATGCCGTTTCAGTCACTCTCGTGAACTCTTAAATACTGGTTAAAATAGAGACTTTGTAGTGGTGACAAATTAAAAAATGTTTTAAAAAGAGCAAAGACCGTGGTGAATAGTGAAAATAATAACGTAATTGTTCTTAAAAGAACTGTTTGAAACCAGAACACTAACCCAACAAATTATATTCAATTGAAAAAAATTGTTTTTTAAACAATTTTGATGGGTATTGAAAACTCTTACTTTTGCTAATCTTTCATATTTTTGGTTAAGGTTGTTTTGGCGATGGCTTATTGATGGATTCCTCAAGTAAGTTCATCTTATGTTGCTTGCTAACTAATAACAACGCAGTACATATCACATTATAGAAACAAGTAGTTGACTGTTGCAATTTCGCATGTCTAATTACGCATGCGATTAGCATAGTGGCAGCCAGACAATTGCTTTTTTTGACCAATAGGAGTACAGAGATGGGTATCCGCAGGCCGTAAGCTAACTATATATAAAGTAAATGATTTGAACCTGGGAGTATCGTTACATGTTTGTAGATGATGATCGTCCAGGTTGGTATAGTCCTGAGACGGACTGTTTTTGTTGTTGTTGACTGACGTTTCGACAACCTTAGCGGTAGTCATCTTCAGAGTCAAATGAGGAGTAAACGTCAGGTTAGCCGGATTTGTTATCTGGTTCTTACGTCATTGTATTGTGTGTACAGGAAATGTGTAATGTCATTGTGAATTAGTGTGAAGTGAAATGTTTTTATTTTTAGTTGTGATGTGTGATTTGGCTTTGATGTTTTTAGTTGTAATGTGTGGGTGTCAATTGTGTATTGTCATTTTGAATTAGTGTGAAGTGTAATGTTTTTAGTTGATCGTTTGTTTGTATTTTGAATAAATCGTTTGTAAGGTAATTTAATTGTTGTGATCTGTTCAGGGGTCTGTTCCAATTTGGTATTGTATTTCTAAGTGTAAGCATTGTCTAAGTAAGTGCAGTTTTGCATTTTATTGTACAGTAAATAAATTAGCCAAGTTGCACAATGGAGCGAGACTGCTGTTTGTGTCTATACTGTGTACATGATTACATAAAGAATGTGCACAATATGCAACATTCAATTGTCTTTCATACATGCAGTATACCTATTGTATTGGAATATGCACTGTACTTTGCTTGCAACTGCCTGTATATTTAATTAGATTGTTGTCTGCCGTTAGCCATTTTAACATTCCTATTGGTGAAAAAAGCAATTGACTGTCTGCCGTTAGCCATTTTAACATTCCTATTGGTGAAAAAAGCAATTGACTGTCTGCCGTTAGCCATTTTAACATTCCTATTGGTGAAAAAAGCAATTGACTGTCTGCCGTTAGCCATTTCATCTTCCTATTGGTGAAAAAGCAATTGACTGTCTGCTGTTAGCCATTTCATCATTCCTATTGGTGAAAAAAGCAATTGACTGGCTGCCGTTAGCCATTTCATCATTCCTATTGGTGAAAAAAGCAATTGACTGGCTGCCGTTAGCCATTTCATCATTCCTATTGGTGAGCAAAAGCAATTGACTGAAAATGGTAATCATAATCACAATAAGATGTACGTGGCACCAAAAATTCACTGTATATTCACTATGTTGTGACTCAACTAAAAGATACAATATTTTCGCGTTGAAAACATGTACAGTGTTGCCAGATCGTGAAGAAAGTTCATAGACTTGTGAAGTTTTCGCTCTCTATATGAACATTTCATGAACATTAAAAATTTGTGAACTTTTTGTAAACTTTTCAAAAGTTAATGACTTATGTATTTTCATCACATTCACAAAGAAAGTGTAAATAATTCATAGTTCAATTAATGCCAGGGCAATCTTTATAGATCGACAAGTTTTTCAAAAACATCATCACATTCACACATTCACAAAGAAAGTGTAAATAATTCATAGCCCAATTAATGCCAGGGCAATCTTTATAGATCGACAAGGTTTTCAAAAACATCATCACATTCACACATTCACAAAGAAAGTATAAATAATTCATAGCCCAATTAATGCCAGGGCAATCTTTATAGATCGACAAGGTTTTCAAAAACAACAACCATTTTCATTATAATCCCATGTTTTCCGTTAATTTCCGAGTTATTCCGGGGTTTATTCCAACAATTTCCGATATTTTCCGGAAATTTACGAAGATGCAAAGGTAAACAAGAGACCTTGCCTTTGAAACTTCAGCCCCCTCCCCCCCCCGTGACAAAAACAAACCTTTGGGCCTATGATTTATAAAATATATATAGTCTTTGATGCAGGCCAGTACGATATTGGTTCAGCTTCCTTTGATGCGTATTTGCAATATTTTTCTTACGATAAAGGTGATTTTATTGGACGTCGGTTCAGGCTCGAAGTTCATGAACACTTGGAAACAGGAACTTTGGGAGAAATGCAATGTTGGTGTACCGCATTTAGATATTGAAGCTAACGATTCTGTGATATTTGGCTATCTCGTCTGTTGGTTCATCACTGAGGTTGGATTTTTATAAATTTGTTTTTATTGCCTTACGGCATTGGTGTTATTGCTATGAGCGACGGGCAATCAAGCGATCAGCTTGCAAGGTGTTATTTATGAAAACAAAGATAAAAAAGTAGGTTTATATTTGGGGAAATGGAAGCACTGGATATTTCTCATTGAAGATTATTCTTAAATTGACTATTTCGTGCATAATTCGTGTACCTGGTAGTAAATTAAATTGTAAATTGTGTAGAGACTGGTGTTGTGTAGAGACTGGTGTTGTGTAGAGACTGGTGTTGTATAGAGACTGGTGTTGTGTAGAGACTGGTGTTGTGTAGAGACTGGTGTAGTGTAGAGACTGGTGTTGTGTAGAGACTGGTGTTGTGTAGAGACTGGTGTTGTGTAGAGACTGTAGTTGTGTAGAGACTGGTGTTGTGTAGAGACTGGTGTTGTGTTGAACTGGTGCTGTGTACAGATTGGGGCTGTTTAGAGACTAGTACTTTGAACAGACGGGAGATATGCGTAGAACTCAATTTAAAACTTGATTGAATTTTATATTCATTCTCTACCAGTAACCTCAAACACTATGCCAGTCGTTTATTGTGTTAACGGAACATGAGTTCAATGTTTGCTTCATAAGTGTTGCCAGTCCATTAAATGTTTCTAATTTGTTTTTCTTCAGTTTAAAAAGCGCGAACCTTTGCCAGTCATTGCGCATTTTCACGAGTGGCTATCTGGTGTTGGTTTAGTGGCGTTGAGAACAAAACATGTTGATGTTACCACAATATTTACGACCCACGCCACCTTACTGGGACGTCATCTATGTGCTGCTAATGCCGATTTTTATAATAATCTTAGTAATGTGAGTATAGTTTTGTATATAACATTATTTTTACTTTACTTTGACACGTGCCTTTCTCCAAAAATTCTAAATAAACAGTTAAACTAAGTCAACTTTCTTTTTGTAGCACGCGGTCAAACGTCACATGAATTCTGCTGTTGAAACCGTTAAACTTACTCAACTTATCTTAAATTAAACGCCGTCAATTGACGTGACGTCACATGAATTCTGCTGTTAAAACAGTTAAACTTACTCAACTTATCCTAAATTAAACGCCGTCAATTGACGTGACGTCACATGAATTCTGCTGTTAAAACAGTTAAACTTACTCAACTTATCTTAATTTAAACGCCGTCAATTGACGTGACGTCACATGAATTCTGCTGTTAAAACAGTTAAACTTACTCAACTTATCCTAAATTAAACGCCGTCAATTGACGTGACGTCACATGAATTCTGCTGTTAAAACAGTTAAACTTACTCAACTTATCTTAAATTAAACGCCGTCAATTGACGTGACGTCACATGAATTCTGCTGTTAAAACAGTTAAACTTACTCAACTTATCTTAAATTAAACGCCGTCAATTGACGTGACGTCACAGGTATTTTGCTTTTACAAATAGTTAGCAATGTGGACAATAAGTTGAACCATATTAACCGTATGGGATGATAGATGATCCAAATTCATTTTTCGCAATACATTAGATTTTGTAATGTATGGAGTCGAAATATCACCGTTTGAATTAACAAATGTCTTTTCTTCACGTAATACTGTTGCAATTATAACAAACTTATATTAGCTAACTGTGATTTTTTTTCTCTTTATGTTCGTGTTCCTTTATCATCAAAGTTCAACATAGACAAGGTATGAACTCTCTTTCTAGTTTTAAAAATTAAAGTCTTTAAAGTAAACTCTTCGTTTGAAAACAACATGTTTATGTATAATTATTTGTAGATTCGATGTGTATATGTATTAAACATGTTTCATGTATTACGTAATTAAACATGTTTCTTGTATTACGTAATTAAACATGTTTGATGTATTACGTAATTAAACATGTTTGATGTATTACGTAATTAAACATTTTTGATGTAATACGTAATTAAACATTTTTGATGTATTATGTAATTAAACATTTTTATGTATTACGTAATTAAACATTTTTGATGTATTACGTAATTAAACATTTTTGATGTATTACGTAATTAAACATTTTTGATGTGTCTTTTGCTGTTTACAGTTTTGTTTCTTATTATGGACAATTTTCTTGATTTGCCTCAAAAAACTCACTAATGTTATCGTTCATACAAATTAAGTCTTAGCTTGCGACATATGGCGTTATGCTTAAAGTGCATCTAACCTCAATATTTTTCTTGAGCGAATTTGATAGACTGTAGACGTAGGATAATATTCGTGAAAGAATTTTGTTAATTGGTTGAAAAATCGTGACGCTATGCCTTGTGTAACACAGCACATCTTTGGTAAACGACCGCGTGAGAACTTTGACGTAAATTCCGGACAACACTTGCTAAATAACATGGTAAGATTTTACCGAATTATTCTAAAGCTACTGCAACCATATACCATGCTCCTTTCAGGCATGTTTTCCAATTTGGAGTTAGAAAAATAGTGGCAGATGGATAGGATTGTATTTTTGTCTGGAATTTACGTCATATTTTAGGTACCAGACTCCAAATGCCAGTACTTCGTTCTTAGCTAAAATTACAGCATTTTCACAAGGCCTGGCGTCAAGATTTTATGGCCTTCTCAAACGATGCTTTCACTGTTATTATTCCTAGTTTACTCTTTTTCGGAAACAGGGAAATGTTTCTTCAATGTTTCCTAATTTACTCACACTCTCCGATCGATATTTTTACTTTATTTTTTATAACAAAGGAAATACGCTTATAAGCAACGTACGAACATCGTTATAATTTTCATCCCATAAAACAACACTCACGTGATTAGTCTTTTCACAAAAATAACATAAAGTTTCCAACAATTTTATCGAATTCATTTTAAAAATAATTAGCGTTTAAGTACACTTTAAACAGAAATTTTGCGATTTTTGTTTAGGAAGCGGGCGATCGTGGTATTTATCATCGATATTGTCTCGAGAGGTCCGCTGTTCATTCGGCTCACGTGTTCACTACAGTTTCCTTGATTACAGCCGATGAAGCTGAACATATGGTTCGACGTAGAGCGGGTATGTTATCAACATTGTGCTATGTTATACATTATACCAGGGGCGTATAAAGATGTTTGACGTCATAACATATGGTTCGACGTAGAGCGGGTATATTATCAACATTGTGCTATGTTATACATTATACCAGGGGCGTATAGAGATGTTTGACGTCATAACATATGGTTCGACGTAGAGCGGGTATATTATCAACATTGTGCTATGTTATACATTATACCAGGGGCGTATAAAGATGTTTGACGTCATAACATATGGTTCGACGTAGAGCGGGTATATTATCAACATTTTGCTATGTTATACATTATACCAGGGGCGTATAGAGATGTTTGACGTCATAACATATGGTTCGACGTAGAGCGGGTATATTATCAACATTGTGCTATGTTATACATTATACCAGGGGCGTATAGAGATGTTTGACGTCATAACATATGGTTCGACGTAGAGCGGGTATATTATCAACATTGTGCTATGTTATACATTATACCAGGGGCGTATAAAGATGTTTGACGTCATAACATATGGTTCGACGTAGAGCGGGTACATTATCAACATTGTGCTATGTTATACATTATACCAGGGGCGTATAGAGATGTTTGACGTCATTACATATGGTTCGACGTAGAGCGGGTATATTATCAACATTGTGCTATGTTATACATTATACCAGGGGCGTATAGAGATGTTTGACGTCATAACATATGGTTCGACGTAGAGCGGGTACATTATCAACATTGTGCTATGTTATACATTATAGCAGGGGCGTATAGAGATGTTTGACGTCATAACATATGGTTCGACGTAGAGCGGGTACATTACCAACATTGTGCTATGTTATACATTATACCAGGGGCGTATAGAGATGTTTGACGTCATAACATATGGCTCGACGTAGAGCGGGTATATTATCAACATTGTGCTATGTTATACATTATAGCAGGGGCGTATAAAGATGTTTGACGTCATAACATATGGTTCGACGTAGAGCGGGTACATTATCAACATTGTGCTATGTTATACATTATAGCAGGGGCGTATAAAGATGTTTGACGTCATAACATATGGTTCGACGTAGAGCGGGTATATTATCAACATTGTGCTATGTTATACATCATACCAGGGGCGTATAAAGATGTTTGACGTCATGAAGTGGCTCAAAGTTGCAACTCTTTGAAGATTTAAAATTTAACTCTCGTTGAATTTTTGCCGTAGTTACTTCTTAGCAGTTTATTTTATCTTATGTTTTCCAAAAAAACATCAGGAGCACGAAATATCAAAATCTTGTTAATTTTTAATTCTTCCTTTGTGAAGAATAAGTGGAAAATGGTTGACAAAATATGCTATTATTATATCTAGTCCATAAAATTAAATTTGGTTTGCAGTTCACTTTAAGGGGCTCATGTCTCAGCTTCTTTAAGTTAGGATGGTTCGAAGCCCCCTCTCCCTTCTTGCCCCTGTGCTTCCTACGTGTTTCATACATGGAGAGAAAGGGGGTTGAATATGATTCACGGGGAGGGCAAAATAAGGAGAAGTGAGCTTGTGGAGCAATTGGAAATGCTGGAGGAAAAGTGTTTTTGAAATTAGGGTTTGAAGTAAACAGTTCTTTATTGTTATTGTCTATTAAACAATTTGTAATTGTCATCTAGTTCATTTGTTTTTTGTTCTTTTTGTTTCTCTATAGTTTCGATAGTTAGATATTATTTGCTGGCATTACTTTGACAATTCAATTGACTTTTGTTCTTTTTATCCTATCATTAGATTGTATATTACCGAATGGACTGAACGTCGTGAAATATACGTAAGTGAAAAAACCACTGCATGTACACAATGTATTGAATTTTAAAGGAAATTACATCCTGTTATTGTTGGTTTTGACTACTGAACTATATATAATACATGGAACGCTACCTGTTATAGAAAAGTTAAATAATTTTTTGAAGCCAAATCTTACACCCAGACACGTGTGTGCAGTTCAATTAATTTTCACGCCGCGAGAGAATCTCGAAGCACTAAACACGCGTGTCTGGGTGTAATCTCGCGTGGCTGTGTGTAAGCTTTGGCTTCAATTATTTGTAGCATTTAGCTTCAATGTATTTTCGTTCAATGTTTTTGACTTACCTTACTTTTTAAAAATAATGAGTGCGAGTTTTGGAAAGGGCTTTAGCCTGGGTAGGAATTGTGTGAAAGGAGTCAAAAGACTTTTGACTTCAATCTCAGAGCCATGAATGAAGAATGCTGTATTTTTGTGCCTCTTAAATTTTTTCTCTTTTAGGGCTCTTCATGAATTTCAAAATCTTCATGCCATAGCGAAGGAAAAAATACACAAATTTGTTCGAGGTCATTTTTATGGGTAAGTAATTGTAGAAGTGTCCCCCCCTGATAGATCTGAGATCATGTCCACCCAGTGATAGATTTAGGGAAGGGATACGGAGGGTGTACACCCCTCTTAGCGTTGAGTAGAGGGGGTTCTGGTAAGTGTCGATTTCCCTATAAAGTACTAATACAGCAAACAATTTTGCTTAGTGCATTGACTGGAGCTCATTTCCAAAATTCTCTCAATCACAATAGTATAGTATCATAATTCAACAAAAAGTCAACATGGCAACAGTTAGCGAACAAAATCTAATTCAATAATTCAAATTGAAGGACCTTCTTCAGTAAATCCACAATTGAAGGACCGTCTACAGTGCTGCCTTTCTGTGTATGCACATTTCACCTACCAAAACTTTATTTTCCCCCTACCTCCCCCTACGATGATTTTCCTTGTTTCCCTTACTTTTCCCCTACACAGCAACATATCCCCCTATTATATACCTACGTCGGGTCGGACCACTGAATTTTTTAGTCTGTTTTTAAAAAATGCATGCAAAAACGATTCATTGAAAACGAAGAACATCTAGACGAAAAAGTTAGTAATTTGGCGTAGAAAGTAATGACAAGCAGGTGGCGCAAATGACACACTGAGTTTATGCTAAGTTGCTGATCTTCTATTGCCATATATGGTCACAAAATGTGCCAAAGAAAGATTCTGTTACAATCACTTGCTAATTGGTGAGAACACAGAAAGAAAAGAGTATTTTGGGCAAAAATGAGTCTCATTTTTAAACGATTTTGTTTTCTCTCTACAATCCCCCTACATTTTACAGTTTTCCCCGTAGGTTTCCCCTACGAGTGTCAGCACTGCCTTTCTCCCATATGTTTCTTAAAATATGTGTTACTTGCTTATACCTGTCGAACCTAAGATTTATTGCAAAAAATATTATGTTCCTTTCATTTTACTACAAAAGATGGGACGTTATTTTTCGTCTGAAATATCTTCATTAATGACATTGACTTTTCTATTTACACACTATTTTTAGACATAACTTTGATCTGAATTCAACGCTCTATTTTTTCTCCGCCGGCAGGTACACTTGTTACTTTGTTATTACTCAATATTCGAAAAACCCTGTTGACTTTAAAGTCGTTGAACATTTGAAATTTCCAGCAGTCGATGTGTCACAGTCGCATGTTTATTTTATATCAGGGTTGAAAATGGCTGGAAATTGAAGTTCTGTATAGGTTTTCCTGTGAAATGTAATCATTGTCAATATTTTAAAGTAATGAGTTCGAGACATGCCCCGAGGCTTAGGATGTTTTGCTCTGTGCTATCAACTTCTTTCAAGCTTCGAGTTATAAGCAAAACATCAAATAACATGTGCGAAGGTATAAAGCTCTTTTCTAAAGATGAAGAAGCAATCGTAAATATCTTCTTTTTCGCTTTAAAAGTATTCTCTTGTAAATTCTAGTAATAATCACAACTGGTTGAGGTTGAGCACGATTGATGGGCGCCATTTTGAATTTTCTGCGACGGAAATTCGACGTCTAATTTCTCAACGAATTTGCTTCGAATTTCTGTCGAATTAAATTCGTCTGCTCTAAATTCGACAGTAATGCGTGTAGCGCCTGCCTCATTGGCTATGATACATAAAAAAGTAAATTAGATACTTACTTTGGTTTTCGTAATTTACATAATTCAAGAGCGGCAGACATTGCAGATAATAATATGTCAAGTTCTTGCTTGCTATATTAAGTCGATGCTTCCTCTCGATTTATGAAGTAATGTTATCAAACTATACAAATCAATTTTGTTTGAAACTTTGCGCCATCCCTGAGTCCTTATTTGTTATTCTTCTGAAATAAGGAGCGATTGAACGCCTCTCACCTTGCTCTGACTTAAAATGCCTATATTAACCTCAGGGAAATAATCTAATTCGATAGAGTAGACGATTTTAAGAACATTTCCAATGTATTTTATAAGACGACGAAAATTTGATTTTTCGTGACTTTTTGGACTTTTTGTGTTTGACTGTGAGGTGCTGTGACTGTGTCTAGTTCACCGGACGTGACGTACAATGGAGGACACATAATATTTCAAACTGTGGACGTTTATTCAATAACTTACACACATGAGCGTGTTAAAGTTGGATTGCCTATTTCTATTGACACGCTGTAAATTGAAGCTGCGCTTATTTTGTCCATGTTATGTGTATTATATATTTTCTTCGTTTTTCTATTTGAATTTTGAACCTTGGTCATTCATTTGCCATCATTTCATACTTACACATACATTTTTCTCGTAGGTATGAATATTTCAACAAAGGAGTAGATCTTTTCGTAGAGTCTTTAGCCAGGTTAAATCATTTCTTAAAGGTATGTTTTACTGCATAATTGTTCATGCATTCATCTTTTGTGAATATCAATAAACTTCTTTCTGAGACGTCTATGCATGGTTGTAAGAACATTCACTTCGTGATTATTATCACTTTGAGAGGATCGTATGGTTTTTGAGATAGGATAAACTGAATTTGCTTGCCTGAAAATAAAGCACTGGTGTTATGGCATTGAGTCGAATGTAACTTTGTTAGAACGTGGATTTTGACTGCATTTTGGTCTTTGTTTTAGTCGATCAATAGCTCTACTACGGTTGTCGCCTTCCTTATTTTCCCAACGAAAACTAACAATTTTAACGTTGATTCGTTGAAAGGACAAGCTGTTGCCAAACAATTAAGGTAGCTATACTCTTTTGGTAATACGGTTGCTGCATATACTACTAAGTTGTAATAATAAAGTTGCTGCATATACTACTATAGTTTTAGTAATAAGGTTGTTGAATATACTAGTAAGTTTTAGTAATAAGGTTGCTGCATATACTATTATAGTTTTGGTGATGAGGTTGCTGCATATACTATTATAGTTTTGGTGATGAGGTTGCTGCATATACTACTCTAGTTTTGTTAATTAAGTTGCTGCATACACTATTATAGTTTTGGTGATAAGGTTGCTGCATATACTACTAGAGTTTTCTTAATAAAGTTGCTGCAAATACTACTATAGTTTTAGAAATAAAGTTGCTGAATATACTATTAGAGTTTTGGTAATAAGGTTGCTGCATATACTACTATAGTTTTAGTAATAAGGTTACTGCATATACTACAGTAGTTTTAGTAATAAGGTTGCTGCATATACTATTATAGTTTTAGTAATAAGGTTGTTGCATATACTACTATAGTTTTGGTAATAATGTTGCTGTATATACTACTATAGTTTTGGTAATAAGGTTGCTGCATATACTACAGTAGTTTTAGTAATAAGGTTGCTGCATATACTACATTAGTTTTAGTAATAAGGTTGCTGCATATACTACAGTAGTTTTAGTAATAAGGTTGCTGCATATACTACTATAGTTTTGGTAATGATGTTGCTGTAGTGCAGTTGTCTATGAATTCGTGAATGATAATGTAAACATTACAAAACACAGGTAAAATGTAATCTGACTTTCGATACAACTGTGTTTTAAATGTACTCTACATTTTCAAAAAAATTCATGCAAGTCGCAAAAGTATTTCCTGTGAGTAACTTTGTAATGCATTGCCGCATTTTTTTTTGTCAATCGTGATTTTGTTAACTTTTTCTTGGTAGGGATGTCGTTGATGAACTTCAAGATAAAATCGGAAAGAAATTATTTGAAGCTGCTCTCGGGTATTTATTTGTCTGATTCATTTTGAATAGTTGGACATTTTTTTTTCATCTCGAAATGACTAGAGAAAATATTAAAAGTTGGGGATCGATCTGCTGAATATCAAACTAGAATCTCGAACTGTGATTTTGACTTTCGCTTCTTAAATGGTTTAGTTTGAACAGTTCTTTTAAATTTTCCGTGGTTTTTGGCTTTTTTCACTTGTCACGTAAAGATTAAGCTCTCTTCCGTGCCGATGATTGTGAGGAAAATTCTGTATCGTCTGTTAATTTCTCTTGTACACTTTCCGTGCCGATGATTGTGAGGAAAATTCTGTATCGTCTGTTAATTTCTCTTGTACACATTCCGTGCCGATGATTGTGACGAAAATTCTGTATTGTCTGTTAATTTATTGTCTGTTAACTCATTCCGTGCCGATGATTGTGAGGAAAATTCTGTATTGTCTGTTAATTTCTCTTGTACACATTCCGTGCCGATGATTGTGAGGAAAATTCTGTATCGTCCGTTAATTTCTCTTGTACATATTCCGTACCGATGATTGTGAGGAAAATTCTGTATCGCCTGTTAATTTCTCTTGTACACATTCCGTGCCGATGATTGTGAGGAAAATTCTGTATCGCCCGTTAATTTATCTTGTACACATTCCGTGCCGATGATTGTGAGGAAAATTCTGTATCGTCTGTTAATTTCTCTTGTACACATTCCGTGCCGATGATTGTGAGGAAAATTCTGTATCGTCCGTTAATTTCTCTTGTACATATTCCGTACCGATGATTGTGAGGAAAATTCTGTATCGCCCGTTAATTTCTCTTGTACACATTCCGTGCCGATGATTGTGAGGAAAATTCTGTATCGTCCGTTAATTTCTCTTGTACACATTCCGTGCCGATGTTTGTGAGAAAAATTCTGTATCGTCCGTTAATTTCTCTTGTACACAAAAATGACTACAGTTGTGCATTAAAGTTGCTCAAGCCTTATTGGTCAACTTGTTGACACTATATTCATTTCCATGGACGTATAAAGATTGTTAATCGGCAGGGGCTTGATATTCGCACTTGCGTGTTATGATCTGTAGAAAAAATAGATTTCAAAGAAACTTAACTCCTCACAATATGCACGAATAAATATAAAAGCCACTCAATTATTGATCATCCTACGCCAATGTTCATTTCTACTTTGGCATAAAGCGAAGTTATATTGCAGTAACTTATAAACAGCATTAATACGTGTGATTTACAAAATGTTTGAATGCCAAATTCAATGAAAACATAACATTACTTTATTCAGTGGTAAAATACCGGAAGCTGACACTTTGCTCTCTCCTGGTGACGTCATTAAATTGAAGCGTTGTATTTACTCTGGACAGGTAAATAGTTTGACCTGGATATTTGACCTATAGGTTACTTTTCTCCAGAAATTGAAAGTTACCAGCGGAACTATACTATCCTTAATTACATGCAAAAAGGATTTTGTCTGAATTTTTACAGTTTTACCCTGAGATTTGTTCCCTCTCTCTCTCAGTTTTACTCTTGGGTTTTGACACGAGTTGTAATGACATCTATGTGCCTAGTTTGTACAGTTCAACAATCAAAACTAACGAAAACATTTTCATAATGACTTTTTGAGTTATCAGTCGTTAATGCATTTCAAAAAGTGGTATCATTGTATAGCTCTAAATGTGATAGCATTGACTTACATTTTTATTTTTATTTGAATACTTATTATTAGATGTTGGTATTTCATTTAATGCATATATGTATGGTCTTATTTATAACATGGATAGCAATTTATATGTTAAAAGCAGGATAGGTTTTTCTTCTTAACAATATAACCTGTATGTATGAATATAGTATTGTTGTTATTTCTATAATGGTGAAACTTCCATTTTTTCAGAGAGGCTGTCTCCCCCCTGTTGTCACTCATAATGTTATGAATGATTCCGCTGATCAAATACTCAATCATATACGGCGTTGTCGTATGTTTAATTACGATTCTGATAGAGTTAAGGTATTTACCAAATTATATGTTTGCAGACAAAATTCGATCGTGTAACTATGTAACTATGTTCTTTATTCACGAGAAGTCTGTTCTGGAAATAAATTTATAAAATAATAACATATATATTATGCGTGTGCATGAAACTTTGGTCGATGCCTGCGTTTGGATGAGGCCAATTAAACACGGAAATTATAGTGCTGTTGCATGCAAAATATACGAGATTGATATTACGTAAATTACCTCTATTGTTATTAACAAATCGCAAACATCTTTGCTGACATGCGCAGTAATCTCTCTATGAAATTAACTATATCATATATTCATTTCCTTTTTTCTAGATTATTTTCCATCCGGAATTTTTATCTGCAACGAACCCATTGATAGGAATGGAATATGAAGAATTTGTTCGTGGCTGTCATTTGGGAGTGTTTCCCTCTTATTATGAGCCATGGGGTTATACACCTGGTATTTTATTTTCTATGTTATTATGAGCCATGGGGTTATACACCTGGTATTTTATTTTCTATGTTATTATGAGCCATGGGGTTATACACCTGGTATTTTATTCTCTATGTTATTATGAGCCATTGGGTTATACACCTGGTATTTTATTCTCTATGTTATTATGAGCCATGGGGTTATACACCTGGTATTTTATTCTCTATGTTATTATGAGTCATGGGGTTATACACCTGGTATTTTATTTTCTATGTTATTATGAGCCATGGGGTTATACACGTAGTATTTTATAAAACCGAAATTATTGCGTATTGAAATTTTCGAGTTTATTTCTTTAAAACATCATTTGGTGTAAAGTGTTGTTTCCGTATCATTTTATGCCGTACAAAGTTTAATATGCGTAATCTGCAACAGAAGTGTTTATTAAAGCTTCCTCACTAGAAAAAAAATATTATGTGCGATATTAAATATAGGTGTGAGCTCTAGCGTGTTGGTGAAAAAGTTTGTTAAATCATTCCATTTCAATTGCGGTTTAAACATGCCGAAAATTGCCGTTTTGGTGGACCTTTTCTGTCGTCAATACAAAATATATAAATCATCTACCTTGGATGACGTGAGAATTTGACTCGACCCAGACTTCCAACCGCGATGGGCAAGATCCGTTGAACGACAACTTCAAAGAGTAACATTATATTAATCCTTAGGAATACAACTTCACACCGAAAGCAATTTCGCCAAACTGGAAAGTTTTACCTCCGACACGTTTGAAGTCACAACTAGTTTTAACAACTCCGACGAAAAAAGAAAAGTGAACGCTCATCAGAAGCATGTTGCAAAGAAACAGGAACTTAAAGTTCACAAAAGATTGCCGAGTTTAGCCAAATTATAACTATCTTCCACTTTCCAGTACACGTGATGTATGTGACATCGAAACGTGACATTTTGTAAACCAATGAAAATATTTCTATATTTTCAGACAGATAACCGATGTTTTTTTCGTACTTGCGATTTCATCCCCATTGTTTAACGTTGTCGAAGGAGTAATAAAACACTGCGACATTGCATTTCAAATTTTCCACCAAGAAATAAAAACAAAGTAAATGGTTTGAACCCGGGAGTATCGTTACATGTTTGTTTGATGATCATTGGGGAGGACTGTTTTGTTGTTGTTGACTGACGTTTCGACAACCTTAGCGGTAGTCATCTTCAGAGTCAAATGCCGCTAAGGTTGTCGACTACCGCTAAGCTACCGCTAAGGTTGTCGAAACGTCAGTCAACAACAACAAAAACAGTCCTTCTCAGGACTATACCAACCTGGTCGATCTACATTTACAAACATGTAAGAAATAAAAACCTCAGACTTCGACGGTTTTCATCAACTGCGTCACGCTTTTAGCTACCTTACTTTTCATGTTGCCAAAAAACTTTGCTCGATCCTCATACTATCATTTTATGTTTCAGCTGAATGCACTGTCATGGGTATACCATCGGTGTCCACGAACTTATCTGGGTTTGGTCGCTTCATGGCTGAGCACATAGCAGATCCTTGCTCCTATGGGATCTATCTCGTAGATCGAAGATTCAAAGATGTCGAAGGATCAATAACACAGTTGGCTGAGGTAGAGTGGGGTCTATTGAAACATTTATGTCGCTTGCTCAGGTTTGGTATTCACTGTCGCACTTACTTTTCACTTAAAAGTTTCTCATTGCAAATATCTGCTGTTGAAGATCCTTTAAAACAGGTCTTGCGCACAAAAATTACTCATCTGAAAAACAATTTAACCTCTCTGAATAAAAATATAGACTGTGTTTTACCAGCTATCAAAATTTCAAGCGATTTCAAGCAACCGCGCAGGCCAACGCGAGATCTTTAAAACATGGATATTTTTTCGTTTATGCTTTTGAAATTTAGATAGCTTGAACAACACAGTCCATATTTTGACTCAGGGCGAATAAATTGTTTTTCTGATGATTGTTTTTTGTGCGCAAGGCCTGTTTTGGAGGACCTTTAACAGCAGATATTTCACTGGTAAAGCATCTTATCTCAAAGAATTTATCATAAAAACATCGTGTATTAGCTTAATTATATTCCCGATTATGATTGGCTTGTAAGTGATGATCCTATTTTACATGAAGTTTCAGAATATTTGTCTTTCAAACTAAAATAGCACTAAAACAGATTTAAGGGAATTTTAAACGAATGGTGTTAAAAGGATATTGAAAACAAAGGATATCTTAAGAAGAAATTTTATGCAAAGAATATCTTGAGAAGAAATTTAAAACTAAGGATATCTATAACAAAATAAAATCATTAGCCTTCGCCATAGCTGTTGTAATTATAAATTATACTCTAATGCATTGACTAATACATTATTTTCAAAGTATTTTTGTCCGTATTTCACCCCACAACAGCACATGAAATCGTTTTGCCTGCTCAGTCGTCGGCAGAGAATTATTCAACGGAACAGAACAGAGCGACTTAGTGAACTGCTTGACTGGAAAAGTCTTGGAAGGGTAGGCAAAGCATAGTGTTGGATCTTTTTATTCAGTGTGTTTCATGCATATAACGTGACTAAGTATGCAGAAATGTCGTTAATCTTTTTATTCAGTGTGTTTCATGCATATAACGTAGTTAAGAATGCAGAAATGTCGTTATTTTATTCATTCTAGTTTGGTAAAATGGTATTAAATACATGCGTGTACCCGGAATTCAACATAGGAACTAAGCCGTCGAGTTCTTAGCTGGTTGCGTTTTGCAAATTGATTTTGTTTTACACTTAAAATAAACGACAAAATTTTGTATAATAAACATGTTTCGACTTTTGTACAATACGTCATTTTCAGTATAAGAATGAAGTAAAGTATTTACAATGCCGATTTTATAATAGGATACATGTTACGTCTTAATTAATGAACAGTAAAATGATAAGGTGTTATTGGTTGTTCTTTTGTGAAATACGTTTTTCAAGTATACTTTTCCATATTGAGTTGAATGATTTGTAGTATTACATGAAAGCGAGGAGAAAGGCTTTGTCTATTGTTTACCCTGACCAATTTCAAGAAGAAAATGAAGAAGACGATGAAAGATATCAAACACAGGTTCGTAAATTTTGAAATTCATACATGCCATCTAAATGTACCAGATATTCATAAAAAAAGTTCCTAGAAATTTGGTGTGCCTTAGGCAAACTCAATCAACATTTCCCGTGACTCAATATCCATTTTCCTGTTTTGTATTTGTTTTGGGATCCCATTAAATTAGGGCAATTTTTTTCTCGCCCACCCCTCTCCCCCTTTTCCAGTTAGGCACTGATTCTTTGCACAGTTAAGTCACCAAAAGCTTAACAACTTTCATTGCTGTGATAAAATACATGTGTCTCAGAAATAGTACTGCTACAATTTTTTTTCTTATTTGTTTCAATCAATTGCACTGAAAATTCGAAGGAACCTTCATCAATTCTTTGCTTATGAAATCACTTAACAATGCAACCTTTACGACCTTTTTGTAAAGAATCTTTTTTTGTTATGAAATTCCAAGGAAAGAGTTTGTTATATCGATTGAAACAATTTTTTTAACACGTTTTTTGTTATTTTGTACAATCAACATAATTTCTATATATTTGTCATGCATTTATATTCATTGAGCTCACAGAATCATTTTCAAACCTTATTTACGTTACTGCAGTATTTCAGATTTCCTCGTCCCGGCTCCCAGCCCCCTTCTCCGACAGCGTCAAGTTACGGCTCTGATGACGAGGAAGACGAACGCCATCGACTGTATAGCGAATGAGGTTCTAACGACGTCATTTTATATGGTGTTTATGTGTGTCTTATCGAAATTTTATTCTTCATAAAACTACTTATTAGTCATTTTTGCGATCCTTCAATGCCTGTATGGGAATTGAATGAGAATTTCAGCATTATTGATTTGATGTTCGAAATATTTTACTGAGAATGAAAATCCCATCTATGGACAACTAACAACCATTGCTATTGTTCAAGATCCAATGACGCTCTCTTCCTTTTGACATTTATTCTCCTTCCAGCGATCAGCTTGAAAAATTAATTCTAATATAACAATTCCCTACAGCTTTACACACAAATTTTCCCTCTACGCAATATTCCTCTCAAGCCTTGCACCAGAAGCCATATTCATGTTTCTTTTGAAGATGTTTGCTTTCCAATTGCATGCTACTTGCTGCTGGGTTTTTGATTTTCCCCTTCATTGCTGCTTGCGGTTTCTCTTCTCCTTGACTTCGAGCGTACCTGTCTTCTTAACTTTCTTCGAAATTTTTTTTGACAGCACACAGAATTATCGTTAGCAGAGACAGTGCTCCTTGTTGGAAACATAAGTTGACTCATTTATTGTCTTATAAGTTGTCTCATATGATAACCCTCAGAATATGACAGCACTGCTTGCAAACTGTTGATGAAAATCTTTCACTATCTGGATCTCGTAATACGTATTTCTGAACCAAAAGATCCCAAACTTGACTTTTTTCATTTATAATTTAGTTTTAATTAACGGCTACAAAAGATGCAGCGAATAAGTAAAAAAAATGACTACATCCAGATTTTTTGTATTCGAGTGAAACAGCTTGAAGAGAAAGGGCAAAACGTCTAAGCATTAATGAAGTTCAACTAATTTTATGCAGGATATATTTCTTTATATTCTTGGTCTATTGTACAAGAGCACTCATAGTTCGCCATTTTTGAGCAGCAGTATTTTCGTATTGGATAACGTATGAAGGTAAATTTGGCTGATCTATTTTTTGCGATGAAAGCATTCAAGAAAGTGAAAAACAGACTTCCAAAAAGATTGCAATATCTATTATTTGAACGACACAATATTGTCTAATTGTCTATAGAAATTTTTCATCGAAAGATAGAATAATTTGAAGACAAATTTCCAAAAATGCAAGCCAATTTGAAAAAACATGCAAGCCTTTTTATGTGTTTAAATGTTCAAGTTACAACTTTCTATACATTTCAACTGCTTTACTACACACTTAAAACTGGCTTCTTGTCTTTAATTCTAGCTTTAAAATAAAGATTTCTCTTTCTTTCTTGGAATTTGTTTTGTCGTCTTTGTTGCTCGGTCTTTGTTTTTAAAAGTACAATACGAAATCATTTGAAATATACTTAAGTAGCTTATGTATATTTTAAATTATAAATAGCATTTTATATAACCGACTTTCCTTTCCAAGTCCAATGCAATGACAGATAGGAAATTTATCGCATGTTTTAATGAATTGAATCAACTGTACGTGCCAATAAACTCTATATTTTGTAGTACTAACGAAGCCTTCTCAGAATTTTCAATCCTTCCTTTCTCAGTACGCTGTTCTTCCAGAAAAAAATAAGACAGTTTATCGTTGAATTCATGACGTTAAACGAACTTATCCAAATGCTAGGAAAGAGGAGGCGTGAATCCTTAGATGGCATGTCCAAGACGAATGTTGTCAACACATATATAAGGGAAGGGATTGCTCCAAAAGCAAGATGGCAAACAACAGCGATTACGCACGTGGAGACTTTCTTTAAACTGTTAAATTGACTGTTAATTTGTTTAAAAGATGGTTTTGCCACGTCACGCAATGTATTTCTCAAACGTTCTTCTTTGGCATGCGCAATACGATACAATTTGAAGTTGAATAGTGATATCAGAAAAGAATAGACACAAAGATAAACTATGAGAATAAGCCTCACCGAATTTTCATGTTCGGACACGAAAAAAGCTAAAATAACGAAAAGCGTACCGAAGAAAATCGTCAAAACTAAAGACGACGACTTTTCACTTCCGTTTGGTGGAAAAAAGGAAAAACCACGGCTAGAAACCTTTCAATATTGAGGGCTAGCAAAGAAACCGTCGAGAAGCCAAAAAATACCATACCCAGTTTTATCCGTGCTATCTCCAAATTTTCTTTATTATCGCTTTTCAAAAGATAGGCTACCGTCGAAAGTGTGATTAACGTATGTGAAACACTCACGTTTGCCAAGTCGAAGCATGCTAAAACCAAGATGGTAAAATAACAAAGCTTCTTTCGTAAATTTGAACAACGCCAGATGCAAATAACAACGACCGAGTTTAATATAATGCCAGAAACCAATAATGAAATATTTACAATGCACAAAATAACCCCGTTCCATAAATTCCTCTCAGAATTCATTTGTTTGACCAGAATGAAGTGGTTTTTACCGGAAATTTGATGAATCGAGAAATTCTTTGAAGTTACGACACAAACAGAAAACGTCCATTCCACTGATCTGCAATATATGCCGTCACTCTTATACAGATAATTTTTAATTAAATTTCATTTATTGTTCACACAATAGCACTTGTTTTCAGCCAATAAAAAATTGCCGTACATTCAAAATTGCCTAATGATTGCATGGATAAGATGATTACATACGATAGCCTAAATAATCTATACCTAAATAAGCTATCAACTTTTGTAAGTCTCACAACCTGTAGTAAAATTTTATATTTTTGGTGTAGCTAATCTGTTGTACTACAATATGATCTTATCACCAAATCTACCTGCGTCAACTCATCATCATCTTTGAACGTTGCTTATGTTGGTACCGATCGACGTGATGACATCATTGACATGTTCCTTGCCATCTGTTCATGCTATAGCCTGTCATATTGTGCGATGTTTTTTTACACATATGTTAGCCAAAACGATGTGCATCAAAGACGTGATAATTAACAAATAGATGAAGATTTAACCGTTAACGTGCAAATCGCACAAATGACGCACAAATGACGTGCCCGTGTATCTATAACTGTATAGACAACGGTTCAATGTTATCTATTTGTTTTATATAATAAAATCTCATCTGAGGGAAATTTGGTGGGGACAAGTAGCAAGGCTTCACGTGCCGTCCCTGATTTCGACTGATTGCTACAACACGCGTAACAAAACGCGAAAAGATATGATGATGATGATGATGATATAATAAAATGAAAAAAATTCCCAAATTAAACCGTCAAACAGTTTGTTTTCTTTGTCCCCCAACACTTGGAACATTAAAAAGTCTTGATTTTGCAAATATCACGCTTACGTGATCTATGGGATTAAAGAAATGCTATTGGCTAGCTTAATCACGTGATAAAATGGGATTGGCTAACAAAATAAACATGCAAAGGCTGATCAATGTTGTTGAAATTTTGTTATCGAAGACGAAGTACAAATCAGTGCTTGGAAACCTGGTTTTGCTTTTCTTTTCCTCAAATACATCCACTGCTTCAACTACGCATTCTTAATTTCTTTATTTGTCCATTCAGGGATAAATTCAAGTAAATATTTAAACAAGAAATTTTCTGTGACGTCAATTCCGTTCGTCTGTCCTCTTATAGATCATAGCTCTTGACCAATGAAATTGCTTAAATTCTTCTGGTTATTATATAATTTCTTTTATTAAACTCATCAACTCTTGGAATACTTATTTCTATGATTTATGGTTAAGTATGTTTTATGACTAAATACTGAATGAAATGATCTTAATGTTTTTGTATATAATTCATTTGTTTCTTAATTTCGCGCGTATTTTTAAAAATTTGGCTCTCTTTGCCATTGAGTCAATTATACTTTATCATGCATTGTTGACTGCATAGCATCTAAGCAAATTGATGTTTCTTGGCGAGATATTTCTCGTAGCCCACATTGTCCAGACCTCTCTGATTTTGGCGATATCTATTGAAGCTTGAATTAGATTTTAAATAATCCATTCATGGCTGCTCCACTGTGTATAGAGATTTATAAATTTCCATTCCCATAATTCCATATGTCCTCATAAATATTTTGAAATAATTTCATAGTCTTGACTCTACTGCAGGATTATCGTTCCCCATGCATGAAGGTTTGTCGTTGGTCTCGTGGTTTCTCCTGTGTCCCAGCCGCTCTGTTAAAACTTGTTTGTGAGTTTCTGGTAGAAATAGCACTAGGATACTGCTGACCAGGAGTAACGTGCCTGCTATGATGTAAGGCACCACAATTGATGTCTTCATACCCTAAAATGATAACGTAAATTTGCACTTGTCACTAGCCTGTTTTTTTGACGATTTTTTTTACATATATATGTGAAAGCGAAAGGATGCTTCATTAATTTTTAACATGATGTCCAATGACTAATGAGTGATTTCCTTGGCTTGTACAAATGGAAATTTTTTACGACATTAAAGCAAACGAAACAAACCAGGAGAAATTAAACTCTCATACTTTGTGCTCGAGTGATGTCCACTAAAGCAAGATTAAAACTTTTTATTTTCTGTTAAATCAATATAAACAAAAATATACATTATCTTACAAGAAAGAATAACTGCGGGGCAGCCATTGCACCAAGACGAGACCAAAACATAGCAACACCGAAACCAATATTCCTATAAGGAAGTGCAAAAAATCATAAAACATGCCTTGATTTCTCGTTTTCTTGATTTCTTTTAAAACTCATTTTTTCATGCTGCGTCTTAAGATTTTAATAAATCTGCCTTGCACGACAATGTTTGTCTTACTGTATTTCATGCATGTGTATTTTTATAAGAACATTTATATAAATGTACAAAAAATAGTTATAGAACTACATTAGAGACCAATGATTTTCAACTACTCCATAAATCACATAAAGTACACATACGTCATAGCGCAAAAAAAAACCATTTAAAATCAGAGTGCCTTGCGCAACGATCTTGCTAGAATGGTAATGTACTGTTATTAATCATCTTGCGAAGATAGCAATGTACTAAGTACATTATTCGTGTTTTTATTGAAGTAATGGAGGCTATCATTTATTGCTCATGTCGTTAAAATAACATTGTATGTTATAAAGTAAATGGTTTGAACCCGGGAGTATCGTTACATGTTTGTAAATGTAGATCGCCCAGGTTGGTATAGTCCTGAGAAGGACTGTTTATGTTGTTGACTAGTCAACAATAACATAAACACTCCTTCTTAGGACTATACCAACCTGGACGATTTACATTTACAAAAATGTATGTTATAAAGTTCATATGCAATAACCCCCCCCCCTTTTCAAAACATATTTTCAAACTTTAGAGCACTACTACTCTCTAGAAGAACTTTGAAACATAAGTGAACCCTAGGAGCCACGTATAAGTAAGTAAATTTTGTCGCCAAAGTTGGTTCCTATTTGAAACTTTTTCCGCCGCCATCTTGAACTTGTGACGTAGATAGTTTTAACAGTATATTACAATCAACGTTTTAATTGAGTACGCCTCCTGGCTCCCCCTTCCAGCACGCCACTGGTAAGTTTTTCGCAATGTACGCTTTTAAATTTGAATCTGATTATTTGCATTACTTTGACCATGTTGTTAGAATGGTAACGCACTGCATGTCACTGTTTGAAACATTATTGAAATGATAATGTAGGCGGTCATTGTTGATGTTTTTGGAACAGAAAATGTATTATAACGTTGTCTATCGTGTTAGAATGGCAATGTACCATTATTTTCACGTAAAATACCATAGTAACGATACTCGTTTAATCAATTACCTCAGTATGGTTGGATAAACTTCTGCCGTGTACAATACCATAATAACGATACAAGTGAGTGAAAAACTTTTTCCTCCAAGTGCTGCTATTGTTCGAATCAAATCCACATTTCTAGAATCTGTAGAAAATACTTCATCTTAAACTATTACTGTGTCATATAATGTACATGCATCGAATTAAAAAGCATTTCTATATTTTAAATTTATTGTAAAGAGCTTCTTGATTTTTATTGCGCCTTTTGGAGATATATGTCTTCACATATTCTATACAGTTGATGCAAGAATAATTCAAATTTAACTCATTCCGCTATTTCTACTTTAAACGTGTTTAAATATAAACAGTTTACCAAACCATGATCACCATTTTTAGTAAACTAAATACTATGCAAGGGAAAGCGCGTTAATAAGTTTCTTAAAAAACGATGAAAAATCCTCAAATTCTCACAAATGCAGAAAATTTGAAATATTATAAATACAAACAAACATTTTCTTATTTGTCTTAATTGCTCCTCAAATATTTCACAAAATATTGCTGCATGTTAGAAAATTAACTTAGCCAGCTGTTTTTCCCGAGTACGTTCTATATGCATAAAATAAATATCTTAAGTACAATACCTAAGTAAATAAATCTATAAATAAAAAAAATATCAAATATCAAATGAAGCTCATGTTTTCTACATTTTATTCTGTCTGCTCAGGCAACAAGCACTCTATCCACACGCTTTGTTTGCGCTAGGCTCAGCTCTCCCGCAAAGATCTTCTCAAGTAAGAAAATATATAGAAATGCTTCATCTCAAATGTTTTTGTATATGAGTACAATTCACGAAATTTCGATGTTAGATCACAACAGGACGCACTAAAACTACACTATATTCACTAAAACTACAATATAGCAAGATTTAACAAATAGATAACATTTAACCGTTTCCTATACAGTTATAGATACACGGGTATGACGTCATTTGTGATAAGAATGAAAAAAGTGGCAACGAGCCGCCGGGGCGAAATAAACAAGTTTGAAAACTGAGTTTTCTCTACCTTCACTGCTTAACTAGCTCTTCCTCTAGTCTTCATCTGCCCATTCAGGGTTAAATTGATATTAAAATTTAAATAATTTCGCCGTTTGTTTGCAATTTAAAAACAGGAAATTTCTGTGACGTCATTTCCATGCGTGTGTCGTCTTATAGATCATAGCTCTCGTCCAATGAAATCACTTTAACTCATCTAGTTATTAAATGTATGTTTACGATATCTTCTATCACTAAAAAACATTATAAATTACCTGCATTTAAGCCAGCGATCACTGCACATGTTGCTAAAGCGATAGCAGACAACTGTAACATTAAAACAATGGTTTTCGTCGTCCATACCTTCATTAAAAATTTGCAGAATTATTATATGAACGCAAAAATAACATTGAAAATAAATAAATTTAGAATACAAGAATCGTACATTAATGAACTTTTTAAAATAGCCACAATTTTTTCGAAAATACTCTGGCCAACTAAATGGAGTTGTATTTTAATTCTAAAAGTATATTATCAATAATATACTGTTTAAGATATTTCTTGACTGTGATTGGTTAATTGCAGTGCAGTTCATCTATAATTGCTCTGTGAAAATGTGCAATTGCGGTGTAAATACTGATTGGCTAAGCAAACTTTTTTCAATTAAAAAAAAAACAAACTTGGCAATAGTTGTAAGAAACAAAGATTTCCACAATTGCAATTGTTTCAAATTCAAGAATTACAAAAAAATGCAAGGAATAAAAATAAAAGAGCGAGTACTGTTTTTGGGTGAATGTTTTTATAAGTTAGGCCGCGTAACGAGACTTTTGAAACAAGAGAGAATAACAAAGCGAGACAGAGTTATAAAGAGTACAGTCAAGAAATATCTTAAAGTACATTATTATTAAATAATAATATAGCTTCTCGAGCAACTTCGGCAAAATATGCACTTGCGAGTTTTTTTAAAGACTACAAATTCCGTAATTGCACTGAAACTATTCTTTACAAACCAATAAGGATGCTATGTTTATCATAGCTATTGTTTGAGCTTTCTATTAAATTAGTGACTTTCATTTTTTACATTCATGAAATGAGTACATCACTAAGTAAACAAACTAACCTTGGAAGAGTCCACAAAAGAGATGAAATTACCGTGCAGTCGATGATTTCACCAATAATAAAGTTTAGATATTTGTTACCAAACAAAAACGATATATTGAATGATAATCCATAAAATGTGGTTGTAGCACTCAAGCTATATATAAAATAAAAATTAACGTATTACTGTTTTTCATTGTTTTAATGCAGTTTTTGTTTTGTCAAAATATTCTATGCTCATTTTTCCATGATTGCTTGTGACTAGATTTTATATGGCAATCAATTTAGCTTTGCTAGTTTCGCGGTGACGTGGTTTCCAGTAACACAGTGCTGCACCCATGTGGTCCTTAAATATACAACTAAAATAATATTCGGAAGACATTCTTCAGGTAAATCAATAAATGAAGCCAATTTTTACTCTCAGACACAAGTTTTTCGCATCTTAGCTTAGCTGATGTAATGAAAATTCTTTTGACTGCTTGTGGAAAGATTGAGATTGTTTAGCTTAAAATTTTGATGTAGTTAGCTTTCAATATTCATATCTACTGAACTGCTGAATGTCAACTGGAGTCATAGCTTTATAGAAACGTTTAATCTAACTGGTTTATTGTCTTGTTGTACATGAATATGAGATGTATAGATTTCAAAAAGAACACTTACAATGCCATTGTTAAAATCATAGATAACTTTCGCAATGAGGGTGCTCGATAAATGTCAAAAATACTGCCTGTATTTCTCGTCTTTACACCATTTAAAGCAATTTGTGATTGATCCTTCGCTTTTTCAAACTTCTCTTTTGGAAAATCTAGTTTATTTGCTTGAGTTATTCGACGGACAACTTTTTCAGCTTTCTCAAAATGACCATGCAACATGTACCAACGAATTGACTCAGGTATAAAACTAAAAAGTAAAAGAACCTCAGTATTATGAATGCATTTTTGTTATTGTTTATTCTGAAAATTATTTTGTGGCAGAAAAAGGACAGCTATTTTCTGGCAGACAATTCTGTAAATGAAAAACAGATAATAATGCGAGTCGGAGAAAGGACTCTTGAAATGAGAGTTTTTATCCCTACAATACAGTCTCAAGGCACCAAAGAATGAAAGAAATGCTTTTTCTGCTCAAATAATGTAACAAAGCAAAAATATTTTATAAATTTTTTGGTCTTCATCGAGAAATAGTAGACTTCTATCTTTTTTAGTAACTACAATCATCTCCCTGTAAGAAGTTTTCCATCCTTTATTTCTACATAATGACCTTATGCACGCTTGCCATGCAAGGGCTCACTTTCATTTCACTCAATCAGCATGCTCGTTGCATAATTTAGTTTTAAAACAGCATGTTTAGACAAACATATCAAAATATTCAATCTTCTTATATCGTGAAACTCAGTCTTCCTTCAAGCGTTGCAGGTTTTCAGCTTTACGTAATGCCAGTAGTGTAAACATCTTGCTGATTTACTTCCGCTATGTAAACTCAGAAGATTACCTTTTTTATTTCCTTGTAAATTGTTCTTATTGTTCTCACAATCAATGAAAAACAAAATACTTTCATAGCTGAAGTAAAAGGTTGAACTGGCTACGCTATTGCGTACAACTACAATATTACATTTTTGTTTAGATGTAATAATCATATAATAATTGTTTGAATGTAATAATAACATACCACACAGAAAACATCTGTATGAAACAGACAACAGATAACGACAATTGTACGTATCTCCAATCTCTGATGAGGTATACAAACAATCCAAAAAACAACGCACCAATGCTACCAGATAGACCACACAAAGCACCAATATAGCCGCGATAACTTGTTGAAAACATCTCCATTACTAGTATAACACTAGAGCTGTGAAGACCCTGGTTAAAACTACAACTTTTATTATCTCAACATGAATTAAAACAAAGCAAATGTAAACATGCAATAAAAACTACTTATAGCAATGGGGTAGCTAGCAGTCGTGCTCGTTGTGCTCAGCATGACTAAAGATATCCTTCAAAACTATACAATTGTTACTGTTCTACAACACGTTAGTTGCCTAGCAACGTACTTCAACCAAGACTTATTCCACGCATGAAATCATTTTCACTAAGTAAAATGTGTTACACTAAAAATTTTTCTTAAAATGATTATTCAAAAACTTCTGCGCATGCTCAAATGAGACGCTTTACATTATATGATCTTGGTAATTTGGAAGTATATGATTACACTCCCAAGTATATTTTATCAGTTATAGACTTTTCAAGACTTTATTCAAGACGATTTTCTCAGAATATTTATCACCCTGGCTTCTGCAAGGCTACCGAAACAGATATATCATCAGTTATTTGTATAATGAAGCCTAAGTGCGCTCCGAAATCTTGCAAGCAAAACATCTATCAAATTAAACGACTCTATGGTGAACGGAAAGGCCAAATCAAATTTTTGTACCTGCATAGTAAGACCAAGAAAAAATCTGAAGACAGCAAAAGCAATGTAGCTTCTAAAGAAGAAAATAGCCATGTTGAGGATTCCTGCGGCAAGTAAAGTGGAAGCTATGACAGGTTTTCTGCCAAACTTGTCGGCAATAACACCAAAGATGAGGCCACCCAACGTAACGCCAGTGAAGTAAATTGTTGTAGATAAGTCCACTTTATATGAGTCATCACACACTAGATCAAACTAATTGAAACAGAACAAGCATTAATAAAATTCAACGTCGATGATTTCAACGATTTATACCTCTTTGAGGGCGAGCATAAAGGTAGTGGGATGTAAAGTTGAAATCTTTAGGATGTATACAAATCTCTATTTGGAAGACCTTAACGTTAGACAGCAAGTTTGCAGAGCAATTTAAATGAGATTAATGATTTTCTCTTAGGCGTTCTCTTATTAGTACAGGCTTTTTACGATAGAAAATCTATTACAATCAACAGTTTCACCACTATATTTGCACAGCATGAGTAAAAAATGGGTTAACTACTGCAATATTGTGTTATTAAATTACTATACTTTTGACAGAGGTCAAAAAGGTTCCTTTTCGTTAGAAATTGCTATTGTCTGGCTTCATCATGCTAAGTATATGTTCAATAAGAATGTGTCTAGCATCACCCAAAATATTTTGAAAATTTTTAATATTTTGGCAACGTAATTTACCATTCCAAAAAGTTGTCTTGCATTTTTTGGAGCTCAAAATTCGTGATTATTTGCTTGACCGTCACACTAAAATAACTGGGGTCAAAACCCAGATCTGACGTCACATTGGGAACACGCTTTAAGACAGCCCTGTATTTTACAGATAGTCTCCTCAAAAGCACAGCTATATGTCGCATTGCACATTCATGTGTTATATGTGTATGGCATCTTTTGTTGATGATATTCAAAAACATCTAACTTTCAACGAAATAAACGAGAGAATTCTTATCGTGACGTCAAAAACATCATTAGTTACCAGCTTTTTTTTTACTGGATCTCAAGAAAGAGAGAATGGACAGTTTTTCAAATTTGAGTGGCATAAATCTTGAAAGGTCATTTCGATGCAAAAGATTTTTAAAGTACCTTGAACTATCTAAATGGCACAAATGCAATTATATGACATAGACACTGTAACGTTTCTTCTTTACTCTATGTTGTGGTCATTAACAGCAGTTTTTTACAAAGAGAGTGGTTGAAAACTAACCTCAGAGATAATTGTTCTCTCATTTTCTTTCATAATGTAACTCCAGCCATTTTTACAAGGTATTCTGTTCGTGCTATTTCTAGCCTCAAACATATGACACCTGTCTAATTCTTCATCTTTATTTTTAGCGGCAAGTGGTATGAAGTCGCTTACATTTTGACCAATATCAAGCTTACAATGATGTTTTGTCTTTGCGCCATAAAATATCATAGAAAAATGTGTTGATGAAATTATCGTTAAATTCACACTTATCAGGGCGAAAATAAATATTTGATATCTGCCTGGATTGCCGATCGCCAGTATTAAATCCTCCATAATTGCTAAACGCTTTGTTCGACCTGTCAAACGTCGTGTAAGTTATATCACAATATAAAGAATGAACAAGAGGAAGATTTACTGTCGAACTAAATACTTTACACCATATTTAATTATAAAATATATTTGCATTATGTTAATCACATGAGTAATATGATACGCCTCATATAAACATTTTTAATGGAGGGGCATTGAACAATTTTTGCGGTTCGCTTTCGTATTTTTCTCGTATGTACTAAATAAGAACTTTCCTGAATGACGTTTTAATCCTTTCGATACTTTTTGTCTTTATTCTCAATAATTCGAGCGAAAACAGTTTGCTAATCGCTAGCAAATCTCGGACAAGATTCCGTCATTTTATTTTTTTGTTTACAATGTTACATAAAAAACTACATCATGCACCAAAAATAATTTCAATAGTTGGTGGGTGGCGAAATATTGAGAAATATCTTCAGGCTATTAGCCAATCACAATGGAGATTGTCACTTCATTGTATAATACTATTTAATATTCGTATATGGATGTCATAAACTCTAAAAAACAACAGTCTTTTATATGAATAGTACCAGAACAGTTTTACTTTTACTAATAAAACAAGATTTCATATTAAGAGACACACAAAATATTAGCAACGCGAAAGGAAAATGTATAAGGATAAACATAAATCCATTGTAATATTTCTTGTGACCAGTCCTTTCAGATGCACACATATATTATTACGCATGTGATCTACATAATGGCAACAATTAGCTACATTTTTTTTTACCACAATTATTGCTGAGCTGGTTAGTACGTGATTGAAGCGAATGAGCATAATAGAAATTCGTATTTTCTAGCAAAAGCTTGTTTACATTTGTTTTTATTTCCCTTTTAAAGTCAAGTTGTTTTTACCATGAGATAAAGTTTTCTCTCGCAACAGTTCATGTAATTGCAGAAAAAACCCGTTAATTCGTATTTTATAATCAGAAGAGAAAAAGTCTTAAACGTAGTTAAAAGTGTAAAATTAATCTTCAGATTTTAATCAAATCATTGGAATCAATGGTGGATCTTGTGTTATAGTCAAAATGAACTATAGGCTGCAATATAGTAACAAAAAATTCTAAATAATAAATTTTACCAATCGGCTTGCCCGAATAAAAACGATATACATTGTATTTGCAGCATTTTTATGCAATTTTACTCATAATTTTCAAGCCAAAGTGTTACAGAATGAGGATGAAACCAGTTGCGTACGAGAATCGTTAATTGGTGGGCACATATTCATACATCCATGTTCTGCCGCATTAAGCTCCTTTGAAATCCATTGTTTTCAACGGATTAAGACATGCATATATGAATTTGTGCCCCCCAATGAACGATTCTCGTATGCCACTGGATGAAACTCAAATGGTTTTCCAAATTCACAATTTCAAATAATTATCACAACAATAAAAATGTTTTATAATTGAAGAATGCGTGTCCACCAAGATGCATTGCGCTTTTATCACAACGTGGCGGCCATTTTGTTGTTCAAGAAAATGGCGGATTTTGTTATTGTAGTCTTGCAACTTAGACAAACAATAATAGTTAATGTGAAAGAGAGTTTGTAATTAATGTCTTTTTTGCGAACTTTTCTTATGAATTAGACGGCGTAGCGATGAAATTGATTTCATTGCGCTGCAAGCTCAAAAATTCATGCTGTAAACATAAACAAAAGTGTGCAATGTATCTTAGTTGTCACACATTCTTTCATTAAAAAACAAGATCTCATTACAAATACATAATTATCATGCTAATACCTACGGTGGCCGGTACGGGTCACCAGAAAAATAATTTAAAAAACATAACAAACAATAAGAAAACATTACTCAAAATCATAATATTTCAAGAATACACATTTCAAAATACTCGCTACACATTTCAAAATACTCACTACACATTACAAAATACTCACTACACATTTCAAAATACTCACTACACATTTCAAAATACTACACATTTCAAAATTCTCACATTTCAAAATACACATTTCAAAATACACATTTCAAAATACTCACTACACATTTCAAAATACTACACATTTCAAAATACTCACTACACATTTCAAAATTCTCTACACATTTCAAAATACTCACTACACATTTCAAAATATTCACTACACATTTCAAAATTCTCGCTACACATTTCAAAATACTCGCTACACATTTCAAAATACCCCGCTACACATTTCAAAATACTCACTACACATTCGTCCCAGTCTTACCCTCGTCTGGCCTGCCCACGGTCGTAATTAGTTTCCATCTACGAAATTGACGTGATGGCAGAAAGCTAATATAAATATACGCTTCCGAAATTACTAATAGTTCAGTACGCGTAAGGATATTTTGATGCTTCTCGTAGATATTTCTCGTAGCCCACATTGTCCAGACCTCTCTGATTTTGGCGATATCTATTGAAGCTTGAATTAGATTTTAAATAATCCATTCATGGCTGCTCCACTGGGTATAGAGATTTATAAATTTCCATTCCCATAAGTCCATATGTCCTCATAAATATTTTGAAATAATTTCATAGTCTTGACTCTATTGCAGGATTATCGTTCCCCATGCATGAAGGTTTGTCGTTGGTCTCGTGGTTTCTCCTGTGTCCCAGCCGCTCTGTTAAAACTTGTTTGTGAGTTTCTGTTAGAAATAGCACTAGGATACTGCTGACCAGGAGTAACGTGCCTGCTATGATGTAAGGCACCACAATTGATGTCTTCATACCCTAAAATGATAACGTAAATTTGCACTTGTCACTAGCCTGTTTTTTTGAGGATTTTTTTACATATATATGTGAAAGCGAAAGGATGCTTTATTAATTTTTAACATGATGTCCAATGACTAATGAGTGATTTCCTTGGCTTGTACAAATGGAAATTTTTTACCACATTAAAGCAAACGAAACAAACCAGGAGAAATTAAACTCTCATACTTTGTGCTCGAGTGATGTCCACTAAAGCAAGATTAAAACTTTTTATTTTCTGTTAAATCAATGTAAACAAAAATATACTATATCTTACAAATAAGAATAACTGCGGGGCAGCCATTGCACCAAGACGAGACCAAAACATAGCAACACCGAAACCAATATTCCTATAGGGAAGTGCAAAAAATCATAAAACATGCCTTGATTTCTCGTTTTCTCGATTCTTTTAAAACTATTTTTTTCATGCTGCGTCTTAAGATTTTAATAAATCTGCCTTGCACGACAATGTTTGTCTTACTGTATTTCATGCATGTGTATTTTTATAAGAAAATTCATATAAATGTACAAAAAATAGTTATAGAACTACATTAGAGATCAATGATTTTCAATTACTCCATAAATCACATAAAGTACACATAAATCATAACGCAAAAAAACATCATTTAAAATCATAGTGCCTTGCGCAAGGATCTTGCTATAATAGCAATGTACTGTTATTAATCATCTTGCCAAGATAGCAATGTACTAAGTACATTATTCGTGTTTTTATATAAGTAATGGAGACTATCATTATTGCTCATGTCCTTAAAATAACAATGTATGTTATAAAGTTCATATGCAATAGCCCCCCCCCTTTTCAAAACATATTTTCAAACTTTAGAGCACTACTACTCTCTAGAAGAACTTTGAAACATAAATGAACCCTAGGAGTCACGTATAAGTAAGTCAATTTTGTCGCCAAAGTTGGTTCCTATTTGCAAACTTTTTCCACCGAGATCTTGAACTTGTGACGTAGATAGTTTTAACATTAAATTACAATCAACGTTTTTATTGAGCACGCCTCCAGGCTCCCCCTGCCAGCACGCTATTGGTAAGTTTTTCGCAATGTACGCTTTTAAATTTGTATCTGATTACTTGCATTACTTTGACCATGTTGTTTGAATGGTAACGCACTGCATGTCATTGTTTAATTTATTGAAATGATAATGTAGGCGGTCATTTTTGATGTTTTTGGAACAGAAAATATATTATAACGTTGTCTATCGTGTTAGAATGGCAATGTACCATTATTTTCATGTAAAATACCATAATAACGATAATAGTTTAATCAATTACCTCATTATGGTTGGATAAACTTCTGCCGTGTACAATACCATAATAATGATACAAGTGAGTGAAAAACCTTTTCCTCCAAGTGCTGCTATTGTTCGAATCAAATCCACATTTCTAGAATCTGTAGAAAATACTTCATCTTAAACTATTACTGTGTCATATAATGTGCATGCATCGAATTAAAAAGCATTTCTATATTTTAAATTTATTGTAAAGAGCTTCTTGATTTTTATTGCGCCTTTTGAAGATATTAATTGTCTTCAAATATTCTATACAGTTGATCCAAGAATAATTCAAATTTAACTCATTCCGCTATTTCTACTTTAAATGTGTTTAAATATAAACAGTTTACCAAACCATGATCACGATTTTTAGTAAACTAAATACTATGCAAGGGAAAGCGCGTTAATAAGTTTCTTAAAAAACGATGGAAAATCCTCAAATTCTCACAAATGCAGAAAATTTGAAATATTATAAATACAAACAAACAATTTTTTATTTGTCTTAATTGATCCTCAAATATTTCACAAAATATTGCTGCATGTTAGAAAATTAATTCAGCCAGCTGTTTTTCCCGAGTACGTTCTATATGCATAAAATAAATATCTCAAGTACAATACCTAAGTAAATAAATCTATAAATAAAAAAAATATCAAATGAAGCTCATGTTTTCTACATTTTATTCTGTCTGCTCAGGCAACAAGCACTCTATCCACACGATTTTGTTTGCGCTAGGCTCAGCTCTCCCGCAAAGATCTTCTCAAGTAAGAAAATATATAGAAATGCTTCATCTCAAATGTTTTTGTATATGAGTAACAATTCACGAAATTTCGATGTTAGATCACAACAGGACGCACTAAAACTACACTATATTCACTAAAACTACAATATAGCAAGATTTAACAAATAGATAACATTTAACCGTTGCCTATACAGTTATAGATACACGGGTATGACGTCATTTGTGATAAGAATGAAAAAAGTGGCCACGAGCCGCCGGGGCGAAAAAAACAAGTTTGAAAACTGAGTTTTCTC